GCCACAGGTGCCAGAGGCTGCATGGTTCAAAAGAGACGTACTTTCCCGAAAACAGCGACCACAAGCTGGACAGCGGAATGGTTTCTCTTCATGGATTTTTTCATGGCGGGTGAGTGACTCACGGCGATTGAAAGCACGACTACAAGTAGTGCAGGCATAGGGCCGAGACCCAGAGTGGATGACCCCGTGTTGAAGGAGGTGCCCTTTTTTCTTGAAACCTTTGCCACACTCAGAACAATGAAAAGTCTTGTCATGACTGCCACACGAAGATGAGGCTGAGCTGTCTTGAGTAGAGTGGGGAATACCTGGATCGGAAGGATGCAAAACTGGGTTTACAATATTACTTCTTGTGCCACTTGTGCCAGCTGTGGTTAGTTCATGACTACGTAGGTGCCTGCGCAGACTAGAGAGATGTGTGAATGTTTTGCCACACTCGCCACAATGATAAAGGGGCTCTTGTTCAGGCTGAGATTGAGGTGGCATGGAACCATGGCTGGCTGTTTTAGAGCCATTTGTCACCAAGACTGATGCTGTTGCAGAAGAGGATGCAGAAGAAGATGATGAGACAACAGAAGTAGAAGATGAAGAGGTTAGGTGGGAAGAAGGGTCTCCACCAATAGCCGACAAACCGACACCCCCACCTCCATCCAAGCCTGGTGTGCTATCCTGGTTCAGTCCCCCTGAAGTGCCACTGTTAGGGTTTGTAGAGATGTGACTGTTGCTGCCATTGTTGTTGTTGCTTTCAGACTTTCTTTGTGGCAGGTAGCCAGCCATGGCTTTTTTTCTTCTACCACCTCCTCCGACACCACTATCCCCTTTTCCCTCGTCTTTTGATAAAGAAAGATGTAGCGGAAGAGGAAGTGGCAAACCAGCTTCCTGCTGCATCAGAGATGCTAGCTGGTTAGAGGAGAGTACTGGGATTCCTTGAAAGTCAAAACCTCCGAGCGAAGAATGCTGCGAGGAGGAGTGCAGTGGATGGTGTGGATGTGGGTGAGTGTGAGACAAAGTGTGAGGTGGTAGTTGCTGTTGTTGTGTTGGTGGCTGATGAGGCTGTGATAGAGCGGTTGAATGGCCATGAGTGTGTGAAGAATGAAGAGCGGGGGGTGGAGCAAGGGCTGAACTTGTTTCTCCTGCAGCTTGGCCCAGACCAAGACCAAGATGGTTATGACTACCTTGCTGAACTAAAAATTGTTCTAGACTGGAATTGGCCGGTACTCCAGAAAGAAAATACTGATTTGCCGCTAACATGCAGCTAAACTGTTGATGTAGACTTCGGGCGTCAGACTGAGATCCTGCCAACTGATGACCCAAAGTAGTCACTGTACTACTGCTGGGAGGGTTATTGGAAGTTGAAACAGAACTTGAAGTAGATGGGGAAGAGGACGGTGGCCCAGGAGAGGCCTGAGGTACTGACAGGCCAGGATGCAACGGGGGTGGTGGTGGAACAGATGAAACCAGTCCTCCACTTGCACTACTGCTGGCAAAATGATCAAATCGTCCTACTCCTGAATGTAACTGCTCTTGTGCAAGGGTCGCCTCAGTTGGGTGGAATGAGCGCAAAAACTGAGGGTATCCACTCAAATGACTTCCACCACTGCTACCAGACATTTTGCCGGATTTCCTCAAACTTTGAGACGATGAAGACAGGGATTGCTGTTGTAGAGGTGGAGGAGGTGCACTCATTTTTGCAAAAATTGATGCAGAATCTGTAAAGGCACTGCCTCTAGATCCTTGTAGTGGGCCTAAGCCAAGTCCAGACAAAATTGACCCAGATGTCTCACCTTGCTGTTGTTGCTGGTGCTGTAACTGGTGTTGGTGAAGCTGCACTTGCTGTTGGTGTTGAAGTTGTCGCTCTAATCCAAGACCTTTGAACTGATGGGACTGGTGTCCACTCAGCATCTCTATGATGTCCACATTGTATTTTCCAAACTGGAACATCTCCCAGTTACTGATACATTGGTGCGCAGTTGCAACACCTTCTGCTCTGTGAGCAGCAACACAATTTCTTTGATGCTTTCCTACTAGTTGTAATCAGAAGCAGAAGCAATTTCAAAAACAGTGCTATCTCACATGTTCCTTATGCCACTGGTGTTGTTTCATTTAAAGCGGACACCCACTTTTTCACTCTTTGGGCAAGTAGTTGAGAAGGACATTTTGTATTCATGAAATAACTTCAACTCCCTTTTGGCTTCACATTGGATTCCATATAATCACAGTTATTTTGGATAGTTCATCTTAGATATCAATATTTCAGTCTGAATGTTCCATAAGAGTGCAAAGACATATGGACTGGTAGAAAAATGCCACAATTGCACAAGATGCAATTATTTTTTCACATTTTGACAAGTGCTTAATATAGTTTGAGTTCATTGAAATATTTCCACTTGCTTGGTTACATTTTTCAGTTCATGACCATCCCACTGTAGGATGGATCCATTCAAATCCCATGGGCTCGTTTTATTACATTGAATATCTATTAATTCTTAATCCATATGTGGCTTACATCTCTTTTTCCAAGTTTCAATTAGTATATGTTTCTTTTTTTTTCCATAGTTGGAAGCAAAATCCTCCACTACCATTTCTTGGGGGCTGTGAAAATGTTCTTTCTGCCACTCCTCTTCTCACTGTGAGAGGAAAAAAAGGAGCAACATGTTAAATTACTTATTTTAAACAAAAACTCTGATACAATTATTTTAATAAACAACATGAACCATCAAACCTCAAAACACATAAATGTTTTTGATTAAAAACAACAACAACAGGCAGACAGTTTATTACAGCAGACGTTTTAATATATATATATATTTTTTTTAATACACATAAAATCTTATGTGTGTGTGAATAATTATGAAAGTATTGGTAAATCTTTGAAAAACTTTGGTCCTTCACTTAAACATCTTAAAGACATTTCCATGTTTTCATTTTTGTCCATTTGCATTCTTCAATAGCAAAATAAAATAACTCATAATAACAGAAACAATAAAAAAACGAAATTTATTTCTAAAAGCCCTTATTTATTTCTAGTGAACCACATCAAACCATTCATAATTCATTCTGAAATAATACATTGTATTCAAGATCTAAAACATGAATTCATCTTATATATCAGCATCATCTAAATGACAGATATTAACAACAATTCAAATGATACTCGCTGATTAGTATCGATGCATTTGACGAATGTCATTTAACAGTCACAACACGATACTAAACAAAAGTAGGCTACTGTAAAATACGATTTCAGACGATATGCGCAATGAAAACAGTAAGTTAAGACACATATTCAAATATTTACACGGCTTTCTTATATTGAAACGTTGCGAGTGTTTTCTATCACTTCATCTTACATTCTGAGCAGTTAGCATTGTGCGGAAAAGATGCTGAGTGCAGTGTGAATCGTCAGGGGTAGAGGTGAATTTCATGCAATTTTTACATCTTCCGATTGCATCGCGTATAACTAAAGAAAAGGTCCATTTCGACAGACTCCCTAATGGAAAATTGTCTACGATGGGGAAAATGCACTTCAAAAGTCAATAGTGCTTTAAAAATATCTTCTGCGTATTAATGGACGCGAAATATTTTAGCGCTGTGGCTATGTGAAACAACTAGCATGCAAAACAGCTGGCTAATACTACACATTTAGCAAAGGGACACGGCTTAGCTTGCCGTCATGATATGCGCGACCTAACAGCAAGCCAGATAATGCATGAGCAAAACTGTATTATTGTGCAAGTAAATTAGACATAATTAAATAATAGTCGAGACAATAAAATAGGCCTTTTACCTACGCATCCATCTTTTAGCCTGGTCAAGATGAACGGGGCCTGCTATTCTCTCTCCCACCCTGCCCCCCTCGTTCATGTACCCCAGCAGCTCTGCGCTGTTTTCCAGTGGTTAGCCTTCTAGCTACAGCTAGTTAGCAGACTCTGTTACCACTGCAACCGTGGTGCGATAGCATGAGACCGAGTGTCCCTTATAATTTAAAACAGATGCACTTATCGTACTTATATCCTGTGAAAATGCATCAAACGGTATTACGACCGATTACTTTTTTATTTTGCGTTTGCTTTTTTTTGTCGGCTAAAATATTTTGCACGGTCTATGTTGGTGTTTTAGAGAGGAACGAGTGACGTGTGTGATTTTATCATTAGTCGTTTCCGGACCTTGGAACACTTCCGCCTACCCCGTCTTCAGTCCGCTATGTTCTGTATTTGTGGTGGAGGCAGGCAGTACTGTGTCTGAAACTAGCGCACTCATAATATCAGCGTCCTTAATAATAGGAGCTACTTATAACGATATCATTTGTTTGCCTTTTAGCTGTATGATATTTGCGGTTAGCTTTCAAGTAAGCATTTTCGGTGTTGTTGTTGCGCAGTCAAATTTGGCATGTTAGCCAGCTCGTAAAATATGAGGTAAATTCGAATTACAACTCGGCGAATATATTACCTGATATAATGTTCTAAATTCATTATTCATATATTCTATGATTTCTTTAGCAGCTTGTTTGTACCTTAAAAGCTCTTACAGTGGCCATTTTATTACATCCTGGCAGCTCAAATTCAAAGGCTGGTCCTTATCAAAATGGCTGCCTTGGAATTGCTTATCCAGTCTGATGCTTCATGGAAAATAAGTGTGTAAACATTGTATAGTAAATGCTGACATCAGGAAGAATTTAAACGTTCTGTTTTTCTTTTGACCTGTGTCATCAGACATTCGAGGCAACAGTTTCATCATTTGACTTTATTTTAAAAAGGTGAAATTTAACCTGTATGGAAATCAAGTTGAGAATGCAGTGTAGTCTATATGTTATTATTTCAGGGCATTTGTTATAATAGTTACATAATAATACTTATGATGTTTGATTTGAAGTGTTTTACCCAAACATTCATTCTATGTTTGTGCTTAAACATTTCAAGACATGAACTCAGTGCTGTTTTCCCGGGTTTCAGTCTTCACTGTCCCGCTTTGCTTGTGCAACCAATGCTCATTCCATTGTAAGCTACCATCAAATGCTTCAGGGCTTTATTTGCACATCCAATGTTTGTTATTTTCTGCAGCCTTGTGAATAAATTTCATAAACATTTTCATAATTATGGCTTGTGGATACAAAACAGACATTGCTACAGACTTTTTATGGCAAAGAAAATACTAAATTGATTCATCTGTTCTAATTGTCCCTGAAAGAAACATTAAAAAGTTGAAATTTCACTTAACAAAAAGACATTCGGTTACACACATACAACATACATCCTATGACATCATTTATAAACCCATTGTGATGTCTCTGCAACAAGTAATGACATTTGCAGGCTTAGAACAATTACAATGTGACATCACACAGAAATTTTCGAAGGCACTCCTCATCATCAGGAATGCATGAAGAATTGGCAAACAATGAGTGGCTTTGATGTTTGTGCTTCTATTTTCTACTCATAATTTCAAAAGAATTTCATGAGAAAGATATCTAAAACAAGTAAACACTAAAACCACAGAGGAAAAAAATCACCATCATAATCATAAGATAACCATAACAACAAGAAGAAATTTCACCAATAACCATAATATTAACTGTCATAGTAATGACAATAACAAACACCAATGTATTACAGAGCTGTTAGGAAGATTGTCTTTAAGTTGTATTCATAATTCATTAAGATACACACTATTTCCAGTGAAAAGTTAAATGAATGTGTTACCACCAATCCTGATGCTGATGTGATATAAACTACTCCTTAACACTTTTACTGGGAGGCATAAATATTCAAATAGTCCGTAACTTATACTGTTCAGTTTCATTACACTGAAAATTAACCAAGAGGTTAAAAGTCTATGACAATAATAATAAAAAAGACCAGTTGGTGGTTTTACAATGTAAATTGATTAGTTTTCATTGGTTAAATGAGCTCTATTTTTCAGAGGTCAGAACCATACAGTAATTATATCTGGCTCTTCTGCGAACAATCTCACTTTACATTTTTCATTGTAATATTTACTTACTATTTTAATATCTTTTTTTGGTAAATAATGAGATTATTATCATTGAATAATGATTAAGCTGTGGGTAACAGCTGTACCACTAACGCATGTGTGTTGTATAGCCCTTAATATTGATAAGCGTTATTGGTTATGAAGATATTAGGTATGACGTGTCGTGGTCATTCTCGGTAACAGCAGATTCGAAAAATACAGGTTAGCTGTTTTGGCATGCCTGTATCCTCAGACTGTTCGCAGAGTCTCAGTTTTAACAGCATATACACATGGCTTCAACATGGAGATTCAAAAAGCAGTCCAGGAGGTTTGTCTTTATGCAAATGCCAACCAACACCTGAGCGAGATAATGGTACCGCCATGTTATGCACTAATTTTATGCCAGAATATCATAACATACAAATACATTGATGAGTACCCCTACTCTTGAGTAGTCGTCTTCATCTCAGATCCATATTTAATAGCTTAAGGTGAACCGTTTGTCTACACAGTATACCTAAAAGGAGCATAAATGTGTATGTACCCAGCATTACATAAATCGAATGTATTCTTGTGCTTTTGGTAGTCCAGCGTCCCTTATGATGAATCTCCCTTGCAAATCCCAGCACTTGGACATTGTAGAAAGTGGTGGCTCAGAATCCAAACAAAGTGCCATTGATCATTAATGAGTCTTTTTAAGATGGAGAAAAAAGATGATTGTCAGACATTTCTCTTGGTTTTCATCTGGGCTTTTCTGCCCAATTGTGTCCCAGAATGGCTTTCATCGATAGTTCAAAGCAATCTCCAGTGATGTACTGAAGGGCAAACTTGAGGAAACTTCTTGTGTACTATTTTCAGGATTCCACCTAAACAAATTGAAAAGAAACTCACTTGGTACATCCATTTTAAATTCACACTGAATAAGATGCAGGTGTAACAATGTATGGTAAGGCTTACTTTCTTTATCTTACGGTATTCAAAATTAATTCATCAAATGAGTTCATCAAATTCTTCAGAGTTTTTGGATATGCTCCTCCAATTGTTCAATTTCATAATTCCTTTTGACATACCTTGTAAAAACCCTGCCGCACTTCCTCATTATGAAGAAATGGATTAGGGTTTAAAAAGAGATAAGATCCAGCATTACGTTTGTCCAACTGTAAGTAGCTTTGCAATTCATCAGTTTGGATGAGCGCTCCACGTTCAACTGGTTCCTCTTATGCAGATGTTAATTATTAGTCTTCCAGTAGTTCCATCATAGTTATAAGATAAAAGCCATTCTCTGAAATATATGGCTCCATAGCAGCTATATCTGTAATGTGTAATAATGTAAGATATTTGAGGATAAAAACATGACATAAAGATTTGAAAAAATGTCCACATCATGTGGAATTTATATTACACTCTATTGATATTCTATGCGGTAGATTTATAGGCAAAATTTACACAAATAAATAGTTGTATATGGCAGCTTTGATCATAATTATAGCGGCAATTTCATGAACGTAAAAAGCACAAAAACTTTGAAGCTCTATCAAACCTGACTTATAACTGTTGTTATCTAATCTTATGTTGTGAATTTGCCACTATATACAATATGTATATGTAAAAAATATGGTGCCACTTCGCTCTCTGCGTAGTTTCTCCCACTTCGTGGCCCCCTACTTCAAAATCTGTTTCTCTTATTCCTTTCCCATCCTCCTACTCCTTTTCTCTTTTCTCTCGTTATTTCTCTCCCTCTTCCGCCCACTCTCTCTCTCCCACAGTCCCTTTACCATCCTCCAACTCTTCACACAGTCTATCTCTCACCCATCTTCTCCATTCCCTCCTTAGCCTCTCCAGCCTCTTGCTCACACAGTAACCTCATTCTTGCTTCCTGTTCTAACCCCTTGGTTGGATGCCACTCCTCCTCCACTTCCCCCTCCACCGGGGATGAAGTGAAGTTGTTCAATGGTATTTTGCCTTTTAGCTGCAAATGCAAGCCTCCTGGCACTGTGTCCACCAAGAGTCCCTGTTCCCATGACAACTCCTGTTCCTGGCATGTCGCCCCATGCCACTCCTCCAACCCCGCCTCCTCCCAGGTGACCTGACATCGCAGCCGAATTCCGCTCCTGCTCTCGCCCCGACGTCGGGTGCGAGTTCATCTTGATCATGTGGTGACGGTCGAGTGATGGCGTGGCACAGACATTCTGCTGCGATTGAGCTTTCTGGTGGCTGACGCGGGGCAGGGTGGGCACCATTCCGCCTCCCCCTCCGCCCGTGTAGTCGCCCATTCCCATACCCATCCCGCTTCCGCCATACTCATCCCCGCCTATCTCCTCCTGTAGATGGTCTGGTGACATCAGCAGCCTCTCCTTGGACTTCTTCAGGGTGTTCTGGTTATTGGAGTTCTTTGATGCAGTGGCCATGGCTTTGTAGTATTGATGCTGCTGGTTCTTCGAGAGCCTTGATAAGGTGCTGCCGTCAGCGAGGGCAAGGAGCTGGTCCGTTGACTTGACGCGACGTGGCGGTTTGGAAAGCGTATCGTAATTCTGATTTTGCTTTGATTCCGGGGGTTCCAGAGGGTAAGGATTCGGGGTGTGGCTTGGGGCAGACTGCGGATGAGGTATTCGAGGACGAGTGGCACGGTTGGGAAGCGTGCCTCTTCCCCCCAGCGTGTAGTCGCCACCCCAGGGAAGGTGATGCTGGGAGGAATGAAAGGAGGGAGGGGCGTTGTTGGGCCTCCGTTTGGTGGTACAGTAACCTGAATATTCCTCCAATCCTCCTTTCTCTGTAGGTGGAGGAAAACATGTTTAAAAAGATCCGAAAATTAGGCAAGAAAAGAATAAACATTAGGGATGCACCGATATTAATAATCTCTAATATGAAGGGTTGATAATTATAAAAATGTATATTTTTAGAAAAATGTAATACATTTATAAAAATAATTAATTTTCAGTCATTTTCAGTAAACGTGAAATATCACAGCCGTACAGAGAAGGAATGATTAGTTGAATAAAGTCGTTGTTTTTGTTTGTTTTTTTGCGCACAAAAAGTATTCTCGTCACTTTATAAACTTAGGGTTGAGCCACTGTAGTCACTTGGACTATTTTAACGATGTCTTTCATAACTTTTGGGCCGGTCAGTTTCGATCCCTTAAGAAGCCTATGGAGGAGTGATCCAGCTCTCAGATTTAATCAAAAATATCTTAATTTGTGTTCCGAAGATGACCGAAAGTCTTACGGGGTTGGAACAACATGAGGGCGAGTAATTACTGACAGAATTTTCATTTTTGGGTGAACTAACCCTTTAAGAACACATTTAAAAGTGTTTATTATTAGCACTACACTAAGTAAATTATCAGTGTTTTTAAAGATTAAAGCATTAGATGACGGCAAGCATAATCTAGATCCAATACTGATAACTAATTACTCTCTAATATTGGCCAATAACCAATATGGTATCAATATACTGTGTATCCCGAATAAAAATGGGTGCACAACTAAAATGTTTACAGGATTTGAGCTACAAGCTAGAATGTCATTAAAAGGTTCATCACAACCTACTTAACTCTTAATATAAATTCTTCAACATCCATCCCAGGACTATGTGTTTAATGTGAATCATGATTCAATTAATTTAACAATATTAATACAATCCTATTTTATCCTGTATCTTGAGCCATTTCATCTTTCGGCTGATTAAGTCTGAGTCATTGTATCAGCCTGTATAACCTTCGCCTGTGCAGAACTTTCTTGTCATCCAACTGTAACTCACACTTCCCAGGAGGTTTGATGTCTAGCTGAGAGAGAGGCCTTAAGGCTTTATGCGTCTGTACAAGATTGCGGGCGCTTTGCTATGGTTTGCCCTCATTAAAATGACCCTCACAAACATTTATATCCCCCAAGCTATCCAATGAAACACTGACACTGCTTTAAATAAAAACCCAAGCGTACAGATAATTTTCCGCAACATTCTGAGCCCCACATGAGACTATATCCTCATCATCGAGCAGGTAATTTCTCCTTCAAAACACAACAGTTCTAAATGTCACACTGTTTTTGATATTCGTCCATCTTTTTCTCCTTATTGCTTCTGAATTGGCTTTATGCCTTTGAAATGATGTTGGCTATAATAAGAAAGCAATCATGCCAACCTTTTATGTAATTCTTACAAAACATAATTTCCTCAAGATAAGAATCTTCCTCTCCAATGGTAATAAAGCACTCACCCAGACGCTTGAGAGATGAGTATCTGTTGATCTCAGGCTTCATGGCGGCTTCATACGAGGGTGGCAGCTGTGCCAGGTTATGTAGGGAGTGATGGAAGGACGGCTGGGGCTTCATGGCGTTAGTATGCTTACTGGGCTTCAATGTGCCACCGGTGGCCATCTGCATGTTGTTCATACGTGATCCACGCTCTTTAAAGACACATATGCAATGATGGACCTTGAGGTTATTTCAAACTCAGCCGTTCAGAATATACATACAACTTTGTAGAATTGTTGGTTTTACCTACCGATGGTGGCTGTATGTTTGGGACTGGAGCCTGTGGTATGGATGAAGTTATGCTGTATATTCCCCACTGTGAATAAGAAAAAAGGCAAAGGCATGTCTTTGCGAATAATTTACATTTAGTATGAATTTACAAAACACATTTATCCATCTAATACTATAAATGTTTCCCTATTGAGCTCTTTCTAGCTCCACAATGTGTTGAACATTTTTCGCCGTCTGTTCATTCTAATGCCATCATATACAGCTTCGTGCTAAATAATTCACAAATGCCCTTTCATCATTTGGCTTTTGCTTTTTCCCTATGTTCCTTTGTTGTCCTGAATTTATACAGTTGGTTGTTCACAAGACTCAAGCTGAGATGGAAACATGAAAGGAACTCTGTATGACATATAATGCAACAATACCTGCAAACTGCAACCAGGTCCATGAGGGTAAAATTAGTGCAAATTTAATACAATTATTGAATATTAATGAATTTTTGACCCAAGACACTTTATTTCATATTATAGCTGGTGACATGCGACTAATTGGCTTTTTATCCATGTAGAAATAGGATTTCATACAAAGTCAAATACTGTAATAATGGCAACATTATTGTATGGTTTTTTTCCCATTACTTTAACTTCATCAAGTAACCAATTTCAATTTCATTTTTAAGTTATACAAGATTCAACTAGACAAAACGAGTTGAAATGACTGCAATCCGTTCAAAGTTCAATCAACTTGGATGTTTAAGTTATTTCAATTTAAATGACATTAAACTGACATAAAAATGAGTTGAATCTATTATAACTTATATAAAAAAAGGTAAAAATGGTGAAAACTTATTTTGATCAGTTAAAGCAATGTAACAATGTTTTTGTGAACATTTGTGAACTTATTGATCATATATTTTTTTACAGTTCAATATTTCATATGTACATCACTATTTGTGAGTTTTCTTACATTTGAACAGTTATTGGAGTTAAAGGGTTTTGCCTACTTTTTGTCACTAAATGATGGTGACCTGTGAATTTAATTTTCATATTAAAGTTCTTTATGGCTTTTTTGTTAATATTTGGATACACAAATTCAGGATGATGGTGTGTACAGTAACAAATATTGTTTTTTTTGTTTGTTTGTTTGTTTGTTTTCATTTTCAAATGAAAAGTTAAAGTGAACCCTTTGGGGTAAAATGTCCCCCTGAAAAATGGGGCAGAACCCCCACAGTGGCATGTTGTTGCTGTTGTTTTATAATTGAATTAAATAATTATTATGATTCTTAACATTCTAACTGTGATGGACTTATTGGATTATTAATAATGTATAAGATGTGCATTTCAAACCTCATCATTATTCATCATAATATATAGGGTAACTAGGCTAACTAAATCATCAATCTGAATGAATAGTTTTTTTGGAGTTTTCCACTCACGTCTGTTATCTTTACTCTGTAGTGTGGGATATAGATTTTTCGGGGGTCGTCCAAGTGTCCCCTCTCCTCCTCCAGTTCCCAAGGCTACGCTGTTGTTTCTCTCTCCCTCTTGAACTGGACTCGACTGGTGACGCAACATTTCCACAAGAGCCCTGACAGGGAAGGATGTAGAAATGATTAGTCTATAGAGCATTGGTTTTCGCCCCTGGTCCTGGGGACCCACCGCTCTACACATTTAGTATGTCTCCCTTATTGAACACACCTGATTGAGATCATCAGCTCATTAGGTGAGAACTCCATGAACTGAAGTGAGACAGATAAGAGACATACAAAATGTGCAGAGCGATGGGTCCACAGGACCAGGATTGAAAACCACACTGATCTAGAAATACAATTTAAGGTCGATTTGACATCCTTTTAGACATAAACTCTTACCTTGGCATGTTGAGTTCTCGGTTCCTAGGCTGCCGTGATGCCTTGTGGAATGCCACTTTAATGGCCACTGCCACTGCCACAGTAAACGAGATGACTCCACCGATGACGTAGACGGTGTTGTTGCTCTGTTCGATGCGGCTGAGGTCCGGATAAGCAGGCAGTGGGGGCCTGGTCGCTGGGGGGGCTGTATTGGCCCACACAGGGGAATGGTAGTTGTGGCAGACGTTCTGGTCCAGCCTTCGAGTGCGGTCTGGACAACAAAATCGATAATGGCAGGTCCCACAGCAGTAGATGAAGTCATCCTTGGAGCAGTTAAAGGTGAGGTCATACTGCCCCATGACATCATAATAACCTCGACACACGTCAACTTCCACCAGTTTGCGAGGAGGCGGAGCTACCTTCGCTGCTCCGAAAGGGGCCTTCAGTGCATCAGTCGTTACATTCTTTGGCAGCATTATCTGAGGCAGCGGCCGGAGGGGCATTTCTGCCACTCCAGCTGGCTGCTTTGGCCGACGATTCATGGACTTCCCTCGCATACTCCCACCGCTTTTAGAAAGGGGGTAAAGAAAGCCCCTACCTTGAGATCTGGGGCTGGGCGTCGGGGTGATGGTGATGGGCCCATTTGTTACGTTTCTGGAGGGGCCCGGGACACTCGCCGAGGAAACGTTAAGTGGGACAGCGATTAGCAGGAAGAGAATAATGACACGTACTCGAGCTTCCAAGGTGGGCATCATCTTTACATGACTAATGCTGCTATTTTCTCTCGCTGACTCAACCCACCGCACAATGCCGAATTTTGTAATAACAGCCTGCTTAGTGCTGTATGTAAAATATTCTTGTAGCAGCCCTCCGACGTATGAAATCTGAGTCTATATCAAAACAGTCTTGAAAGACAAATCTGTTCTCAAAGTCTGATAAAAGTGTACGATGTGAAGCGTCACAATCTGAGAAAAAAACAAAACTATTTTGATGTGCTTTCAGCTTCAAGGTGAGTTATACAACACGTATTCTCTCATCATGCAGAGTTTCCATCCAGCATATAGCTGGAAAACCTGAACAATATGCAAAACAATCCAAATGCTGACAATATTCTGAGCAGGCAACGTACAATTGGCTAGTTTTTGTATAAACAGGAAATAAAAGAATATTTAACAAATTGCCTGTTCTGAATGCATTAACAAGGCAAATATTCCCTTTTGTGGCTTTCTTCAAAAGTATACATTTTCACATATCCACAGACACACAAAATGGCTTCTCGTTACTGTCCTCCTATTACTTCAATATCTAGTATTTTCATGACACATAAAGGCATTTAAGTTGTAGTATAACTGTGTACATTAGAAGTATTTAGGTTTAATTCTCTGTTTTGGCACTTATCAGGATGAAAGTTTCATTTAAGAGAAAGGGGCAAAATGTAAACTAAAGTTTTGCTTGTCTTCACAATTTATTTTATTTTATTTGGGCACTCCTTACATTCAGCAATGGCACTTAGTCTTTAAGCAGATTTCCCTGACCGGTTATGCTCCCTGAATGTTTACTATTATTAACTAGTATAAACAATTTCCATACACTTGGTGAAAAAAAAAACAACCTCAGAAACTAATCTTCTTGTTCTTGTTTACGTGTTAACAGGACTACTCAGAATGGTGAACTCCTTTGAGGGTTTGAGGGCAGTGTGATGAGGAATCATTTTGAGTTTGTTCAGCATCTCTGCCTGCAAACCTCTACATTACTGAACTAAAATGAATGTGCATATCCTCATTCAGCATGTAAAGAAAGACCAAATGAATAATCCGGTGTGCAAATTTAAAATAGTTGAAAGAAATCAGATATGAATTGAGTCATCAAATGTATGCCCTTCTTCACGTATTTTAGGTGAGAATGTTCAATAAACCGATGACACAGACAAACACACACACAAAAAAAAACGGATGGCAGTAAAGACGTAAAACGTTTTCAGGGCTGATTGTCTTTACAATATTTCCAAGGAGGGTGACTATGTAAACCTTCCAGTCTCTTTCCAGTTTCTTAAGATTCACGCTGCAGATATGCCTTTAAGATAAGCCCAGTTTTCACTGAGAATCGTTTGCTCTTGGTGAAATGGTTTAAAATCCCATGGTGTGGACATGGCTGTTTCCTCACGATTTTTGCAGGGTTGATCTTGGAATCCACTGGCAGTTATGAAGTGTTCAGTTATCAAGCGATGTGCCTCTGAAAAGAAATCAACACACTGATGTTACATCCTACATGCACACACACACACACACACAGAGATCAGTGAAAGTTTTTGAAAGATCATAGTTAGCTTGTCATCTGCATGGCAGCCTATTATTTTCATTGTGACACATATGGCAAGTGACAGAAAAAAGGTATGCGGCAACTAATGCAATCAATATAGAATCCACAGAATTCAACACAAAAGAGATTTTTATGGGGTTGGACTGTATGTTTTGTGGTAGAAATTCCCCTACGCACCTGACTTAAGTTAACCTGGGGCGTCTCCTAATCGACACCCAAGCGTAGTGTCTCCTAATCGACGCTTACAAATTTATACTCGAGTGCATCACCTAATTGAGGTCTTGCTGAGTCGGACAAAGTCTCGCCCCTTAAAAACACGATCACTTGGGAATAAGGTCTCTAGTGTTCCACTAACCTTCTGCGCAGCAGTGACCAGACAGACTCCAGACAAGCCCTTTCAAAATGCTTTAATCACGGACATAAAGAGTACAAGAGATTTTTAAAAAATAGGTCTCTTTTTAAAGAAGACACCCAGCCAGCAGATTATTGCTGAAGTGCAAGCACTTCAAATGAAAGTGTAAAAAGTTATACAAGTTTAAGTTGACTGTAAAACAAATTAACTGTACTAAACCATTTTTATTTTATACAAAAAATATATTTACAAAATAATTGTTACTCTAAAATTGCTATAAAATCAAAGCCAGATGTCTAACCATGTTTTGTTTTAAAATTGAAGTTCCTATGAGATTTTGTTTAGGCGCTATACCAAAAGTAGCCACCGGGTCACACCCGCATTCCATTGACTTTTTTTTTTTTAAATGCCTTCTCCTGTAACAAATTAATGAATTCTGTCACAAAATCACTTCTATCACAAAACACTCGCCAAATATGGAACAAATATGTGTTTTGTCAAGATTAGAAAATATTTTGATTATAAACATGACACCGCCATGACACCGATACCAGGACGAGGAGCCCTAAAAGTACTGTTTCCTGTTTTAAAAGCACTTTTTTTAGAAACGCATTGTCCGATTTCAAAACGGTGTGATAGGAAAATAAGGCAATAAAAAAGCTAGCGGGACGCTGACAGTTAAGGGGTTAAATCGAAGTTACTAAGAAGTCTGTGAAACAAGTGAAAACAACCTCAAAATATGTCGATGAAATGAGTCTTGAACATTAAACACAACAAGCTTTTTAACAACTTAAATAATTTTAGCACATAAACATCTTAGAGTTGTTTATAGCCTAAATATGATTTGCATTTTCAATACACACTAGAAAATCTCATCATTACAGTAGCAAGCTAACTTGCGTTTTAGCCTTATCGGTAAAATCATCTCTACATACACTCTGAGCATCAAATTAGTTCTGGTTCTTTGATCGTTTTGAATCAAATTTGGCCAAACGTCGTTTCCACCGGAAATCTGAATCAGTGAGATTTTAGAACTGCGGCAAATGGATCATTCCAGATTCATGAATACATAAATCGTTCCTAAATCGAATAAAACCAAGCTGAATTCGGAACTGCATACTATGCTTAGCTTTTTACCATATCTTTCTATGGCAGAAATAGTAAATGTAGTATGTTAGTATGCAGTTATGAATTCAGCAGTTTGAAAGGTCCAAAAATTTTTTTTTTTTAAATGGCTCATAAAAACAACAACTCATCACCACATTTATAAGCGCATTTGATTTCTTTACGTCAAAATAATGAGGAATGCTATGATTTTCTGCAGTGTAGGCTAATGGAGTAAAAACTAAGATATTAAGCACTGAAGTAAAAGTTCTTAAAAAAACATACTTCACAGTAAAAGTAATATACTTTGAATATATAGGCCTATACATTTAAAGTCGGCATGAAACAAGTTGCAATAGTCTTTTCTTCCCTATTGTGACGTATATCCGAGTGAAACGGCTTCTCGAAGGACTTTATTTTTCGGGATTTGATTGGATCATTGTGAAAGGTTTTCCCATCCTCGCGCCGAAAAACACAAGTCATCAGAGAAGACGTTTAGAAAAAAACAAGAACTGTAAATATTGATTTCATGGGGACTTAACATTTAGAAACAGATGTAATATCTACATTTAAATTCAAGCAAGATTAAGATAGATTGCATTTAATATACACACCCCTTAAATCTTAAACTTAAATCTAACATTTGTACTAAATGCAGTACAGCTGCAGATTTCAGCTCATGACACTGAGAAAGAAAAGAAGAGATGGTGTGATGACCATTTGTCTAACGTGTTACAACAAGTCACTATGAATCAGAAGCATTGAGAGAAGTGAATAGTAGCAATAATCTGAACAAATAGTGATCAGTCCTTTTCAGAGAGCATAGCATGATGCATGATGCATGACACGAGGGAGGGGGTAGAGCGAGAGAAAGAGAGAGAGAGAGAGAGAGAGAGAGAGAGAGAGAGAGAGAGAGAGAGAGAGAGAGAGAGAGAGAGATGCTTTCCTGACACTATGTCTATGTGTCAGAATGTTTGAGAGGAAGTAAAAGAGACGGTGTTATGCTAAAGTTATTCTGTAATCAATAGCTATATGCTTTATTTTTCACAATTGTAAGGGCCCGTTGAAAACCATCGAGCGGATAAAAGAAGGTTGGGAAAAGTACGAAAGAAAAGAGAGATAAGTGCAGGGTAGAGATTTAAATATGAGTACAGCATAACAGAAGTGCACAGAGCCAGAGGTATGACAGAGGAGAGGTGCTTTGTGTGTTTGTGTGTGTGTATGTGGGAGGGCAGTGTGTGGGTGGAAGAGAATGGAGAGCATTCAGTGACACCACTTACTAACACACATACGCACACAGTACACACAATACACAACACCGGGAACATACAGTGCTACATAGACAGTATCCTGGCTCACACAGGAACATTAACACGCTCTCATATGGCATACAATACACGTTCTCCAACTATGCATTTTACAGGTATATAAAATGTACAGCCCTTGAAAAGAGTGAATACACTAAATCTGTTGTCGCAGATCAACAAGTCAATGCCAACAACACGTTTTTGATGTAATGAGGAAAACTGCACAGATCGAAGCCACATAAAAATCTGCAAGAAATACAGCATTAGCCATGAAATTATACATGTGCCTGGCTGCTGCAGGCTGCGCTCTCATCTTAGCAATAGTGGTTATGCATTACGTCTACAGTGGCGGTGTGGCATCAAGCTGGTTCTGCTAAATTATTAAACTATTGACCGAAAAACAAGGGAAAAAAAAACTAAATGCAGGTATTATTTCGAAATACATAGGCACCGGAATACACAATGGTACACAGGCTCAAATCCAGAAAAAAAAAAAAAAAAAAGAGAAACTCAGTTATTAAATAAAACAACATAAGCTAATTATTCTTTGAATTATTTTGGAAAGTAATAAACTAAATATTAAGACCATAAATCTGGGTACAAGAACTGCTAAGATTAAAGTTAATGCAAATATTGTATACAAATATTATATTATACTATTCATTACATTTAAATATGTGGCAAAATGTTTTAATGTAAAAACAGGTTTAGTTACTGTGATGACTGAAATATGATACAACATTTTGATCTATTAAAAAAAAAATATTTGAATGGTCAGACTATTGTCTTATGTAATGCTGGGAACTTGATGAATGTTGCAAAAAGGCTTTTAAAAATTCTCTTAATGGCTGCTGCTGATAACAAAATATTCCTAATTAGCAGAACATAACCTGCTTGTGGTTTTGCCCCCATTTTGCGCATAATTAATATGGAGAAAGGACTAATTTAGAAAGGACTTTGCATTGGCAGATATGCAATTACGAATTTTGCACATACAGTGCAACAAGCGACCTACGTGGGAAGAATGTTTTTTTCTGTTTTTCACCATTGTATTTTGCACACAACTGTCAACGGTCCATAGAGAAGACATTTTTTAGACATGGAACGGCGATTTTAACAGGTGTGACGCTGAGTGATTCATGTGGGCCATCTACAGTTTTCACAGGAGCAAACCTAAGAACAGCCTATATGACATTAAAAACAGTAACCTCTCATTTGCATGTCTATAATAAAGCGTAGGCCATTTCGACACCTTCTTGTCTATGTGAAACAGTATGCGCCTCTACAAACTGGATTAGCTTTTCCTGAACACGGCACCCAATCAGCAAGGCACTGTGGGCGACTTCTAAGAGATGTGAAACTGAAGATGTGGCGCATTCACAAACAGTTTCTAGAACAGTCAGAAACGCTTGTTTCACACAGGAATCATGGGCGATTCATCTGATTTTAGGAAATCGTGCTATTTTCCATCTATTTCATTGTGTTCCTGTTGCAAAACATGTCTGTTTTGAATGTTCTCTCGACTTCTCTTTATCTCCCTCCATTTCCCCCTCTCTCTCTCTCTCTGTGATATTCAGTGCGTGGGTTGAGGCAGCTCACTCTCTCTCAGAATAGCACTGCAGTAGTTCAGGCTTGTATTGAAGGAGAGAAGGAGAAAGAGAATGATAGATAGACTGGATGAATAGACCCCCTTTACCCCTCTAAACCCGCTCTTCTCTCTCAAAAGACAAATGGTTTGCCCTTTTCCTGCATACCCCTGTGACTCTCTGGGCTATTCATGGACAGTCCATCACCTCCTAAAGCCTTTATGCATCTATAACATTCTCTCATATTAAAAATGTATATTATTTTAAAAATGTATTACATTGGTCTTGATCTGGTTAAAGGGCTGTCAAATGAATGCAATGAGAAGCGAAAGAGACAAAAAAAAAAGGCACTTTGTTTGCATCATGGACCATGTTTAGTTCTGTAGATCTAGAGGAATGAGATGAGTAATTATCACAGAATGAGCTTCTGTCAAATTCTGCATGGTGCCTTATGGACAGCAAATTTCACTTACGCCAATTTGCAAACAAGAAAACCAACTTTATTTATATGATGAGCTGAAATAAAGAAACCAGTTATATTACTATATTACTAAAACTGATAATAATAAATATTTGCTGCCTTAAAAAAAGTTGCTGCCTTAAATTTTTAAGTACAATCAACTTGGATGTTTAAGTCATTCCAACTTAAATTACATTAAACTGACTCAAAAATTAGCTGAATCTGGTTTAACTTATAAATGAAGTTGAAAATTGCTTAAATAATTTTGACGAATGTTGTCGTAACTTGTATACTTTTTTACAGCGCAGTGATTTAAATGATAAACATGGCATCTGCAGGTCTTGCACATTATCTTTACCAAAGGTTCACCTCATTACTGAACTCTATTACTTCTCTATTACTTTTTCCCTGTTCTTTTAAACTAAACAAACTAGGAGGCGTTGTATATAAAATAATTCACAAAGATAAAATAATCCCAGATTTGTCGCAATTTCCTATAGTTTAGTACATCTGTGCTTTTCACCAACAATTATACTTTAATAGTTGCTACCTATTGTGTGGTTCCCCCCCAAAAATGCCATCAGGCTGTGGTTCTGTCAACGTAACATAACCTGTATGAAAAGTCCTCTGCGCAACCCACCTAACAAATCGAACTTTTGTTGCTGTCGCTACAGTCATATTCCTCAATAATAACAGTTTTTTAAATATATTTCTGGTTGCTGAATGTGAAACTGTCGTATATCGAAGTGTCTCTGGAGCTGTATTTCGCACGAGGGTGAGTAGGTGGACATGACAACCAGCGCGAGAGCAATGAATGGCCGTCTGCGTAGGCGTGAATGCATGTTTACACGAAGGGTGATGTGGAGCCACATTACACTCACATATGTGTGAACATCTTCCTCCGGCCGCTTGCAAACGATTGAAAACATAAAATGTGACATGAACATGTCGAACATTTATGTTGTTGTTGTTGTTTTTCCCCCCAGCGCAAATCACGAAACTTCGATAAACATAGAGCGCGTGAACGACTGATCAGTCAATTAGATGACATGCAGCAATATAGTTCAACTTGAGAGACTTACCTGAGCTGAATTCTGTTGATCCTCACGACAGTCTCGCATCTTACTCAACCCTGAGCGACGATGATGGCTGGGAAATTATTTCCACAAACTGTTGCAGCACTCCTCTATTGATTATAGTCTCGTCTTTTGGCAACAAAACAACAGTTACAGTCACTAATTTCTTTCAAGGATTTTCTCTCACCTACCCCGGTTGTTTCCATGTTCGTAGCAACTATAGAGAAAGCATCGATTTTTACCTGATCGTGCACAACTTATTTGCGCGTTAACGTTATGTACTGTGAAAGTATTCCAGGTGAAATAACCTTTGCCTAAGTCCCTCATATATTTTTTATAACGCTCAGAATAACGTGCGCCATGAATGTTTCCCCACCTCTGTGTTGCTCCTTAACGTTGCCGTTAATCGACGCCGCCTGCAAAGTGTGCACACAAGAACATTCCGACTCTGTCACGAAACACCGGTGGAATGAGGCGGGTGTTCTCACAGAGGTCCGCTGCGCGGAATAGTGCGTTTATTGGTTTCGCGAGACGGTGTTGATGAGGGTTTGATACGTTGATTCCAGACCGCTTCAAGTGTTTCCTTTCTCAAACTACTTCTCATCCTTGCCACGATTATGGCTGGCTAAGCAATATGGTGTGTGTGTGTGTGTTGAGGGGAGACACACTGATCGGTTGCCATGGCAACGATGTCATTTGGTTTGTGACTCTAATAATCTTGATGCCTTACACCCTTAAACAAGAATGGGTTGCAGAAAAACAGTAAGGCATCGAAATAAAGACATAATAGCGTTTGCCGAATGTGGCAGTGACGGATATAGCAAAGAAAATGCAAATAAAAAAATGCAACCAAAAAAAAAAAAAGCCAACCCTGCATGATGACACAGCCATATCCTATTCTTCGCCACAGCCTATGGTAAAAGCTTAACCTTCACATAATATTTATTAGAAAAAAATAAAGATGCTCAATGATTTAAATACATACTGCACGTTGCCAAATGATTTCTACCACCTGGTAGCTGTAAAGATTTTGCATTAATTCAAACTGCTAATCTGATTCCCGCATCCATAAGCTATACTCATCGTGGGTTTCTTTTCAATAAATACAAACTTTGTTTTAATTAGTCCTTAGCTAACTAAGATTACTCATCGAGTCAAATGCATGCATGATTAAATCGGCAATAAATATTTCTTTAATTAATCTGCACCTAATCTAGTGGCTATAAATGAGTTGGAGTTGATAATCACACATCCTCTGCGGCGGTGCTGAATGCTGAACCTCTGCCGCCGGCTAAACGACAGCCGTCAATAACCATTTCAGCACCATGGAGAGCGATGCAATCAACTCTCAGCACAGCACACAATCCACGGAGGACATGAAATATTAACTACTCGGTGCAGTTCATTTGTTTTTCTTGACACAGATTCTCACAGGTGAAAAGGGCGAGCTGTTTTGCAGACTAGTAGGCCCATATTTACAGTCTGCAACAGAGATTTGAAACCTCTTTTTTTTTTAAATAAATAAATATACGATTTGAATTTCTTCGATTGTTGTATATATGTAATTCAAACTCATATCTTCCCCCTCAGCGGCTTTCCTTCCTACAGACAGCAATTAGCCGGTGTGCACTTAGCTATTCCTATACAGGTGGGTGGGCCGCTCAGGCAACCTGCGACGAGAACCGACCATCCGTTCATAACCCGCGCAAATTACAGCCCGCAATGCGCTCTCTGAATATGAGTATGGCATAAAATGTTTCGAGGGGCGAAATACACTAAATATCTTGTTTTTGAACGTCTCCATCATTATACAATGCTTCAAAAGTAAATATTGTGCTAGGTGAATGCAGCCTGAACGGAAAGATGCCAACACTGTAAATCAGTTGACAACTTAAAAAAGAGAGGAAACCCGCTGTGGCTTAAAATTAAGTAAATAAACTTCATTCGTAATTTAAAAAAATTAAGTTATGTGAACCTGACAATTCCACATAACTTATTTTTTTCAATTATTTATTTTATTTGAAGGCAACGTGTTTCCTCACTTTTTTAAGTTGTCAACTGATCACTTTTTACAGCGAGTGATACGGAATAAAAGTGCAATTCTGCAAAAACACTTAAATCGTAAATTGATTTCTGAAAACATCCTGCAATCATTTTCCAACACACAACGTCAAAGATAATATTCAAACTTTCTCAACCAGTTTCAATTGTTCAACATGCACACATAAGGAGAGAACAAATATGTTTTTTTCCCTATACCAAATGAAAGAATGAACCAAATTGCTCCCTAAAATTCTTTTATTTCTTATTAATTTAAATAACTTAAATGGCCACAAAATGCCCCATTGTTTATCCACAAGCTTTCGAAACACTGGCAAACTGTTTCAGCAACAGCCTGCCCAAAGTTCATATGTTAGAGAGGATCTTTTGGAACCAAAGGCTCCATAAAGTGTAACAATGGGCAACAACAGACTACCAGAGAAGATTCCTTAACAGCCTTTTGATAGAGAGACCAGTAGAGCCAGAGGAAAATGCAGCTGTATTCATATAACAGCGGGTAAATGCTCTTATTGACAACAAGTATAACTAAACAAATCTATTTCAAGGATGAGACCGATTGAACACCACTTCTGGCTCATTTCATAATTAACTATTTGCCCCATTGCTCTACCTCAGCTGGCCTAAAGGCTTTAAGGATTCTCTCTCAAGCATCAGTGTCAGGTAAAATCAGCCTTTCACTTAAAAACGGAAAAAGGCCTTTTTAAAAGTGAACTACAAAATATAAAAGAACAGACAAATTGAGTAAAAACTGGAAAAAAATAAAAAAAATAATACCACACAAATATGCACTCACAAAAAAACATTAAAAACAGATTTTTCATGAATAATATTCAGACCACATTTGAACCCCCTCTCTGTTATTCCTGATCTTGCATCTTTCATCACAAACACAACGATCATATCCTGTGCAATGTACTATTCTTCATTAAACCCCTGAAAAAACCTCATCTGTAACTTAATGGGTTCAGTCCAAATGCAATAGGACAGAATTACAGTAGCATGTCCCTACATTACAACAAAATCCAGCTGATGGTCATTACATAATGCTAGAGGCCACAAATTAATTTGTCCAAAAACTTTTACTACTTTTTTCATAATCTGAACAATTGTAAAACATTTGACAGACAGATGAAAAACCCCTTTTGTCAGTGAAACAGAATTGCCACAAGGACAGTTCAAGTCCTGAGAGTAAGTTGAAAGAGACATCCGAACAAAACCGAGAGGAGTGATCTGGTAGGAGCATGAGGAAATGAATGTGCTATCCTAAAACGGTATAACAGTTTAAGGAGGTGAAAAGGGGGTCTGCACACTTCAATATTTATATGTACACAAAAAACACAGATTCATTCTCTTTTATAGCCGCCTCAGAGCTCGTTTTTTATCTGTTTTCTTCTTTGCAACTATATTAGTATTGCTGCTACTTGTGCCACTGGAGCTGCTGTTTGAGTTGTTGACGCCAGCAGCCATTGTTGCCAAACCAGCCCCGGCTACACGTTTGTTTGGGTCTCCTGCATGTTTCTTAGGTTGGGGTCCATCAGCGGGCTCCTGAGGGGCCCCTGAAGTCCCTCCCATAGCGTGGATCTCTGTTAGAAGGTGAGCACGGGATGCATACTCCTTATAGTCCTCCAAAAGTAACCTCCCAGCCTCTTCGTTCAGAGCCGACTCTGGGTTAGGATGGATCAGAAGGCACTTGATGGTCTGTGACAGAAATGGATAATTAGAGGGGTATGGGTGATTCATAATACATATATGCAGGTCCTACATTAAGAAGTTCACAATTTCTGATGATAACAAAATTCCTGTTTCCATGGCCACATTTAGCCTTGGCTGAAATTGTGGTCAGTTATACAATACAGCTACTCTTGAAATATCAATATTCTTTTTAATATATTTACACTGACCATGACATTCAAGTCTGTTACAACCGTGTCAAACAAACCAAACTGTAAGGAAAATTCAGTCCAAATACATAAAGTATTTTATAAATACAATGGGATGTCTGCTATAACAAAAAAAAAAGGTTTATAATATCACTATTTAAATAATAGCTATTTTGCTCGTTTCTTGAGCCCCAAATCAGCACATTAAAATAATTTCTGAAGGATCATGTGACACTGAAGACCAGAGTAAAATTACTGTTTTGTTGATCAAATAAATGCAGTTGTGGTGAGCATAACATTTAAAAAACTTAAGGATAGTTCACCCAAAAAAGGAAAAATTCTGTGATCCTTTATTTACCCTCAAGTTATAAAACTGTATAATTTTCCTCCTGTTGAACACAAAAGATGATATTTTAAAGAATGTCGATAACCAGACAGTTGACGACAGCCACTGACTTCCATAGTAGGAAAATAAATACTATGCAAGTCAATGGCTACCGTCAACTGTCTGGTTACCAACATTCTTCAAAATATTATCTTGTGTTCAACTGAAGAAAGAAAATCATATAGGTTTGGAAACACTTGAGGATGAGTAAATGACAAAACTTTTATTTTTGGGTAAACTATCCCTTTAATGACCGAAAACTTTATACACACACAGTGAGACACAAAATCAAATAATGTGGCAGAGCTTCAGAGACGATACATTTCAGAAAGTAATCATCTAATTGGTATTGCCAAGATGTTAGAGAGGTAAAAAATAAAAATAAAATCCTTGGTTATATTTAGGGCATTTTTTTTTTTTGCAGTTTAGTCTAGGTTTAAAGGGACAGTGTCCCTTTACAAAAAGAGTCAAACGGCACTTACTAGCAATACATGTCTCAGGCCCAGCTCTGCCTTCCAGTCTCTCTTCAGTACATTGACACAGATCTCACCCTTGTGCCCAACATTAGGATGAAAAATCTTTGTGAGGAAATAGCCTCTGGGGGGTGCAGCAGGAAAATCCTTCCCAAGGACCAAACGCATCCTGAACACCCCTCCTGCATAGGGAGTTCCTTCTGTTGTGTAAAAGGGGAAAACAAAGTTTAAGTTGAAAATGTAAGCCAAGGACCTTATAAAAACGAGAAACGACCTATTATAAACTGCATTTCTTACCTGGTCCCTCAATGGCAGTGTGCAGTTCTGTGATATCCTCTTCACTGGGGTAGATTTTGATCCCCTCCGGAGGGTCTGCTGCCAAGGCGGAAACCTCTTTATACACGAGTCTCAACACTTGAGGCGGCAAGTTCTCAACGTTTGAATTCTACAAGGAAAAAACAAAACAATAGAACAGCTAATGAATGTCACAAACAATTACAGCATTAGTTGCTACAAATGGACATTTGCTGGTAAAGCTGCACACCTTCACGACATGACAAAAAATACGGCTTAAAGGGATAGTTCACCCAAACATGAAAATTGTCATTACTTATTCAAGAGTTTCTTTTTTCTGTTGAATACAAAAGATGATATTTTGAAGAATGTTGGTTACCAGACAGTTTACAGCAAGTCATTAACTTCCATTGTAAGAATAAAAAAATACTATGGAAGTCAATGGCTACCGTCAACTGTCTGGTTCCCAACGTTCTTTAAAATATCTTCTTTTGTGTTCAAAAGGAGGAAGAAACTCATATCGGTTTGGAACATCATGAAGGTGAGTAAATGACAAAATTTGCATTTCTGGGTGAACTATTCCTTTACATTAGTACTAATTTGTAGTACATTTCAAACCGGAAAACTGAAAATAACAGTTAACTTATCTAATACTAGTAACTTAACTTACTTCAGCGAATGGCACACGATCAGTGAAATTTAGCTAACTTAGCAACAGATAGTTTGACATCAGCACTGTGAAATCTGTTCTGTTAACTCAAGACAGGGATAATAGTAACGTTATAAATAAGGGTCAAAAATCGACAAGAAATTAAATCAACTATGTATGAAAAATCAAGTTTGAGTTGTACATTAGGTTAAAGCTTCTAACGTCTGCTAATGAACAAGATAAACTGCTAAAAAGTCATGAAAATGAACAGAAAATATTTTTTCTTATATTAACCAAACAGTTGAAAACATCGCTCATCGGCGCACAGTTAAAACGTACCATTTCCAGCTGTGTGGGGTTTTCTAATAGCCTCAAATGAGAAAGCTCAGGAAACTGCTAACCAAACCAGCGACTAGACTGATCTGGTGATCTATAACTAGATAGACGGAAACCACTTATAACGAATCTAAAAGTTGCAACCAATCAAGATTGCGAAATATATTAAGACGGTTAAAGAGTATACAAATGCTCAAAATCTAAATTTCACTATAATGTCGGTCGGCTTGCTAGTGTTGCTATCAAACCAGGCTAAGCTAACGGTGGGCTTGCTAAGTAATGTAGATGTCTGGCTATTCTTCAGAGCTTTCCCTTGTGAAACTGCTATCCGATGTTGTCCTCATAAGAAATCTGTCATGTAAAGGTTTTAAAGTCCAATGTGTTGTCAGTTTCGTCTCTGATAAAGTTGATTTGTTCGATAGCTAACTGTCACAGACGGCTACTGTAGCCTGTTACCAGCTAGCAGTCTTTGACACAGGAACAAAAATACAATTCGTCTAAGAAGCAGTTCGAAAGAGGTTTAACCAATCAGATTGCACAAAGACTGCATGTGCTCAACGATCAAATTAATCTAACCAATCAGAAGCTTTTGTTGCGCTGACGTAGGAGCCCTTGGAGACCTCGCGGACCAGAGAAAGTTGAGAATGCGAAAAATGCTCTTTGGTAATAGGTGCGTTTGAATAACTCGTGCCCTCCCAAAGGCAGGGACACATGTTGTTTCAATTGATGATCCAATGAAAGACTTTAGCCTGTAGTGTCACTCTGCTAAAATGTTGTTTAACCTAAATTATTTGTAAATCTAACCTGATATAATGAGCCATATCTTGTAGTGTGTTGTGAATCACATAATTAGATTCGAACACGATTGTACTTCGATACAATCCACCCAAAAAAGTTAATGTAAAACTAATTGTAAAAGCTATTTATATAAACGATTTACAGTTTTTAAGTTACATGCTTAATATTGATCATGTACATTATCAGTTAGATATATGCATTTATCTTGCCCAATGGCTCTAAAAATTGAGTTAAAACTAGTTTTTTACCCCATTAATCAGTCATTTAGATCGTCATTATTACTGATTTAATCAAGCCTGCTAAGTGAAACCATAGACAGTAAGTTGAGAACCCACAAAACAATCAGACAATACAAATATTTGTGGTGGTACTACTTAACGGCCGCTAGAGAGCAATCGCTTCGTTGTTGACGTTTATTGCGCTAATTTGAGTGTTTTATTTTTTAGTCGTACACAAACTTTGTAGATTGTTTACATCATATAAGGCACGACCTTTTACAAAATATATAATTGTTTAAATTATACAGCAAAATAAAATAAGAAAATGTAAAAATATAAAGGCACCGCTTTAGACTCTATCATTTAAAAAGTTCTGCATAATTTATCTATTAATATTATATTTAATAACAAACTGGTTTTTAAAATGTATACAATGCACTATTACAGTATGGGGGGAAAATTGCTTTGTAGCCAGCCATTTTATTTTATATAATATATATTACTATATAGATCTTCCTCAATAATAGTATGTCTATACAAAATATGCATTTCCTTATTCTATCCCATTTGTATTTAAAAAATAAATAATTTCGCTAAGGCAAAAGAGGATTTTTTTTTTTATATAGCAGTATATATAATAACAGCGCCCCACTGTGGAGCTCACATGACTCCTGCATGACCTCACTGGGCGTGCCCTCAACTCAACAACCAACAACACAACTTCCGGCCGATCCTCACGGACAACAACCGATAGCGTCCTCCTGTCAGAGATTATTGTTGGTTTAGTTATCAACAGGGGAGGTTTAATGGAACAATAAAGATTAGTTTCGTCTCGGTGGTAATAGTTTTACTGTATATAAATCATTGCACTGCGGATTCTGTCTTCCAGAAGGTATGATTGTGATGATGTTGTATTCAGTCATGTGCTGTCAGCTCGCGTGAACGCGACTACATAATATGCTCTTTCTTGGGCGTATTTATATGTTAATCGACGGGCTGAATGTACTTGTAATGGCAGGGCGAGTATGAGCGAGGGGGAGGTGTTTCATGAGAAACAGAGACTGGAGCTGTGCGCCATCCATGCCTTGAACAACGTGCTTCAGGAGAGAGTTTTCACCAAGGAGACAGCAGATGACATCTGCAAGCGGTGAGCGGCGCGCTTCACATCATTTAAAGTCACCAGGAAATCAAAATGTATCGTTCTTATTTTAATGTATATTTCAGTATTTAATATAAAAAAATAACACAATTTATATAAATAAATATTTATCCGTGTACAACTCATATTTCCTGGTAATAACTTCCCCTTGCAATGACTTCTCCGATGACGTGTTTACTGGCGCGAGGGTGGGACATCCTGTCACTCACATGAAATCACAGCAATAGCAAACAATCAATCAATCCATCAAAAACAATCAATTCCTGATGGACAAAATCAAGGCTGCCTTACAGTTTTTCTTGTTCGAGAAGCTACTTCACTCGAATATATATATATATATATATATATATACACAGTCGTGCCCAGAATTAATCATACCCCTGGTAAATATGATCAAAAATGGCGGTAAAAAATAAATCTGCATCGTTTATCCTTTTGATCTTTCATTAAAAAAATTGGCAAAATCCTAACCTTTCGTTTAAGTAAAAGAATTGAAAGTGGGGGGGAAATCACATTATAAAATAAATGTTTTTCTCCAAAACACGTTGGCCACAATTATTCATACCCTTTTATTAAATACCTTTTTGCAATCTCCTTTTGCCAAGATAACTGCTCTGAGTCTTCTCCTATAATCAGTGGCGCCTCCAGAAATTTCTCATAGGGGTGGCCAGATGGGGCCACTTAAAATCTTGGGGTGGCACACCAAAACTATAAACCATAATTTCAGAATTTTATTCTACTGTTGTAGTAAACTGGCCTGTAGAAAACTATCAGAAAGACTTAAGGAAACTCCTACTGATATACTTTGGGTTATTGTGTTATACTTAATGTTAGCTTACTAATGATATTAGTAGGGCCCTATTAATATATATTATATTATATATAATGATATATATATTATATATAGATATATATGATATATATAAGGGCCCTCGCCCCGCGGCAAATTTCCAGATACTTACATAATTGTGATGAATTTAATCCTTTTTAAGTTATTATTTTGCAGTGTAAGATTACAGTTAACACCTTTAAATATTACATAAATGTACTATGATTTTTTAATAAACTTAATGAGTGCATAAATCAGCAGCAAAAAGTAATTCTTGAAAAAATCTGCACAGTAATTTTATAAAATCTAAATATGTTAATAAAAACAAATTACTATTAGTTCTCTTATAAAATTCAATCAGGCAATCATACATTTCACAATTTTATATTATGTCGATAATTCAGAAGTGCATATATAGCCTACACTACAAAGAAATAATATACAATTAAATTATGCTTATTTTAAATGTATTGAGCAGCCTAGGTATAACAAAATATATTGGCTTTTAATAATATTTCAATGCGCAAACCCATGATAACATGAAAAACAGAGCGCACACAGCGTGTATGCGCATCGCGGGTGCAGAATGATGTGCTCAAAGCAACATGGTGACTCTGTGTGCAGCGCTGCGCTGCATAAGTGCGCATTTAAAAGTTCACGTCACAAAGCGAAGAAATGTCGAGCGCACAAAATAATCCTAGTGCGATTTGTTCCTTTGTTTCAGTCTTATATTCCAGTTATTGTGCGTTTGATGCCGATTCATAGTCCTTAGTGATGTGTGTGTGTGATGATCTAGCAAGCACACGGTAGTGAGTCGTTTAAAAACAACAACAAACTCCAACAAAATAAAGTAATTGTATGCAAATATACAGCCTTTTATCTACAGATCATGCATTATAATGTGAATATATCATATTGGAGAGAGTTTTACCGTGCATCCAAGAGGCGCGCGCGCTGTTTGAATATGAATGGAGAATGATTGACAGCCGCAGAGGAGGGAAAACGAGTTTCCGTATACTTTAATGATGTAAATAGACTTCTGTCCCTCACATTAAGCTATTGAATGACTTCAGATGACTGTCACCCAAACTGACGTGAAAAAAGCGAGAGGCGCCGAAAAGCGCGCTGTTTCCATCCCTGCTTGTCGAAACGTGGCAAAGACACATCAAAAAGCTGCTGTAACCAGAGGTGGGTAGAGTATCCAAAAACTGTACTCAAGTAAAAGTACAAGTACTTATAGAAATATTTACTCAAAGTAAAAGTAATAATCTTAAAAGTTACTTGAGTAAGAGTAAAAAAGTATCCAATGAAAAAACTACTCAAGTAGTTAGTTACTAGTTACTTTGGATCACATAGGCCTATATATATATATATATATATATATATATATATATATATATATATATATATATATATATATATATATATATATATATATATATATATAACATGACATTATTTAGATATTTTTTTATTTTAATGACTAAAATTATCATAATTAGATAAGCTATCTTTGCAACAAAAACAAGAAGAGACAAACATTATTTCTGTATATCTGTATATTATATCTATAGGCCGAAAACCATTGCCTGTCCTTTGGTTTGTATAATAGTATAATAACTTATACAACTACATTTGGATTATTAGACAATGTCGGAATAAAGTGACTCTATGGAGTTTTGCATTCATGTAAAGGGGTGGGAACCATTGACACAGATTAGAAAGTGTTAAAACTCTGCACATGTGCCCGCAGTCATGTCATGCCAAACACAACCAACGATCAAATGCACGGATCTTCTTCTGTCTGTTCTCCAAAATGTATTTAAATGTAGGCTATATTTGTGAAAGCATCTTTAAACTGGTTAACTGTGTCTAATAAGGCAGGCAAAGGCATTCGTTTTCAAGTCGAGTTCGCACGCCACTGCGCAATACACACATTGTGTGTGTACACACATTCATAAACTGGATGATGGCTTATTTTATGTATAAATTAATGTATATGTCCAAAAAAAGGGTAATGTCATACTTTGTAGTAGTGCTATATGGCGTAATAATCTGTTTGGTTGTAAAATGTATTACCTGAATGAAATGAAATCGAATGTATCGTCGTGTGGAATAATTCATTCACAGACAGCTTACGAAGTAACATACGAAGATGTTCAACTAATAAAGATCTTCATCGCTGGCAAAAAATATGATGCATTTGCAGATTTACTTTCTAGACTGGACTGTAGACTGTGGACCGCCACTTCATACAACGCTCTTGATGTAATCTTGATGTTGATGTAATCTTCCTGTTACGACTCCGATCTGATTCAGTGCGTGCAGGAAACTGAACAGATCATTCAAACTGATTCGCGAACCGATTTAGACAGATCTGCCCAACTTGTTTGATGAAGTCTTTGAACAGAATCGACTCAAAAGAGTGATTCATTTGTGAATTGAGCATCGCTCATGCCCAGAAAAAAAGAGAGAGCGCGCGCTTGGAATAAACTACGCTTTTAACAACATATTGCATTAAAATAAAGTAACGAGAGGAACGTCGCCCAACGTAACGAAGTAAAAGTACCGTTTTTTCATTAGAAATGTACTCGAGTTAAAGTAAAAGTACCCACAATTAAATCTACTCTTAAAAGTAAAAATTTTCCCAAAAAATACTCAAGTAAATGTAACGAAGTAAATGTACTTCGTTACTACCCACCTCTGGCTGTAACAGTATACTGTAACCATTGGCACTTAAAAAGCAGCACGTCACGACACATAATGCCCCGTCTTCTTTTACTAAAGAATATGTTTGACTTATTTATGAAATGCATAACTGATGCAACTAAAATTTATTCTGGCCATCGGGGTGGCCAGTGGGGTGGCCAGGAGTCGGCCAGGCCCTGGCCACCCCCTGGTGGCGCCATTGCCTATAATGCCTGATGAGTTTGGAGAACACCTGACAAGAGATCAGAGACCATTCCTCCGTACAGAATCTCTCCAGATCCTGCAGATTCCCAGATCCATGTTGGTGCTTCTTCCCTTCAGTTCAGCCCACTCATCAGGTCAGGGAACTGGGACGGTCATGGCAGAAGCTTCATTTTGTGCTCCCTAACACATTTTTGTGTTGATTTTGATGTTTGTTTTAGATCGTTGTCCTGATGGAAGATCCAACCACGGCCCATTATAAGATTTCTAGCAGAAGGCGTCAGGTTTTGATTTTTTATCTGTTGATATTTGATAGAATCCACAATGCTATGTATCTGAATAAGAAGTCCAGGACCTCCAGCAGAAAAATATGCCCACAACATTAAAGATCCAACGGTTTATTAAATTGTACACATGGGGTACTTTTTATCCTTGTGTGCACCAAACCCATCTAGTGTGTTTGCTGCCAAAAAGCTCTTTTTTTAGTTTCATCTCACCACAGAAGCCTGTGCCGTTTGAAGTTCCAGTCGTGTCTGACAACTGAATATGCTGGAGTTTGTTTTTGGATGAGCGAGGAGCATTTTTCTTGAAAACCTCCCAAACAACATGTGGTGATGTAGGGGTTGTTTGATTTTTTTTTTTAATAGGCTTTCTAAACCCCAAGACTCAACTAGTCTCTGCAATTCTCCATCTGTGATCGTTGGAGAGTCTTTGGCCACTCAAACCATCCTCCTCACTGTCCATTAAGAAAATATAGACACACGTCCTCTTCCTGGCAGAATCGTAACATCTTTAGTTGATTATAACTTCTTAATTATTGCCCTGATGGCCAAAATGGGGATTTTCAATTCTTTAGCTATTTTCTTACATCCACTTTCTATTTTGTGAAGCTCAACAATCTTTTGATGCACATCAGAACTATGTTCTTTGGTGTTATTCATTGTGATGGATGATTAAGGGAATTTGGCCATTGTGCTTCCTCATTTTTAAACTCCTGTGAAACAAGAAGTCATAGCTGGACAATTTCATGTTCCTAGTCACCCTGGTGTGCTAAAAAAGGTAAATATTAATGGGAATATACTTCAGAGATATTTTATTCATAAAAAATTATAGGGGTATGAATAATTGTGGCCAACTTGTTTTGGAGAAAAACATTTATTTTATAATGTGATTTCCCCCCCCATTTTCAATTTTTTTACTTCAATGAAAGGTTAGATTTTTGCCAATTTTTTTAATGAAAGATCAAAAGGATAAACGTTCCAGATTTATTTTTTACAGCCATTTTTGATCATATTTACCAGGGGTATGATTAATTCTGGGCACGACTGTATATATATAAATAGCTGGAATATGGCCATGATGTTTCTTCCTACATGGTTGTTTAAAGGGGTCATATAATGCCATTTTTGTACAAGCTAGTATTATTCTTTAGGGTCTAAATTAAAAGTTTGTAATATACTTTAATTAAAAATTCTCATTAGTATTGTAAGAAAACACTTATTTTACTTGGTCAAAAACAGCTCTGTTTTCAGCACGCCATTTCAGTGCATATGACTTTAAATGATAATGAGCTTCGCTCACCCCGCCTCTCTGTTCTGTGTACACCGTTTGTAACACAATAACCATAACGCGTTGTTCATTATAAACGTGGGATTATGAATTATATTGAGAACATCATACATAGAAAACATGCCGTAATGTACCCTAAGTGTAAACCTTAGACGCATTCATTGTGAAGCGTGCAGCTAGCGATTTGCAAAGATTCATATAAATATTAATATAAAGTTTAATAAAACGTTACACTCACTTCAGTTCTTCTGGAGGTTCAGCAGGAACACGAATAGCTGGTACCGATCCTTTTTTTCATGAGCAGCTTCTTAGCAAAACCAGCTCATACTGACCCTCATTTATAAAGCAGTCTGCTGAGAAATGATTCGGCAAACATGAGAGCATTGACGTTGCTCGTGGGGAATATTCCCTTCGAAAACAAACTCAGCCACTGCGTCTTCGGCGGTTCGGATTTAGGACCATTAAAATGACTGCTGTGTTCGTTATTACACCCAAGAACAGAACACCAATCGCTTAGACGCCATTCTGCTCATAGACAGTGCTCCAGCATATCAACAATGACCGCGCCGGTCCGCACAGACTATGATTGACAGCTGGCTCACGGGCGAGGGCGGGTCTGTGTTGAAACGATGCTGTCAATCAACAATTGTGGGAGGGGCTTCCGAGTGTGTGACATCACAAAATCGAACGGCTCAATTTGAGGCAGGGGAAAACATATAAGGAGATTAAAACAAAAAGACTGGATGGATTTTTATCATTTTATGATGGTTGTGTACAGGCACTGCCAACACACATTTCAGTACAATCAACTTGAAATAGTGCATGTACCATTATATGACCCCTTTAAGAAATGAGAAGCTACACACTACACACAATTAGGGTTAAAATAATGGTTGCCAAACATTTAACATTTTAGAAACTGAAATAATCACTGCAATAATAATGCAATCAGACGTCAGTACACGTATACACGTACACGTCACAATAGGGAAGAAAAGTCTATTGCAACTTCCGTTTCTGTTTCCGTTGTCTCTTCTCAGTCTTGTGCTATCTTCTCAAAGTCGACGTTGTCTGATTTGTTTCTTGCAGACTTGCCCCACAATGTGTGATGAACCCACACCGCTCTGTGTTGGGCACAGGAAACTATGACGTCAATGTCATCATGGCAGCTTTGCAGAGTCGGGGGCTCGCTGCAGTTTGGTGGGACAAACGCAAGTGAGTGTGACTTTGATCATCATGAGCTTTATGATGATCATAAAAGGTGCATTCACTTTTCTCCATTTCTGTCACACACTGTAGGTCAATACAGAATTTGTGCCTGGACAAAATTGAAGGCTTCATTTTGAATGTTCCATCAAGGGTGTCACTGGGATTTGTGTCTCTCCCACTGAGACGCAGACACTGGCTGGCGGTACGGGACGTCAACGGGCAGTTCTATAACCTAGACTCTAAATTAAAGGGGCCTGCCTGTATAGGTGGAGAATCTGAACTCAGGTCAGACTTTAACTAAGAATTAGTTCTTTTTCTACAACTTTGAAATTACTTAATCAATAAAAAGTCAAACTGACATGTGAAGGCCAAGTATGGCAACCCATACTCGGAATTTGTCCTCTGCATTTAACCCATCCAAGTTAGTGCACACACAATTGGAGTAGTGAGTAATGAATACACACACACACACACACACACACTGTTAACTGTGGACACACACACCCGGAGCAGCGCCCGGGGAGTGATTGGGGGTTAGGTGTCTTGCTCAAGGGCATATAAGTAATTTCCTGCCAGTATTGAGAATCAAACCCGCATCCTTCGGGTTACCAGTCTTGACTCTCTGACCATTAGGCCACAACTGCCCCCAATAAATAAGTATGAACTTATTGATATATTTCTGCATGAAAACATTAGCGCATGTTTCACAGCTACCAGGTGCATCGTTGCCCAGACACAATTATAATGACACAGAACAGGTAATTTAATAAGAAAAAGAGCAGGACTATAATGGCTGGTCCTTGGAAACATCACAGGACACAACAGACATACAGTCAAACCGGATCATATGGTCTCTCGGACTCCATTTACCCTTACATTTATCGCGGAGGTCGCATCATCTAAAGCTATGTTCACACTTTCTGTTTTTGAGATTGTTAAATCACTTATGGTGCCCACCATTCGAAAGCGAAATGGCACAGCGCACAGCCGCATGGGCATTCATAGCGGTGTTCTGAAAAGTGGACACGCACCGTTATGAATGTCCATGCGGGGCAATCCATTTTGAATTAGCAGCTTTTCGGGGCCAGCAATTGCTTGAATGGTGGGTTCATTATTATTCTCAATGGAAAAACACAACTAACCCTTTGCAGGTTCCCAATTAGCATTGGGTTTAAATCTAAAATATTGCCAAATAGGCACTTTTACATTTCGCTTTGAAATCAAATCTTCCGCCATCGTCTTGTCAGTCAGCTCGCCTCACTCTTGTCACTTGATGAGTGAAATCTGACTCCTGCTGCTGATCTGTGCTGTGACTCTCATTCGGCAGAATCGGCACACGCTGCATTGAGCAGACGCTTTCAGTTTTTAATTGTACTGTCTGTTCTCTAACTGAACTAAATCATTTTTATTACTATACATCAAAACAATGGTGGGGACGGTGCCGCGGTGGGCAAGTGATGTAACTGGTGTTGCGGCTGAACACCATGTAACACTGACTATCGAAGCAAGCCTAACACACAGCTCATATCTCCGTCCCTGTAAGTTACCGAAAGTGGAACCACACACGAAAACCCGCAACACACGGTAGAGACACGTTAGTGCAATGCAGAGCGGCTCTCTCGCACTGTATGACGTGACAGACAACTATCTACCCAGTGCGGTTCCGCTCACACAGCACAGCATGGGTTTTCCGAGAATGCGGTTGTAAGTCCTGAAAATTGACAGGTGTTACATTTTTTTTTAATAGAATCAAACTCCTGTAAAAAACTGAACTGTGTGTGAACATAACCATATTAAAGGGATAGATCACCCAAAAATAAAAATTAGCCCATGATTTACTTAGCCTGAAGCCATCCTAGGTGAAATACGTTTAAGTTGAAGAACTGGCATAAGACTAAAACTTAAACCGTAATTTTTTTTTTTTTTTTTAAGTATTTAGAAATATTTAAATAAAACTAAAACTAATAAAAATCACTTAACAGCGAAATGACTCAAAAGGCGGGGCACTATCACATAGAAAGGGCAATTAAAGGCAGGGTAGGTGATTTTTTCCAGAAACATTTTGTGTAATGCTGGTTGAAAGTCTCTTCACATCCTGATAAAAGTCACTAAGTCAAGTGGTCTAAATGTATTTATATGTGTATATATATCGTCCGTGGAAGGCGTAGGATCATAAAATGTTTGTCCAAAATATTATTATTATTAGACACTTGTATGCAATTATTATCAAATGAATCCCAATAAATCTTGATCTTTGTTTTTATTGATTCTTCATTCTTCTTCCTCCCAGGTCATTTCTCATTGAACAGCTTTCTCAGGATGTTGCAGAGATGCTGCTTGTCGTTCACAAGGAAGTAGACGACGATGGGACGTGGCTGAAACCAGATGACACCAGGAAGTGATTCAACCGAACATTCTCTCTCTCAATGTGGCGTAATCGTGAAAGAGAAACACTGGAGCGCCGAAAAGCTTTATGGAGAGAGCGACACTACAGGAAGATGGAAGATTCATTCACAGACACTCACACACAAAGGGAAGTCTGAGAGAATGATCTAGTGTTTAAAGGGACATGTTTTCTCATATGAAGGGGCCGTTTATCTGAAGTCACACTGGCTGTGTGCTTGTGGGGAGACGCTACTATAGCTGTGCCAGTCACTCTTCTCTTTCTCACTCTCTTTCTCTCTCCTCTCAGGAACTACCATCTCTCACTTTATCTTTATCTATGCACTCCACTGCTGAAGTAGATCAAAAACGTGTGTCTTTGTTACAACTATGCACAGAAAGGGTACTCTAGTGTTCAAGAATATATCATTCATTGCCTTTTAGACATCAGTGTACGTCTTACTATGCATAAACAAGGAAGATAAGAGATTGTAGCTCTCTCACGCTCACGTCCTTTTTACTCTTTCAAGCTTTAATGCAAACTGCCTCATTTACATCGACTCAGTGAAAGCCACCAAATGGAGGGAAACTGAATACATTTGATTTGTGTTATTTATTTGAATTTTATTGAATTTCTACTTTGACTGTTTTTGCTCATGCAGTGCTTGTGGTAGTGTAGCAAAATGGAAGAGCTGTTTGAAATCGTCATTACGGCTACAAACACTTTTGTTATGTCTGAGCTGTTGCTTTTGTCTGATTACTAATGTTTGTTGATTAATGTTGTCCGAGCTGGATTTTGATGTCATATAAATGATATTTAATCCAAGTCAATGATTCAGTCAGTTGAATTTCACAGAAATGATCACATTAAGTGCAGAGCAGGGTGTGAATTTAAACACAATTTAGGGCAAATAGGCCACAAAAAGCACCAAAAATGTATAAAATAAATATAAATTCAAAACACATGGAATTTTTAAAGTCTGTAATATAACACTTCATATTCTTTTTCCCCCTAGCTGTCAGATATTTGTGTTGTTGAATGTGTGGATATGTTTTTTTTATTATTGGAAAAACTTACAGAATGTGAAGAAAACACTCCAAAACAGACTTTTTAAAAAATATTACTTTATACAATATTTTAGTATTATATATATACATTTTGAATTTGCTTTTATTTTTCTATTTTTAAATAGTTAAAATGATTATAATTAGATACAAATAATTGAACAAAAACTATTTTAATCTTTAGAATGTATTATATCGCCGTATTTATATAATATCATTTATGTTGCTTTTTTATTGACTTCATTTTATAGGAAACAGCTGTAATTTATTTCATTTAATTGATTCAGTACTGGACATAAATGTTTAATGCTGAAATTGCTTAACACTTAATTTAATTTTTAAATATTATTTAATATAATAAATAGGTAACACTTTACAATAAGGTTGCATTTGTTAACATTAGTTAAACTAACAATGATCAATACTTCTACAGAATTTATTATTCTTAGTTCATGTTAAGCTCAACATTTAAAAGTTGTATCATTTTTAATAACTAATATTAACAAAGGTTGATAAATGCTGTAAGAATATATTGCTCATTGTTAGTTTATAACAAATGAGACCTTATTGTAAGTGTTACCAATAAATTAAATATCACATGAATTAAATATTGTGTAATATTATATAAATTAATATTATGATTGAAAATATTGCCCTTAATATAAAAAAGTTTTGATTTCAGACCTGTACAAACCCACTATAGGTTTATATAGCGAGATGCTTGTAGTGCTTTGCAACAAAAAACATTTTCAGACATTCCACTTTTGTTACTCTATTTTTATTTCATTTATATTAGACTCTGTAGTGAAAAAGGATGCCATTCAAAAGGAGCATTAAACCATAGAAACTCATTTTTTAAGGATTAACAACAGGTTGATAGCCAAGAGAAGGGACCAATGCAATTTCATATATATATATATAGATGTCTTGAAGACCTCTGGCACACACAGACACAGATGGTGTTTGCAAGATGTCCTGATGATTATTGCTGCTTACATTGTGGCCATTGCATTGCAATTGGCAAAACGCAGTTGTATTGCTCAGAGCCAGCAGAGGAAACACACACTAGCCCTCAACAATTTTTTACAGGTTTTTTTTTTTTTTTTGATCATCAAAATGCATTAACAATCAAACGTTTATACAGTGAATATATATTCATATATTTATATTATATAAATAAATAATTATATAGTGTCAGAGGGTATACAAGGTAATACAGAATTTCCACTTATAAAATAGGGTCCTGTCAAATAGTAAAAAAAAAAAAAAAGAAAGGTGAAGAGAAAACTGCATAATCATACAAAGAAATTGTGCCATCGCCACTATGCATCTGTGACTACATATAACAATATAAAAACTCCAAAATAAAGTGGTTATACATTTAAAAATAGACCACTACTGTAACGTCAATACCATCTTGTTTCCACCAGCTATATGTACAGCATGACACTAGAGGGAGAGGAAGTGACAGGATCGTACGACTAAATGAAGCGGATGGCTTTATCTGTCACTCACTTTGTAAGTTTGTTACACCCAAAAGACTCAATGGTACTGACGTTACACACAGATATTTAACATCTAGAGTTTTAAATTAGTCTCTCGTCTCATAAAGTGTCCATCCATATGAAAACTAAACCTTGCTATATATCTTTCTTTTCCTACTATACAGAAAAATAATTAGTGCGAGTACAGGTTTCTTGAATGGGAGGGGTTGGGGTGTGATTGACTGGCGCCGTAGCCAGTCAGCATGCTGGGAGAGTACTGTACTTTCAGAGAACCGCATGGAAGTATTCGGAAGAGGAGCCAGATCCACAAGAGGAGGAGCACAAAGAAAGGAAAGAAAAGTAAATATTAATTTTAAAATGAAACATTAATAAGTGCATATACAGTATATATCCTATTTATCCTACAGTTGTTTTTTTTCACATTTGTTCACATTTCTTTCCACAATGTTGCAAACTCAGCCAAGCTTCTATAAACAGCACATTTTTGTTTACTAAAAATGTGCTTTTAAACCGATTTAAATGAACCGGAAACTATTTCTGTACGACAATGCAAATGTTTTTCTGTAAACTATTAAATTCCGTTTAAACAATACTCTTCTGTAACACTTTACTGTTCAAAAGTTTGGGGTCAGTAAGATTATTAACTCTTTCCCCGCCATTGACGGAAATTTCCGGCTAGAATTGTTTGTTTAAAAGCAGAGGGTCTGTTCTTTCTTTTGATATATTGATATATTTGGTATATAACACAATATTCTGGGAGCCATGAAACTTTTGTGAAAATTATCAAAAATTCTGCCGGTGGCAGGCAACATTTTTTCTCAAAAATGAAGAGTTAATACTTTTATTCAGTAATATATGCATTTCAATTATTAAAAGTGACATTAAAAACATTTATAATGTTACAAAAGATTCCTATTTCCAATAAATGCTGATCTTTTGAACTTTCTCTTCAAAGACTCTTGGAAAAAATGATATCGGTTTCCACAGTTTTCAACACTGATAATAATAATAAATGTTTCTCGAGCAGTAAATCAGTTTATTAGAATGATTTCTGAAGGATCATGTGACACTGAAGACTGGAGTTATGATGCTGAAAATACAACTTTACCACCACAGGAATAAATTACACTTTATTATATGAATATATATATATATATATTTTATATAACAAATATTTTATAATATATTTCACATTATTACAGTTTTTACTGTATTGTTGATCAAATAAATGCAGCTTTGGTGAGCATAAGAGACTTCTTTCAAAAACATTCAAATATCTTACCAACCCCAAACTTTATAATGGTAGTGTACACGTTCCACAAAACACGCAGGACTTTTATAGGATTATATTAGAAAAGGGCAAAAGCTTGTCTGATAATATGGACAGATGGCGATTGGTCAGTAACGTTTTAAGGCGGGGCTTAGCGAATGGTCATTCGGTCTGATCTGTCTGTTCGTGAGAATCATGAGAATGCCACAGATTGCAGTGATGTCACAAAGACAAGGGAACTCACAGAGGGGGGTGGGGACTGCCTGTCACTCAAAGGCAGGTTCTCATAACCAGGGTTGCCATTGGAGGAAACGTTTGGAGTCCTGCATAGAGAAAGAGAGAGGTGCAGAGAGGAACAAGGTAAAGGGGACAATGGAGAGGAAAGGAAGCGGACGGCAAAGAGACGGAAGAATGACATGCCACAGTACGGGACAGAGAGCAGGGAAGGACGAGAGCCAGGATCCAGGGTGGAAACAGGAAGAGAAAAGGTGGAAGAGAGTTAGAGAGATGTGACATTTTCACTTTTAAGAACCTTTAGAATCTAAGAGGACAGAGAAGGATATTTAAAAGAAGACGAGAATGCAAAAATATATATAAATATAAATTTAGTATATAGAATTTGGATTTATTTCCTTTTTAAAGCACATGGAAATGTGAATGAAGTGAGAAAAAGTGTTCGTGTCAGATCTAATGTTATGAAAATAGCACATGATCTTTACAAACAGAATAATTGAAAGAGAGAGAAACAGGGAATGTAATAAAGCAGGGAGAGAGAAACTGCCAGGCAGATTGCCATAGATTTGAAAAGAGCGATGTACTTTGGACAGCATGATTTTTGACAGCGGACAGAAATATCAGAGGGGGCGGGACTTTACCTATATTGTGGATCGTCTCTGATTGGTGGATCTAAGTCTGTCTTGCAATGACGGACAGACCAATAGACAGACACACAGACAGACAGACCTCTGGACTCATGTCTGTTTTTTTTGGCTGGACTGTGACATATACACCTGTCTGTGTGTCTGTCTGTGTGTGCATGTGTTTGTGTGTGTCTGTCTGTCTGTCTGTGCGCTCCATCTAACACCTACCTGTCTACCTGTCTGTGTGTGACTGGAGCTTTATGTGTTTGTCTGCCTGCATAACACTTTCTATATTTGTATACATGTATGCCTATATATATTTGTATATTTTATAGTGCAAAGGTCATTCATAACACAACCTAGATGCTGCTCAAGCAAGGAACTAGAATATGTGAGTTTCTAATGCCTAGACATATGGAAGACTAGAAGTGCCACTTAAAAATACTCAATTTAATAATTAAAAAATTAAGATGTACAGATTTAAAAGTGTTTATTTAATTCAGGTTTAAAAATGTACCATTAAAAAGTTTGGGATCGCAAAGTCTGTTATGCTTACCAAATCTTATGAATAATACAATAAAAAACAGTAACATTGTAAAATATTATTATATATAGTGTTTTCTATTTTAATATTTTTTTCAAATGTAATTTATTCCTGTGATGGCAAAGACAAATTTTGTTACTCAGTTACTTTTTATGGAAAATAATGTGTTGCATTACTTTTGTGTCACTTTTGCGTACTTTCACACCAATAGTGCAGAAAGAGCCCTCTGTCTGACAGGGGCACTTAAAATCGTCCTAATAGAGATTAATCGTCCTTCCGAAATTATTCTAATTTGCTGATTTAGTTCTCAAGAAACATTTCTTATTATTATCAATGTTGAAAGCAGTTATGCTGCTTAACACTTTTAATATTTGTGGAGGCCAGGATTTTTTTTCACAACTCTTTTATGAATGGAACAGAACAGAAGAAAAGCGTTTATTTGAAACAGAGATCTAAAAACATTTATATAAAGGTATTTCCTTAAAATTTTTATCAAATGAATGCATCCTTGCTGAATAGAATACAATGGTAGTGTAGTGACAAATGATAAATTAAATGTATTATGTTTTAAACTTGATTGAAAAATGGATAAAGAAAATGTAAATGGCCAATGTTTTTTCTAATCGCAAGCTATTAAAGTGTTGTTTTATTGCATTACATTTAGCATTTCACATTTCACAACTCTAACATTTCAAACTTAAATCAATTACATAGTTTTAAATATGTCCGTTTAATTGTCAGTTTGAAAAGTTATTTATTCATTTTGTTTTATTGTTCAATTTAACTACATTTTATATATAAATTGAAAACTTATTTATTAGCATTTTTATTTTGAATTAATTCATTGACATTTGATTCCTTCATTTTATTTTTAAGTGGCACTCCTAGTACTCTACTAGTATTTACTTAAGTAAATAATTAAGGAGAAAATTCGAGGTTCTGCTGTTGAGCTATGTGTGAGTGATGTGCACAACCTTGTGTTGGTTTATGGGTAGGGTCATTCTGTCTGTCTGTCTGTGTGTCTGTGCATGTGTTACTCACGGTAACGGAGGCGCGCTAGAAAAGGGGGGAGTCCAGCCGGCCCCCTGGTAACTATAGAAGGGGGGCAAGGCCCCTCGCTGGGAGCCCGTGGCCGTCGGTCTACGTGCCTGATGAGAAGTGAAGGGGTCCTCGCTTTCGCTGTCGGAGTCCTCGTATTCCTCTGAATCACTATGCCACCCAGTAGGAATTATGGAAACATGAAAAAAAGTGGGGGAAAAAACACCTCATGAAATAAGTATATGCTTTATGTGCTTTCTGTTATGTGTGCATTTGCAAAAAAACAAAGGCTTTAAAGACATTTACTGAAAAATCTCTCTTAACTACAGTACATACATGTTGATATTGTCATGAAATAAAATAATCCCAGTCAAGAAGGTAATCCTTTAATCTGTCCCGCTCCTCTTTGCCATTTCAGTAATCTATGCATCTGTCATCTACTGTCTGTGCAAATGGAGTTTGTGCTCTGAACACAATTTTACTGCAATTAACAACTGCAGTCACCTCTGTTACTTTAAACAATTTGATTTGCCAACATCAGGCACTTCGAGGGAGTGTACCAAGTCAGGCTGAATCAATAGTAAGTGACTGAGCTTTCTGAACTAATGGTAATAGCGACATTAATACCATATCCAGATAAAAGGAGTGAAGTGCATTTAAGCACTAATGCCCTTAAGTTGAGATCATATTTCTCTCATCTGTGCATTGCTGATAAGAGCAGTTGTCAGTGTTTATTCTGTTACCACAGGCCCATTTAAGTCAAACCGTACTGGACCTCCATTAACGTTCGGCTGCATTTGTAGTTGAGGATGATGGAATCATGTAATTTGTTTTGCATTAAAAATCTGGAGTTTTTCAGGTTCCTGGCGAGCATTAATCTCTATATTCACATACATCGACATAGATATAGACTATGCATTCCTCAGTCTTGGAAGATTTTTTGTTTGTTCATTTTTTTCTGTATAAAAGAATAGCATTTTCCAAACTGGGGTTTGTGAGTTGATGAAGCAAATAATTAATTAAATCATGTAAATGTAAAATTGTAAATAAATAATAATAATTTTAAAAACACACACTAAAAAAGATTAAATATTTTATTTGTTTACATGGATGTCATGTGACCATTAACTGACATCAGAGAACCATGAACATGCAAATGTGTAAATTATTGAAATATTAACTTAAATCTCATCCCTAGGAAATATTTAAGGTCAAATGGGTTTGGCTTTAAAAAAAAACAAAGTTTGGGAATCCCTGAATTATGACTTTATAACTCAAAATTGGCAGTTTATATCACGCAATACCAAGGAACAAATTCAGAAAAGTTGCAATTACCTTTTTTTTTTTTTTTTTTTTACTTAGTGGCAGAAACAAGCTTCCATATATACAAGATACTGGGAAAATTATATATATATATATTTTTTTTTGTTAACGTTTCACTTAAATGGTTATAGTTATAATATGCTATGATAGAATTTGTAAAAAAAAAAAAAAATGTATTTAAGAAAAATGCAAATTAGAAGCAGTTTAAGACTTTTTAAAGGCACATTTCTGTTTCTTGATTTATAACACACTCTCTAGAAATAATGTCTATAATAAAATTAATACCAATTAAATAATTTAAATATATATATCGCCATATGATATAGGCTATAAACGAATATTTACTTCAAGTGCAACACTACTAGTTTTATGTAGCTCATCCGTCTTCACATTGTCGGCATGAATATAATCGGAAATGCCATTTCTGAAAAAAACAACAGATGGGATGTTAGACGGGGTGAAGTTCACCTAACCTGTGGAAACTCCTCCAGGCTCCAGGGAGGGAGCAAAGAATAGCTGTGAACGCCAAAGCGGAGAGAAACGAGTACAGGGAAAGATAGAGCAACCCCTCCATCCCATCATAGCACAGGCCTTTCAGAGAGTCAACATAATCCTGAGAGAGCGACATGAAAACAGGGAGGAGATTGAGACAATATAAAAAAGTATAGCTCATCAACCTCACTTGCAGTCAGGCTGAGGTGGAAAACCGGTTGCTATGTTTACCTTGTTCAGCCCTCGACAGTTGAGGAGTGCTACCAGCTGGTGGAAGTTTCCCTCAGTGGTGTTGAGGATCTGCTGTACCTCCCTGAGTGACTTCTACAAGGGAAAATAACACCGAAGCTAAGCAGTGTGTTGTGATCCACTTTACTGTACGGCTGCTATTGATCTTTCCTGTCAGTTTGAAAGCAGTGTTAACATACCTCTGCCTTTGGGAACCGTGGGAGGGAGTCTCTCTCCAGACTGGAAAGGTGAGAGTGGATGCTGGAAAGCGCTCTCTGGGACTGGGTCAGTATCTTATGCCCGTTCAACAAACAGAATTTCAACGATTTAACAGAATTTCACAGGCTAAAACCTGTAACTGCATTTCTGGTCTTAAGGCATGATTCACACCACATGCATTTCAGCCTCTTTATGAGAGAGAACATACTCAAATGGATTTATGAAGCAATATAATAATTTCCAATGGCTAAAAAAACAATTGTATCATTTATGGACTATATTAAAGGAATATTCAATACAGTGACTCAGAAATCATTTTCTTTTCACTAGAGCGGCAGTTCTATTACACAGTCAGTTTGAAACTGGCCTTTCATTTTCACATCAATATTGTTATTTCACTGTCCTTATAATTTCATTTATGGCATCAAATTCCTTTCTTCATTCATCGGTCCCTCTAAAATACACTGTCAGTCTAGGTCTTGATTACAAAATCTTGATTACAATGTCATAATCCTCTTTATTCTGTTCATCCCCACCGTGACATAAATGGCATTGCTTTTTAATCTTAATCTGTGCTTTGTGACATCATTATAATTCTTTATACTTGGGGAATTCTGCCTCGTGATATCATCAACATTCTATTTTTTGCTGCTTTAGTAATCTCTATGACATCACTGCCATGTAACAAGATTGCGCACCTGTTGAAAAGGGCTGCTCATTTTCCTGCTGCAGGTTAGGTAATAATCCAGGATTTCTATTTAGAGAAAAGAGAGAGCGAGGAAAATAAAAAGATTCAAGGCGTGGGTAAGACTGTGTATGCGTCAGAGATGAAGGCAGATGGACAGGTAGCTCTGTTCCAAAACTTAGTGAGTTGCCTCTCTGCCTACATATGCAGCTGCCTTCCAAGTGGCTGTTCACACAGAAGCATTTTTGCATTCCACTGTGCTTTCCATTGTTTTCTATGACAACATCATAGACTGTAAAAAAAATGATGGACGTAGTATCCGTGACGTTATCCGTAGGTTTCTGAAGAGCGTTTTTTGAAGCCCAAAGTGGGCGGAGCCAGCCGTCGCCATCTTGGCTGCGTCAACAATGCGTCAATGGACGTCACTCCCGGATAACCGAAAATGGGGGGGATTAGCTGAGGTGATGTGACGGCTAACAGACAGCAGATAAACGGCTAGTAGTGACAGCAGCGGCAATCCACCTGTCACTCAAGTGGCCACGCCCTTAATTATGCAGAACTTTAAGGCTTAATATAAGTTAAACGGATGAGTTATAAAAAAAATTCACCCCCCTCACAGTTGTCATGAAGGGCAAAATTACCTATATAGACCAAAACCACTTTTTGTACCAGGCTGTAAACATTTTTTTCTGCTGTAAAGTTGGGCATTTTCACATGGGGGATATATGGGATTGACTCTCGTTTGGAGCCTGTCTCTAGAGGCCAATCGATGAATTGCAATTTAAGTCACTTCCGTGTTGGATTCAAGAGAGAGACCGGATGGTTGCCGCTTGGTCAACATGAACTAGACGGACATGCTTGACAGATATTTTAGCATGCAGATTTTACATTTACCGTTGTTTGATGAATTTTTACAATTTTGCATTCCACTTTTTTGCGTTTTGATTGTTTTCTATGTCAACATTAACTAGACAGACAGGCTTGACAGATATTTTAGTAGGCAGCTAAAAATATGTTTACATTTACCGTTGTTTAACGAATATTTCGCGAGCAAAATCCAAGTCATTTCATTAGGAATCCACAGGATCAAGATTTTCCCATGAGGGTGAACGATTTCTCCACACGGATTTTGCAACGGGTTCAAGTTGGTTACAAGGATTCGTCATGTCAACCTACAGAATTTGACTTGTTTTGAAAGTGACTTCTGTGTGAGCGGGGCTTTGTGTATCGCTACACTTTTGACAATAGACAATGGACCTTTTTTACCCATAATAACCTTAATTACCCCAAAGTTGAAAATTTGCTAATGACACAGATTGTGCCTTTTTGAACAGCCTTCACGTTGGGACTATAACTGATGCCCTACAATGCTGCCAATGTAGGCAACTCAATAAGTTTTGAAAAAGAGAACTTGCGTATGAAAGAGCTTTACAGCACCTGTGCTTGTCCTAGAGTTGAAGTGAGTGGAGTTAAGCACAAATGTGTTTGGGTCAAAGCAAAAATCACTCAGGGCCTGAGAAAGACAGAGAAAGGGATAAAAAAAAGAGCAAGAAAGGGAATTGAGCAAAAGCAAATACAGAAGAGAGATGTTAACAGTGTGGCACGGTGACCAAGTGACATACTTCCCTCAGTCTCACTTGTCCCATTGCTCTGACTGCTATTGATCTAGAGTATTCAATGACACATATGCAAACTGCCTTATCCTCATCTTTTTTCTCATCCCTCAACCAGTTTTCCGATCTTTCCTCTTGTCCACTCTGCACTGTCTCTTTAACACACACTTTAATTAATCAAAGTGAATAGCACTCAATATTACCAAGAGATTCACAAGAGGACTAATTTAGTCCTCTTGTGAATCTCTTGGTAAAGAGGGTCAGGAGAAAGAGAGAGAGTGAGCGCCTGAGAGAGGACAGGAAAACTGAGTGTGTGTGTGTGTGTGTGTGTGTGTGTATTATAAAGGGAAGCACTAGGCAATTGTTCCTGTTGGCTGGAACTGGACAATGAAACTCTTGTTTAGAAGGCCAGCAACTGCCATCTCGTCCTGTCACTTTCTTTCTTTCTTTCTTTCTTTCTTTCTTTCTTTCTTTCTTTCTTTCTTTCTTTCTTTCTTTCTTTCTTTCTTTCTTTCTTTCTTTCTTTCTTTCTTTCTTTCTTTCACATCATCGGTATGGCCATTAAAGATTTTGGTTGAGTTCATTACTGGTGACCCATAATATTTATCCTTCAAATATACACTACCCTTCAAATATCTGAGCTTGGTGAACTTTTTAGTTTTAGTTTTTAAAAGAAGTATCTTATGCTAACCAAGGCTGCATTTATATAATAATAATAATAATATTGTGACAATTGTTTACAACTTAAAATAACTCTTATATTTAATTTATATTTACAAATGTAATTTATTCCAGTGATCAAAGCTGAATTTTTTCAGCATCATCACTCCAGTCTTCAGTGTCCCATGATCCATCAGAAATCATTCTAATTGTCTGATTTGGGGCTCAAGAAACATTTCTTATTATCAAAGTTAATATTTTTGTGGAAATAGAAATATTTTGTAACATTATAAATGTCTTTACTGCCAATGTATTGCCTTTTTGCTGAATAAATTTATTAATTTCTTCCCCCAAACTTCCCTTACTTACCGTTTTGAACAGTGTATTTACATCTGTAATTTTACATTTATATTTTCATATATTTTTGAAGTCCAGCTGACCATTTACTGCTGTATTCCTCTCAGCACACTCACTCTCTTCTTTTTCTTTTTTTATTGCTTTTAAGATCTCTTGTGCTCATCTTCAACACAGCATCCATGTTTCCCTTCTTTTTTCTTTTTCTTTTTTTACAAAGAAACACAGACACTCAGATTCACAAGCATTGAAGCTTTAATCTCTGCCCTATTTTCCTCCCTTTTTGGGATTGTGCCATGACTGCTGAGTTCCCAGAGTGGAAAACATTTTTCATTATAAAACACGCACAAACACACTCTATTCCTCTCTTCCTCTTTCATAAGCAGACAATAAGTGACTGCATCTTGGCTGGTGTGACCTTTGAAAACTTAAAGTCACATTCACAGAACTTTGGCTGGACACAAATGCCTCTGCAAAGCGAGCTGACACACTCATTCACACACAGATGGCGGTATTCTGTGCTGGACGTCCGCTTGCGGAGAGCTGTTGTTTTTCTTTCGGGCTAGATGTTGCTTGAATACTCACCACCACTGTGGCCGTCTCCAGGCCGAGAGAACCCCAACTCAGAAACAGAGCCAACCAGGCCAGCACTGTCATCCTGCAAATGCACGCACACACACACACACATTTTCACCATCTGCCTCTCTGTGGCTGAGTGGGTGTCAGTAAGCAAAAATAAAACTACCCTTTTTCTGTACGCATTTTCTATCTTAGGAAATTCAGAAACATAATATACATGATAAAACATTACTATGAATGTTTATGTTCTATTTACATTATGCAGGAATGCTGTGTGCATATCAAATCTACCAGACACTCACTTAAAGCAGTTCAGAAATGAGTGTAACTCACAGAATAAGTAGCCAGCGGGCCTGTTTGGCTAAACCCAGAAGAATAAAGAAACACACCACCAGATCCAGTAAAAGCAGCAGCACGTACGACAGCCACCTAAACAACAAACACAGAACAGACATTTTCAGAACATCTTCAATACAGTGCTTTTCAGACAGTGAAATCTCAAATCCTACACACATTTTTGTAACACCTGCCAATTCCAAATAAACAGAAAAAAATAATAATAATAATACTAGAAACCAAATTAATTTGGCACTATTTTTTTCTTATCATTTATTAATTCCTCATATTTTCAATTGTATAATTTAAAAAAATATATTGCCATATTCAGCTCTGCTATATACTGATGTGATGTATAGATATATATATATATATTTTTACAATACACACACAATATATATATATTATATATATATATATATATATACACTCACCTAAAGGATTAGGAACACCATACTAATACTGTGTTTGACCCCCTTTCGCCTTCAGAACTGCCTTAATTCTACGTGGCATTGATTCAACAAGGTCCTGAAAGCAAGCTTTAGAAATGTTGGCCCATATTGATGGGACAGCATCTTGCAGTTGATGGAGATTTGTGGGATGCACATCCAGGGCACGAAGCTCCCGTTCCACCACATCCCAAAGATGCTCTATTGGGTTGAGATCTGGTGACTGGGGGCCATTTTAGTACAGTGAACTCATTGTCATGTTCAAGAAACCAATGTGAAATGATTCGAGCTTTGTGACATGGTGCATTATCCTGCTGGAAGTAGCCATCAGAGGATGGGTACATGGTGGCCATAATGGTCAGAAACCATGCTCAGGTAGGCCGTGGCATTTAAACGATGCCCAATTGGCACTAAGGGGCCTAAAGTGTGCCAAGAAAACATACTCCACACCATTACACCACCACCACCAGCCTGCACAGTGGAAACAAGGCATGATGGATCCATGTTCTCATTCTGTTTACGCCAAATTCTGACTCTACCATCTGAATGTCTCAACAGAAATCGAGACTCATCAGACCAGGCAACATTTTTCCAGTCTTCAACTGTCCAATTTTGGTGAGCTCTTGCAAATTGTAGCCTCTTTTTCCTATTTGTAGTGGAAATGAGTGGTACCCGGTGGGGTCTTCTGCTGTTGTAGCCCATCCGCCTCAAGGTTGTGCGTGTTGTGGCTTCACAAATGCTTTGCTGGATACCTCGGTTGTAACGAGTGGTTATTTCAGTCAAAGTTGCTCTTCTATCAGCTTGAATCAGTCGGCCCATTCTCCTCTGACCTCTAGCATCAACAAGGCATTTTCGCCCACAGGACTGCCGCATACTGGATGTTTTTCCCTTTTCACACCATTCTTTGTAAATCCTAGAAATGGTTGTGTGTGAAAATCCCAGTAACTGAGCAGATTGTGAAATACTCAGACCGTATTTCCATTTGGCACCAACAAGCATGGCACGCTCAAAATTGCTTAAATCATCTTTCTTTCCCATTCTGACATTCAGTTTGGAGTTCAGGAGATTGTCTTGACCAGGACCACACCCCTAAATGCATTGAAGCAACTGCCATGTGATTGGTTGATTAGATAATTGCATTAATGAGAAATTGAACAGGTGTTCCTAATAATCCTTTAGGTGAGTGTATATATATATATATATACAGTATATATATATATATATATATATATACACACACACACACACACACCGTTTCAAAGTTTGGGGTCAGTAAGTTTTTATTTTTTTTATTTCTTTATTTAGCATAGATGCATTAAGACTAAAAGTGACAGGAAATACATTTATGATGTTAAAAAACATATTATTTATGTTTCAAATAAATGCTGTTCATTTGAACTTTGAACTCTATTCACCAAAGAAATCTGAAAAAAATGTATTTCGGTTTTCGCAAAAATATCTAGCTGTTTTCAACATTGATAATGATAAGAAATGTTTCTTGAACAGCAAAACATCATATTAGAATGATTTCTGAAGGATCATGTGACACTGAAAACTGGAGTAATGATGCTGAAAATTCACAGAAATAAATGACATTTTAAAATATATTATAAAATATAGAAAACTGTTATTGTAAGAATATTTCACAATATTACTGTTTTTTGAGTAATGATGCTGAAAATTCAGCTTCGCCATCACAGGAATAAATTACATTTAACAAGAAAATAGAAAACATTCATAATTAATATAATTATGCAATTAAATTAATAATTTACTGTATTTTGATCAAATAAATGCAACCTTGGTGAGCATAAGAGACTTCTTTCAAAAACATTACTGAGCCCAAACTTTTGACCAGCACGGGTCAGAGTATCAGTCTTACATTTCAATATTTTAATCAGTTTCAAAGGATTGTATTATGGACAAACAATATTTTCTTTGCTCTTTTACAACAAAGAACTTTTATGGACCGTGACAGTTTAAGCTTCAAAAATCTTGACTAAGAATACAATTATTCAAGGCATAGAATATGGCCCTTTTGAGCATATTGTTTTACGATATATTTTTATCAACTAAATATCAACATCTATCAACACTGAACACACAAATCTGCTTTTGACATCTCCTCACCTATAGTCTTCATTCACCATGAGGGTGTTGGCTGCCCAGCCTGGGGAGAAGGGCGCAGGAATGCTGTTGGCGGATGGACTGAGAGTGATGGCTACAGAAGGTGGGGCTGGGGTAAGTGCTCCTACTATGCTTTCGCTTCCATTCGCCCTGTAAAATCCATCACCGACGGGAATCAGACCTCTTCCCAGAGTCAGGTTGGAGAGGATAGACACGACCCGCTCTGAGAGACGCCTGCAGGAGCGTGTGGGCACGAGCGCCGGCTTATGTCCTCCAAACACATCCTCCAAAGAGGTCAAGGGTCCTGAGACAGACTGCTGCAGCCCGGCCACGGTGTCTGAAACCTGGACATGCAAGAGGAGAAGATTATAATGAAATATTTCACTTTGAATGGCATGAACCCAATGCATTTGTACCCAGATCTGATTTATGAACATACTGGCTTAAATACAAAATTAAAGGGTAACACTTTACAATGAGGTCCCATTAGTTGACATTAGTTCATGCATTAACTAACATTAAAGGGTTAGTTCACTCAAAAATTCTGTCATCATTTACTGTTGTCCCAAACCCATAAAACTTTCATTCATCTTCAGAACACAAATGAAAATCTTTCTGATGAAATCTGAGAGCTTACTGTCCCTCCATTGACAGCTACGCAACTACCATTTTGACTCTTCAAATAGTTTATCGTAAAAAAAAGAATCCATATGAATTGGATTAGCGGTTTATTCCAAATTTTCTGAAGAGAGTCAATTGCCTTATATGATGAACAGATTGAATTTAGGCTTTTTTCACATATAAACCTTGATCAGCAAACATAAACATTCAACCGAACCTGCTTGAAGCGCGAAAACAAACCTCATTGGTTCCTGCCGAAGCTCAAACGTGCTGAGTAACATGAGAATGAACCTCATTGTATACTCGCACAACTGATGTGTGAGTTGATGAATATTTAAATGTGAATAAAATCCTAAATTCAATCTGTTCATCATATAAAGCGATTGTGTCTCTTCAGAAAATTTGGACTAAACCGCTCAATTCTTATGGATTAGTTTTACAATCTCTTTATGAACTTTTTGAAGCGTCAAAGTGGTAGTAGCATAGGCTGTCAATGGAGGGACAGAAATCGCTCCGATTTTAATAAATGTGTTCTGAAGATGAACAAAAGTCTTACGGGTTTGGAACAACAAGAGGGTGAGCAATTAATGACCGAATTTTCATTTTTGGGTGAACTATCACTTTAACAATGAGCAATACAGTTACAGTATTTATTAACCTATGTTGAAGTCGGCATGAAACAAAAGTTGTGATAGTCTATTGTGACGCATATACAAGTAAACCGGCTTTTCGAGCAAGAAAAAATATAGGGCGGGACTTGATTTTGTTCGTCGGGATTTGATTGGATCGTTGGACTGTTGCGGCTTTCTGTTGCTGTGATGTCATGTGAGTGACGTCATCAGAGAAGAGAAGAGATGTCGCTGCAAGAGGGAGGGGAAGTTTTTTTGATTAAAGATTACGACGGCACATGAATTTATAATAATTACTGCAATATTCCATTAAAAAAACCAAGAACAGTCAAATTTGATTTCATTGGGCCTTTAATGTTATTAACTGTTCATTGTTAGTTCGTGTAAGCTTAGGCCCATATTATCACAACATTTGATTTTAATGATGTATAGTAAACGTTGAAATATAAGATTACTAAATACTTTACAAAAGAAAAACACTTGTAAAGTATTTAGTAATCTTATATTTCAACGTTTCCTATACATCATTAAAATCAAATGTTGTGATAATATGGGCCTAAGCTTACACGAACAGGGTATTGTAAAGTGTAACCTTATTGTAAAGTGTTACCAAGAAAAGAATAGCGGAAAAGATGTGTGGGATAAAGGACAATGGAATGGAGTGGAAAAAGTGGGAATGAATGGAGAGGGTCTTATAAAAGTACAGTAGAAGTAAAGTAGGTCATTAATCACATTGACACACATTCATCGATTGACCATATGAGCAACCAGCCAAATCAATACCCGGAGAGGATTTTATCTCACACAAATGCATTCAAAGACTCTCTCCGTCCCTCTCTCTCTCACACACACACACACACACACATTCAAAACAGATAAGACTCATCTGAATTCCCCTGTTCGGTTATAGCAATCACAGTGTAATAAAATCATGGAGTGTGTTTGCTGAACATCCTGTATTTCTTTTGGTCCCCTGGCGCTTCAAAAGGAGATTGATGGAATAAGCTTTTGTGTATGTATGAGCGTGTGTGTGTGCATTTCTGTTCTCACCAGAAGATCGATGGAAGCCAGCGTGTAATTGGCAGTGAGCAAGGATGAGGTCAACTGATACATCCCATCATTCGCCTCACTGTTGCCGTAGAAACCAATGCCTATGGCAACACTAAAGCAGAAATATGAACAAGGAAACAAGGAGAGGAGACAAAGAAGGAGAAAGTGAGAGGGAGGAAGACAGCATAAATAGAGAATTGAAAGTGAGAAAGAGAAAACCAAATGAGACATATTTAATCTAGTTACACGTATACACTACCCTGCAAAAATTTAGGGTTGGTACGATTTTTAAATGTTTTTGAAAGAAGTCTAATGCTCACTAAAAGGCTGCATTTATTTGATCAATAATACAGGACATTTTGTAAAATATTATTCAAATTTAAATAACTGTTTTCTATTTTAATATATTTTAAAATGTAATTTATTCCTGTGATGGCAAAGCTGAATAATTTTCAGCAGCTTTTACTCCAGTCTTCAGTGTCACATGATCCTTCAGAAATCATTCTAATATGCTTTTTTAAATATATTTTTGATACATTTCAACGTAAATACAAGTTATTTGAGTATGAAATATTTTCTTACATGTCACTTTAGATCAAATTAATACATCCTTGCCAGTTCTTTAAAAAAAATTAATCTTACTGACTAAAAACAATTTAATGATAGTGTACATATATAATGGTTTTCATGCAAACAGACTAAGAAAAAAGAGCACTGGAATCCAAACCATCAACACTGAAAATCCACTCATTTACATCTCTATTTCACATTCAAATATTCAGATTAATGATTGGACCAGATGCTTGTCCAATCCTTTCCGACCTGTCAAAAATAGCACAGCCCAATCTCTCGCTGTTTGACCCAGATTAAGCCAAAGAAAGCAGAAGAGTGTGTTAATGTGTTTTAAACGATAATTAATATTGCAATGCGAGCAGTAAAGGTGTTTATATGCCTATATGCAGTCCTCGCTGTAAATCAGCATGTAGCTTTTGAATCCCTCAGAAAAAGAGGTCAACATGGATGGGAAGGGGGTGATGTCATGGGGGAGGAACACGTGCCACATCAGAACGTTTGCATCATGAAATCACGCACAAAGCAAACTAAACCAACTCTTATAGAGACAATGATAATTTACACAAGCAATTTATGTGTGACATAAACAGCATTAATACATCATGCTGATGGTTCAGATCAATGAGGCTTGAAAAAGCATTGGGTTTCATATTCATAAATATGTTAAATGGGATGTTTCTGTATAATTGAAGGAAACCATCCTTTGCAATTGTGCATATGAAACAGGTTAACTTAGAAGAAATCATGATATCTTTATCTAATGCAAATCTAGAAATGGGGGAGGGAATACTATTTCGCTTATACAGATAAGGGCAGTTGCTGATAATAGAAGCCCTGAACAGTTTACTGTTTCTGCACTCTGATGTGTGAAAGCACAACATGGCGCGAGTTAAATACAGTGGGGAACATTTCTCTTTTTCACTCATCAGTACTTTCCCACAGGGACTGAATAGATGATGGCAGGCGCTAAATGTCATCTAATCTTTAAATGATGCAAATTGCTTGATCGCTATAGCAGTCATAAACAAGACACAGATGATGTCATCAAAGTCCTGTTGTTGCGCATCAAAAATATAACACAATACACACAGAAATTATGGAGGAGCATTATTATATATATAAACAGTCTTTTAAGCGGACTTTATAGACTTAATAAATAAAAATTGGGGGGATGGAACAAATATTGCTTTAAAATTTTGTAATACATTTTTTTTTTTTTTTTTTTGAGCAAAGAGGCATTTAGATGTACCATCGGTCGGATTTTCACCAAACTTTTCTCTGGTATTCTGGTATGCGAGAAAAATGAAACTTTGTATGTGCTTGTGTTTCCATTCTCCATATTTGCATGTGTGTGAAGTCTAGTGTAACCGCACTTTTACACACACAATATAGATATCATTTTTTGTGTTGCATGATTATGGTGCCACAAGGGCAAAATATAAAATAGAACTTCAAATTCTGAATTTTGACTTTTGAATTAAAAAAATATCCTACTAAAAAGATAGTAATCACTGGCATATTAAAATGACTGTCATTAACAGGTATTACCAACACAATGTGACTGCTGCAATTGATACCCATGTGACACAGCAAATGCCCCGCCCTTTTTTGCCACTGTATCCATGGCCACCGCTGGCATCATCGTCTTCCTCCTCTTCCTCTGCATCCCTGCCCCCCTCGCCACGATGGCAGCAGCAGTAGTGGATGAGGAAGGAGAGAACGACAAGCAACGAGAGGACGAGAGCAATGGCGGAGAAGCTGGAGAGGACCAGGAGAGTCTGTGAAAAGAGAAGATGGAAAACGAGTAGGAACAAAATACTTTTCACGTATTAATTTACAAAGTACTAGCTGGTTTAGCGCGTGACATCAGTTTTTTTAGATGATGTCTTTGGTCTAAGAAACAAAGAGCAGTAGATTGTGAATCAAGTCTTGAATCTGATCATCAAACTCATTTAAGACTTAAGAAAAATAGTCTTTCCACTTCAAAATGTCATGTTTAACTCAATGTGTTATTTGACTTTTTTTCTTCGAAATTATTTGTGAAATTTACTAGCAATTTCTGAGTACGAATTGTTTAACTTAAAAGTAAATCTTTCTTTGGTGAAAACATCAAATTGTTTTCAGTGTAAAAAAACAAACAGACTACAGGCCTACATACTGCATAGCTGCATACCTTTAAAGCACATGCATGTACTATATTGAAACCAGTGTGACATAATCTTATTGGCTAATACAGCATGGATGCTCCACTCAAAGAGAGGGAAAGGGGAGGTATAATTAAAGGTTGCTGTCAGATTCATACACACATTGAACATTCAGGCTACATAAACTATACATCTGCAATCTAGTCCCAATCCATCTTCCTCAGTTTCTCTCACTATCACTTTCTCCCCATGATCCCCATGGTTTCTCTCCATGCTTCCGCTCACTCATCCCTCACTGTTCTCCCCCTTTCTTTCTTTTTATCCACGCCACTGGATCTCTATTAATAATCTGTGACCTACTTAAATACATTCACTGCTTTTCCCTCTGATTCTCTCTCTTGTTTTTTTATCTCCCGCTCTCTCTCCTCTTCGTTGATTTCTCCTCTCTTTGCAATTCCCACTATTACCCAAAAGTATTTCGCTCTTTCGTTTCTACCCTCAACCATCTCTCTTCCTCTCTCACTGTCCGTTATTTTCAAGCACATCTGTCTCTTATCATCTGCATCTTATCTTGTAAATCCATTCAGGCATCCAGCATAATCTGACTTTGTCTCTTCCACCTTTATCCATTTGTGGTGAAGCTATTTCTTTTCCTAAGAGCAATCTCACTGTAGCTGTTTCATTTCTGCATCGATAATGTCACCACTAGCCTGAAAAGACAGATCAACCATGAACTCTGAGGCTGTTTATCAATGATATATTCTTCTGTTAGAGTCGTTGGTTCATATTATTTTATCGTATTGTTTCACGGTGCAATTCCTGGTGAAGAAATACATTACCCATGATGCTGCAGAGAAATATCCACCAATCATAGAATTGCAACAAACAAATGGGCGTCTGCATTAATCGCCCACTACCATAAAGCACTGCAAATGATGTAATCGATTTGTAAATTACTAATATTTTACTTATAATCAACCAGTGTTTGCACTTTTTGTGGGCAGTCGACCTACAATTTCAGTGTGACGTACTTATAACTGTCTTTGCAAATCTGAATATTTCGATTAGGAGAGGAGAAAGTATAATTTTAACAGAAAAGATTACACACTGAAGCAAAAGCATCAAACAGCATGCATCATTTTTGTTTCTATTTAATCTCTTAATGCAGAAATATATATATATTGCTAAAGAGAGATAAGCACGACACACAGCTCGAGAGCAGTGGAGCTTTTATTATGCCGTAAACCGCTTCCGCTTCTTCCGGTCATGCGTATGTGGGGTAACGCAGCACTGTTTTATCATATTAGAAACATTTGAGTGTGATGAAAGTTTTTATAATGCTATCGATATTAGGCATTGTAAATATGGTACTCGCGGTTAATCAAGAAAATGAGATTTAAACAAAAAGACTAACTGTGTTGAGCTGTATAACAATAGTTTTCTGTCGATGAATGTATCCAAACAGTTGCTCACCTGTCTAATAAAACAGATAATTTATTAAAGCGACTTTGGTATTTCCATGGTTTCTACAAAATAAAACCTGAAATCGAGGGTAACGCAGGTATGATGTCATTGATAGGCGACGCACGGACATGGTCCGTGTTAAAGGTGCTTATTTCTCTGGATTGTAACATTCTTAAAAACATTTGGGATAATGTAAGTACACAAATCAACAAAATATATAACATTGTTCTATTTTGATCCAAAAATCGTACATAGTGTTCCTTTAAGTTCACGTCACGTTAGAACTAACAGCGATAGTTTCTGAGAAGTTACTAAAGCAACGAGGCGGCTTTTATACAAGAGTTTAATAAACAAGATATTAATATTTAATAACTTGTAGGCACAATATTGCCATTTACTTTCTACGCTTTTTGCTCTGTCAACAAAGAAAAGCTCCAAACTAAGCCACAGCACAACACACACTAGTTGTGTTTCATTCCTGAATGCTGAATAAATCGGATAAATTAATGATTCAATGACTCATTCATATAGACTGTCACATGTTTTGTTCTGGAATTAATCAGTGTGGTTGAATGAATCTGTTGAATAAATGAATCAGTGACCCAATCATTAAGTTACTTGTCACGACCAACCGGTAAAGATAATGGTAACCTACATATTACGTATGCATGTTATTGAGAAATTACTTCCATAGACTAGGAGTCTGTCTGAAATGGCTGAATCACGGACTTGGATCCAAATTTGAGAACCGAAACTAATGGTACAAAAAACCCCCGACATATTTATTAATATTTTACATATTTAATATTTTCTCAACGAAAATGGAATGTACACATCCTCATTTAAGCCACAGTCACTGCTTCATGGCTACTTTTCTAATATGTTGGACATAGATAGTCATATCTTTTATCAAAATGTAAGTGATGTGGAAACATACACTTAAGTAAACGGATCTCTGTCATAATGGAGTTTTCATTTTTAAATCAGTCCATCATGCTTTTAGTCTCTGATACTGCAAGTCTATGGTTCTTTAGCGACTGACATTAGATGATTTGAGATACAATTTTGAGTCAATTCATCTTTAAACTGCAGAAAGAAAAGTGCTTTGAATGGTTTTGACTAAAACACTCCAGTTTATTCTCTCTGAGAGTGTGTTAGAGTGTAAGAGTGCCGGGGAGAGAGTATGTCATGCGAGTCAACGAGTAAATATTTCTGACAGCAAGAAAAAAGACAACATTACAATTATTTTTAGGGAAAAGCACGGCTAAAGTAGTTCCGGGCAGGTCTTGACCGCATTACAGTTCCATATCACCTCGACAAATGATTTCAGTTATTTTAAAAGTCCTTACAGCCTACAACAGCAAAAGAACCAAAACCCACAATGACACTGACCAAGCAAATAAATATAGTGAACAATAGGATAAAAATGACAAATTGTGTTCATGTTTTTTGCCACAAAATTATGTTTTATTATGTACGGAAAGCACATACTCATTTTCTCCAGCTCTCTCTCTCTCCCACTCAAACGCACACACATAGACACACACTTGCACAGAAACGTGTTGTCAGCACTGCTCTGACGATTTTATCAGTAAAATAGTTTGACAACTTCAAAGCTACATGAATTTCTCACTAGCGAGGTAGATGAACGTACAGTTTCCCTATTAGAAGAGACGCTGCTGCCGAACACTGTTGAGAGACGCACCAGACTCAGGTAATTCACATACGCTTAATCTCTCTCTCTCTCTCTCTCTCTCTCTCTCTCTCTCTCTCTCTCTCTATATATATATATATATATATATATATATATATATATATATGTTATTAACTGCATTAATAACTGCATTAGCCTGCAATCAAGCCTCCGTCACTAGCTCTAAAATTACGTTTTGGAATTAGCAAAGCGTAAGATATTAGTCCCACACACAAGAGCATTTTAAGGACAAAAACCTGACAAATGTCTTGAAATACATCATCTGAAAAATGTTTTGAGGTGCGGTAACTTATACTATAAGCGGAATATTTGACTACGGGCCGTTGAATTATTGAAAAATAATGCAATAATGCGTAGCCACATTACCACCTCAGGTGTGCATTATTATTCTAATAATTCAACGGCCCATCGTCAATTATATTGCATAATATGTGATATAACTTAGACAAAATGACAGGGTGCGAACAAAGGAGAGAAAATAAAGAGCGAGACAAAAATAAATGTGTCTCTCCAAGCCTACCGCCAGTTGTCAGATGTGAAAATTGTTTCTGAGAGTGAGAAATAAGGAAAGGGCAGAGGAGAATTGAGTGTGCTTGAGAGAGTGAGAGGGTTACCTGCTGGTACTCCCAGCTGTCTGGAGTGAACACGCTGTCTCGGGTCTGCAGGGTCAAGTCCAGGCGAGGAATGGCATGGCATAACCGTACCCATACCGATGGGGTGTAGTTGGGGACAGTTGCTATGGCCGCCATGAATGCAGTAAATCACCTCTGTCTTTCTCAAATGTCTGTAATGGTTGAGAAACAATTATTATGATTATTAAAGGTGCAGTACGTGATTTCTGAGAAACACTGTTAAAAGTGTATCGGACCGAGCACCACAACACACTTGTAGCCAATCAGTAGGGGGCGTATACACTCATGATGGGGGAGGAGAGAGTGAGCGTGGGGGAGATTTGAAGAAAGACTGTAGAAAGCAAGATGGCGGAGAGACATTACAACAGAGAAATAACTGGGGAAAAAAGGGTTATGATCAGGCAAGAGCTTTAGGACCCTCGTTAATATTAGAACAACTTTCCAGAGCTGGAGTAAACTATGCGGGAAGGCCGCTTAGTAATATTGAGTAACATTGGTTTTGCTATGTTTCACATAACATTGCTGTTATTGTAATGTTAGCTATAGTAACAGGACAGTTTTGAGTATCATTGTTTGTCTGGAGCTGGTGTGCTGCTAGCATCTAAACAATGAACTCTTGCTTGTAATGTATATATTCTTGTGTACAATGTTATTTTGTTCTTTCTTGTCGTTTGTTTGTCATCTTTGCTTAATTTTTCGAATAGCATTATTTTGCATTGCGTGTATGTGCATTTTGGGGGCGGAGCAGAAATGGGAGGGGGGTGTTTGTTTGAGGTTGATTTCAAATATCAACAGTGTTTCTCAGAAATCACTTACTGCACCTTTAAGAAAAAACACCAAGATTGGACTGTGAGCCAGCTATATATTACATCACTTAAAGGTGCTCTAAGTAACTTTTCTACTAAAATTAATTCTTTTTTTATTGCCTGTGTGTAAAGGGGTTGTAATCACACATTAAAATGATCCACTTGTCGAGTTTTGCTATTACCTCTGAAGGCCAGTATTCCTATTTCTATGTGAAGTCTCCGGGTCGGATTTACCGCGAAATCCAACGGATGTGACCGTGCATGCGCGCTCCCGAGCCTCTCTCCTTATATACAGTCTATTGTAGACGGTCAGGGAGTTACGTCCGGTTAAAGACGCACGTTTTTCGGCTTATATCTCAGTCAATCTTTGATCAATATTCCCAAGACTCAAATCGTTCGTAGTGCTGGACGGGGCCTTTCGAACGAGCCCACCCCCGAGGTCCAACTCGCCCGGCTCCCCGAGTTATAGCCGTTCGAAATCGGGGGTCCCAGCGAACGGCGATCCGGTAGGGGGCATCCCCGAGGCCCGCCACTCTAGCATTCGGGCAAGGGTTCCCCTGGGACCTCCTCCCCCGAATTTGAGCTCTCTGGGTCTTTGCGTTCCAGAGATACAAGCGATTTTCTTCTGAGATCGTGACGTCACCGGCGTCCGCAATTTTGCAGCGCGCCCGATGGTTTTCTGCTAATATCTCCGCGAAAACACCACCAAAAACTATGGAACTTATATGGTTCTTTTCAGCTCGACTAGATGGTCCCAACGAGCTCGATGCTCGCCGAATCCGTCAAGTATTCGCCGAGATATTTGCGTAATAGACGGTATTGTCTATGAGTTCGAGCACGAGCGCTCTTGTAAAATTTGGTTGCAATCTGAAACATCACCACTAGAAGCCGCTAAAAGTTACATAGAGCACCTTTAAAAGTTTTTTTTTTAATTAAAAACAGATTTCAGCTTTTTTACTTTATATAGCCTATATATTTATATATGAAAGTCACATTAAAACCACCCTCAAAAACTATTTACACATCATCATTTATTTTGATACTTTTATGTATAGATTACATTTAAAGTCTCATAAGATGTCCTAAACCTAGATTATGAAATATATCCACTATAATTTTTTTTTTTAAATCTATTATAAAAATATAAATGTATAATTTTTTTAAAGAAAAATAAACTAACTAAATAAAGACTGAGATAAACATAAATTATTTTAATATTTATTGAAATGTTATATAGTAATAAGTCTATATTAGCCTATACTATATCATATTCTGATTTATTTTTAGACGAACATTTTGTAAATTTGTGTATTGCATATATATTACTATTAAAGTCGGCATGAAATAGAAATTGCGTGACATTTATCTGAGTGAAGCGGCTTCTCGAACAAGAAAAAAAAATTGGGCAGGACTTGATTTTGGCCGTCAGGAATTAATTGGATGGTTGTGGTTTGCTATTGCAGTGATGTCATGTGAGTGACAGGTTTTCCCGCCCTCACACCAGCAAACACATCATCAGAGAAGAGATGCCGCTGCAAGAGGGATAAGTTCATTTGATTAAAGATTACGGGGGGTTATTTTTAATAAACTGCAATATTCCATAAACAATAAAAATGGTCAATCTTGATTTCATGGTGACTAATTCTGTACATTATATATATTATGTTCACATGTATGTGAATAACTGCAGTGTGTGGACCACAAGTTTTCACTCATCATTACACTTGTGTACAAGGTTGAATGACAATAAAGTGATTTGATTTATTTACTTGATTTTTATCTTTTGATGTGGGGAAAAAAAGAGGAAACATCATTTAGATGTCTCTGAACAAACCAGAACAAGAAGGAGGAGAATGTAGCAAAGAGGAAAAGGGAATAACATGCGGAAATAACAGGGGAAACAAGGAATAGGTTGAAAGTAGGTTAAGTAGAGACACACACACAAATGTTTTCATTACCAGGACAGAGGTCCACTGGGAAACAACATGGATTAAGTGATTAGATCATCAATGTTAAGAGAAGAGGTTTCTAAGAGGATACTTGAGCAACTGTTAGATCTTGATACATTTGAAACATCATTATGGGGTTTTGGGGGTGGGCGAGTGGGTGCTACACACAAAATCATACCATTCATCAGACATACAAAATAATTACGACCTCATCTGGGGCTATATATTTTGAAATCTTGTTCTCAAGATGGGAAAAATCATTATGATATGATATCATCAGGGTCATTTTTGTATTGTATTTAAATTATGATCTCATGATAAAACACGATGACTTCATCAGATTCTGTATATACAATTTTCAGTAATAACTCATCATAGAGCAAATATTCCTTAACTGATTTATGGAATACATTCCAATAATTTATAACTTGAATTTGTAAAATTCAAATGACCTGGCTAGGTTTTATGCATTTCTACATCACTATGACATAGTGTCTACCAGGTCTACCAAACTCACTACTGTGCCTTTTGCACCACCCCCTGTCCTGCATCAATAAATTAACAAGGAACTGCAGGCTCCATCACAAATATCCCTAACAATAGTGTCTGATGTGTTTTTGTTCATAATGCTGACTGTAGACTATTCATTTACTCTTAGAGAAGACTACCAGCATGCAGTGGGTCAAGACAATAAGCTGGTGAATTGTGGTATATGGTTGGTTGGCACAGCATTATCACAAGTGTCCTCTTCTCAAATGCATATGTGAATAAGAGACAAATTAAAGTGAAACGGTGTTATGGAACGGTTAAACATGCAGACTGTGACTCAGACTGGAACGCTAGCACATCTGAACATGATGTATTCTGTCAGCTTGTTAAAAGGATGGTTCGGATTGCATAACGCAAGGAAAATAATGTGAGTTTGGAAATTGAGGAAGGAAGAACAATTTTGTGCAGAACAATAGAGGGACAAAACATCTTCCATCTTCTTTTTCATTCTTTTCTATTCTGGATTGAATAATGCTTAACATCAATCGTCCATTCTTTAGCTTCACTGTAATTAACCACAACAGAAGTATGATAAATTAAAAACAAAAATGATGATTTGTCATCCAAAGCAAGCTATTTTAAGCTCACTGAAAAGTCATTCGATTTGTTGGAATGGCCATTTCATGATACTATGAGGAAGCATTCATTTTTGAGATTTCATGAGAAATAAAACATAAAAAATGACATTTTAACATAGTGACATGAGTATGACAATGATATGTGTATCCTAAATATGGTAACATGTCCTTGAACTATTTTTCCAACTAAATTTTAATAACAGTAGGGTTTAAAAATTCTGAAGATATGCACTTCCCAGAATTTTTTTGCCAGTGTCATTAATTCAGTAGTCTGATTTAATAAAGAACGAATGAACTGATCATTGGTCACTAAGACTGAACAATGTTATTAATAAATAAATAAATAAATAAAAGCATTTTAATTTCTTATAACTCCATGAATATCCAAAGCCTGGAATGTCTCTTGAAGCAATAAATCTGAAGTAATTGTCCAATTAAAGGCCAATAATGAGGTATGATATAGTTTGACACCATTAACATTTAAAAATGCTATTATATTAGGCCTACTCTGTTGAAATAATTACTTAATCTTGTGTTTGAAATACACATCTGATAATTACATATTCTTTTTTCTGCTTTAGTGGACATTTGTTAGTGCTGCTGTGGCTCAGAACAGATAGATGGCCCAAAGGAAGTTCATAAAGGTCACTGGAGGCCATTGTTTGTGTTTGTATCCACTTGTGTTTAATGTCAATAACTAAAGGAGCGTATTATGAAGGTATTTTTATACAACAATCCACACACAACAGAACTGATACTAATCAAATAGTTATTGATGAAACCTTCAAAATGACCAGAAACAAAATAGGCTAGAACTGATTGATTGCACTTATGTGAGTTGACCCGGTGCGAGAGACCAATCGATCTCTCTGACTGACTTTACTTGTTTATGGCAATCATATTCAACTACGCTAGCGCTTTGTCTGGGCGCCAAGACACATTACATGGATCTTTTGTTTGAATGGACTCATGATTCCCTCGCATAATAAATTAACTGTCATACATTTTCGCACAGACTGACACTGCAAATGAACCGCACAGCGGGCTATAAAATGTTATATCGCACATTTAAAAAGGGTTGCCCACCTTAATTTGCAGCAGCCTAATGTGATGCTTCCACGTCTCTCACGCTCGTGTGATTTAGTTTGCGATTAGATGCTATTACTGAGACAGCTGACCGTTAAAACGGTTTGCATCCTGAGTGATGAGATCTGTTGTATTGGGCTTCAAGAGAAAACTACAGTATTTTCAGTTGCAGTGTGAGCCCAGTCTTTGTGTTCGCTGATAGATGGGAAACAGGTCTTCCGAGAGAGATCGAGGCGAGAATCCCTGAGGGATGTTTTAAGAGAGAGGGATGAATCCTTCAAATCCCGACGCCTATCCGTCGGTTTCACTCTCTTTATTTGAAATCCGCTGAGAACTTGAATCACCGTCCACCACAGTCGCGCGAAAAGACGCCCAGAGTCATAAAAAAAAAACTTCAGAAATTGTTCTCCGTCAGAATTCGCGTTCAAACAATCCACAACTATGTTGTCGATGTCGTTTCCACAGAAAATAAATGTTCAGTCTGCAGAAGTAGCAAATCCATAACATCCAGCGCAAATGAAATCCATTCAGTGTGTTCGCTTAAAATACTAGCTAACTACGGCTATTAAAAAACAGGCTAAATATTTTGGGTGGTAAATGGTGTATTTATTTTAATTGTCCCATTTTAAAACTCAATACAGTCTAATTTAAGTAAGTGAATGACAGAAAATGGTGTGGTCCTGAGGGTCCCAATGATCAGGACTGAACTTGTCTCTCTCTCTCTCTCTCTCTCTCTCTCTCTGTCTCTCTCTCTCTCTCTCTCTCTCTCTCTCTCTCTCTCTCTCTCTCTCTCTCTCTCTCTCTGTGTGTGTGTGTGTGTGTGTGTGTGGGTGTTTGTGTGCAAGAGACAAAAGGGGATGGAGGGATTTACACATGTACTGTATTTAGAGTGCACAACAACTCATAATGACAGAGAGTAAAAGAAAGGTGATTGATTGTGAGAAAACCACATGTACTCCATATACAGGAGGATCTTTTGTCAAATTAGAGTGAAAAAAAGACAATAATGGTTTTGCAAATGTAATCCGTTCAGTTTAGCACAAACTTTCAGGGAATTCCCGAAAATGCTTATGATTATTTACCAGAAATTAAGTAGGTGATAGGTGGTGAAAGAAAGGGTTGAAAGGATGCTAGACACTCCGTGGCCCCAGAGGTTTAACCGAGATACGAGGATTAAAAAAATACAATAAAAACAACAGATCGAGAGAGGGATGGAGAGATGGGTATTTGTGTGCCAAGGGAGGATGGAGGGAGGATGGGGGGGTATGTGAATGCATGAGAGAGGGAGGGTGGCGTTGGTTTTTCTGTGTCACTGAAAGAGAAAGCGAGTGAGGATGGGGGAAGGGTGCTAAATAGAGAAGCACAAAAGGGAGGGATGGAGAGACTGCACAAGCATTCATATATGTGGGCATGTATCCAGGAGGAAAGAGAAAATGATGTTATGTATGCAAGACTTCCTCACTGACATCTCAGACAGGGCTGCTACTGTAACACACGCACACATGCAAGAAAAAATATTAATAAAATGTGTCATTTAGCGGGGGTTTTTTGTCTCCGTTTGGACATACTAGGTCTCAAGACATTCCAGGGGCTAAATGTTCAGCTGTTCTGAGTTGTTTGTTTGATCTTGAATAATTGAGAGCTTATGCTATAAAAAAATAGCTGAAATACATGGTGTATTACTTATTTATATGCAGTCCACTTTCAACAACAAAAAAAAAATTACACACTCACCCTCACGTCCAATTCCATAAGTCCTCCAAAAATAAGTCACTTAGCAACATTTTGCATTGAATGACTGAACAGGACGTGAAGAAATAGTCTTAGGTGAATGCTGTATGTCTTTACCTAAGCGAGGGTTAAGAAATGCACACACAAACCTCAAGTAAGAGAAGACCTTGTTATATTTGTACAGAAATCTACAATAAAATAAAATAAACAGTTTCAAATTCAAGTGTCAAAGCTATTCAGTTCTTAGGCCATTCAAATCAATTTAGCTTCTGCATTGAAATATGACTACTGTACATAAAAAAAGATATCAAAAGATGACTAAATATAAAGAATGTCGTTAATGCTTGTGTTGTCGAAATTTGATTGAGTTTGTAATGAAAGAATATAAAGAATAGTGTCTGCTTTTCTCACTGCAACAGAGATAATATAGAAATGATTGCAAACATATTTTAAAAATGCTTAAATTCATTGTCTTTGCAACTATTAGATTTAAAATAATCAGTCATGCTGTAGGAAACCTGTTTGTCTAAAATACATGTTTAAAATACATCAAGTATTAGTTATTTAATAGCCATCATCTCTGACACATTTACACAATGGGCAGCTGCACATCACATACAACCTGATAGAAACCGTCCTCTGTGTTTGTGTGACCATTCACACAAAGATAGAGTTTATTTACTTCAAGCTTGCCGAAATTCACGTCTTTGGCCAGTTTTACAGCCCCTATGCCTTCAAATATCTTGTCTGTCATGGGGCTCCTCACTTTGGCCAGGGTGAGATGGTACGAAGGGCATCGGGAATGGCGGTGAAGCCAGCCCTTCTCATGGAAGGCTTCTTGGAGAGGGGAATTCAGGCTCTGGACATCTGATAGGGGTTGTGGGGTCACATGGAGAACAGTCCCATTGAAGTGCCGTAGTTTTAGGGGGAAAGACACAGATATAGGGGGTTTGTGGGAGTTTCCGACTGTGGTATGCAGGAGCTCAGCAGCAGCGCTGACTTCCTCTGGGCTATTGAGAACAAGCAGAGAGAGAGTGATGTGTAAAGTTTCCGGGGTCACCCATAGCGGCTCTGACTGAGGAAGGTGGGAGAGAACCTTCCTCTGAACGCGCTGGAAGGCCAGGAGAGCAGCAGGAGAGTCCACACGGAAGCAGATGAAGTGAGTGGGTCTGCGTGGTGGTGGACGTCTCGGCTGTGGTTGTGGCTGAACGAATGATACCGGCTCTGGTTCTGGACCACTCACTCCATCCCAGCTCTCCTTCCATTCTTCCACCATTTCAGCCGGTTCTTCTTTCTGAGTGATGGATAGCTCCTCTGACAAATGATTCAAACTGAGATCTTCAGTAGCCGCCATCTCTTTGTTTTCTGGTGCAGATACTTGTTGCAATGGTAAGATGCCATCACTGGTTCCTTCCTTGGCATTTTCGGTTAATGAGTGATCTATGGCACCTTCCAGCTGTTGTTTATTGTTTGTTGTTGTAATTGTAGTTACAACCTCATCCTGTTCTTCAGAAAAGTCAGTTGCTTGCTCTAGGTCATTTGAAACATCCACTGTGTTGATGGTCTCTTCATGTTGTCCAGTATCAGGTGTGTCTGAGAATTGAATAATTCCAAAATATTACAATTAAGTGGAATAATGCCATTTTTTTGTCCTATACTTATTAAAAATCACATGGTTTTAATTTCTGTATTAAAATTCATTTGGATATATTTTTGAAGGCATGAAGTCCAAATATCATAATGAAGAAAAAAACATATTGAGTAGTTTAATCATTACTATTACTGTTATTATTTTTTATTGTGTCACTGCTTATTAATATTTGAAAAACGTTTGTCTGTGATGTTTTATAAGTATTGTAATTGAATGTGTCCCAGGCCAGTCTATTGCAGCCATGAATCCGCTCATAAAAAGTCATGTGGTGTTATAAAAAGAAACACATGGTCCAACTAACAGTCATTACTTTGAAACCTTTCTTGAAAAAGGTATTAAAGTTATTCATAACCATAAGAAACTGACATGAATACAAAGACATCTCTAAGAACTTGACACGTTTTAAACTGGATTTTTAAACTGGACGACTTTATTTTTGTTGTGGACATTCTTATATGGCATTGCCCCATTAACCAACTGCTAGACAATACAGAACAAAATACTGGTAGATATGGATTTCTGTCGTTCAATTGCGCATGTGCAACTTTAACTGCCACTTCGTGACATTTTACTGTAACCATCTACTACAGGAGAATAGCTGATTTGCCGTAGTCATTAATACGTGACAGATTAGATCATTAAATGTTATATTTTATGGTTATGTGGCATTTGAATTGTATCTGTATATCATTTAATTCCAAAATCAATCCTTCTGTTGATGTTTTTATTACTTTTTTGTACTTTGTCAAATAATTAAATGATCCGTTACGCCATCCTCTTTATTGTTGCTTAGTGATCCCGTTCGCCGCTGCCATTCCCTCAGCAGCTGTTGCTTAAAGGGGTCATATAATGGTACATGCACTTTTACAAGTTGATTGTACTGAAATGTGTGTTGGCAGTGTCTGTACACAGGCATCATATAATGATAAAAATCCATCCAGTGGTTTTGTTTTAATCTCCTTATATGTTTTCCCCTGCCTCAAATCGAGCCGTTCGAGCCTGTGACGTCACAAGCTCGCACGCCCCTCCCACGATTGTTGATTGACAGAGCGTTTCAACACAGACCCGCCCTCGCTCGTGAGCTAGCTGTCAATCATAGTCCGCGCGGACTGGCGCGGTCATTGTTGATATGCTGGAGCACTGTCTATGAGCAGAATGGCGTCTAAGCGATTGGTGTTCTGTTCTTGGGTGTAATAATGAACACAGCAGTCATTTTAATGTTCCTAAATCCGAACCGCCGAAGACGCAGTGGCTGAGTTTGTTTTCGAAGGGAATATTCCCCACGAGCAACGTCAATGCTTTCATGTTTGCGCGAATCATTTCACACACCAGACTGCTTTATAAACGAGGAGGTATAAAGCTGGTTTTGCTAAGAAGCTGCTCCTGAAAGGATCGGTACCATATATTCGTGTTCCTGCTGAACCTCTAGAACAACTGAAGTGAGTGTAACGTTTTATTAAACTTTATATTAATATTTATATTAATCCTTGTAAATCGCTAGCTGCACGCTTCACAATGAATGCGTCTAAGGTTTACACTCAGGGTACATTACGGCATGTTTTCTATGTATGACGTTCTCAATATAATGCATAATCCCACGTTTATACTGAACAACGTGTTATGGTTATTGTGTTACAAACGGTGTACGCCAGAGCCGGCTCTGGTGTACGCATAGAACAGAGGGGCGGAGTCAGCAAAGCTCATGATCATTTAAACTCATATACACTGAAACGGCGTGCTGAAAACAGAGCTGTTTTTTACCAGGTAAAATAAGTGTTTTCTTACAATACTAATGAGAATTTTTAATTAAAGTATATTACAAACTTTTAATTTAGACCCTAAAGAATCATATTAGCTTGTACAAAAATGGCATTATATGACCCCTTTAAAGTCCCTACAGTCGCTCACCTTGCTGCTGATCCTCACCGCCAAAAGGGGGCAAAATAGTCTGCCCAGTGGAGCCGAACACCCTGTCAGTGCGACTGTCTCTATCCCACAACCGGCGGCCTTTGTAGGTGAAGTACTGGATCCTATGACGAGGGAGAGCCAACTCCTCAGAGAAGTCACAGTCACACACCTAACGAGGAACAAAGGAGTGTTAAGGCTGGTTGTGACCATACATGACACATGATAGTGAACCACATTAGTACTGATGTAACACACCTGAGTGTCCCATGAGAAGTCAGAGAATGGGCGTTCCAGCACCCCAAGGAAGCGGTCCAGGTGACCAACTACAAAATCAGCTGGGTCCACTGAGGCGTCCCATATAATTCTGGAGATGACATCATCGGCTGTACGCATGCGTGGCTTCTTCTTACACCCTGAGACAGAAAGGCATCTATTTGTAATCATGAAGATTGACTTTGGAAGGTAGAGTGTGTCTGCACTTCATCACTAAATCTATCATCACACCTTCCCTCTCAGTTTTCATATGCTGCTTTTCAGCATTAATCTTTTTTCCATTTTTTCGGCTCTTGCTCTGCTTTTCTGTGATGGTTGTATCATCTTCCTCTGAGTGTGTGCTTTGAGAGACATCAAGCATGCTGTGAAGTCAGGAAAGAGCAATGCATTATTTATCCACTAAGCTTCAAATGAGTATGCCCAACATCTATCAAATTTTACATCTTTTATGGCAGCTACAAGACGACAACTGCTGTACACCAACTGCTGTTTAAATGAAAATATACAGATAATAAAGCATGTCTACCATAAGGCTAGTTCGCTAGTTGCATCTCTACCATCCAGAGTGATTGACAGACCTGTGAGACAGTCGACATCTGTCTCCGAAATGACATCTGCCCAAGAGGAAGTGCTGGCAAATGTTTTGGCTAGTTTCTTGTTTCATCTCATCTGGTATGAAGGGAAATGGAAGAAAGGGTTCAGTAAAATCATTCACACAGCAAAGTGAATATACAGAAGTATGATATGAATACATTCATGCACCAACTGATAACACAAGATAAGGTTAATCTATAACTATTTGGACAGTAGAATTTAAGTTCTCCCAGAGCAGTTAAGGTTGTAGTGGTTTGTGAAGATGTAAATGGTGGTAAACAGGCAAGTTTTCAAGGGACAGAATAAACGTCTAAGGGCAAATGTTGGTTTCAGTGCAGCATGTTTGAACTCGTGAGTCATGTCTTCAACTCCACCCACCACCTACACTTTTAAACACCTGTTGTGGCAAAATGAAGAGACACACTACAGTTCGAAAGTTGGGTGTCAGTAAGATTTTTTTTTTTTTTAAAGAAAGAAAGAAAGAAAGAAAGAAAGAAAGAAAGAAAGAAAGAAAGAAAGAAAGAAAGAAAGAAAGAAAGAAAGAAAGAAAGAAAGAAAGAAAGAAAGAAAGAAAGAAAGAAAGAAAGAAAGATAGATAGAAAGAAAGAAATATATTTTTTTCCAGCAAGGACAAATTAAAATGATCAAAAGTGACAGTAAAGACTTTTACAATCAAATAAATGCTGGTCCTTTTGAACTTTCTTGTCATCAAACATATCGTGGAATTTTTTTTTTATCACAGTGTCCACAAAAATATCATGCAGCACAACTGGTTTCAACACTGATGATAATAATAAGAAATGTTTCTTGAGCAGCAAATCCAACATATTAGAATGATTTCTGAAGGATCATGTGACACTGAAGACTGGAGTAATGATGCTGAAAACATGGAATAATTGCCGTCACAGGAATTATTATGAATTGTTTTAAATTGTAATAATATTTCACAAAATTACAGTTTTTACTTTATTTTTGTTCAAATAAATGCAGCCTTTGTGAACGTAAGATATTTCTTTAAAAGACAATGATCTTAAAAAACCCCAAACTTTTGAACTTTCTCTGTACAACATTTACCTGAAAGGTTGGTACAGACTACGAACAATAACTCCCCATGTAACAAAAGATGACAATTTGGGTGCCTAAACAGAAACACAGCACAATTGTCCCCTTTGAAAGCTTTTGGACCAGGAGGTTTTAACTGAAAATAGCACAATAATGGCGTGTCCCTGTAAGTGCTCTTAAGACTTGTGGTATAGAAGCAGACCTCTCTTTGTGAAAATTATATTCTCTACTCCCCACTTACAGTAAGCAAGCCTACAATTTTGTTCAAAACAAACCAGTTTACGAGAAATTATGAATAAATTAAAAAGGCTTTTCACTGCCATCTTCAGGTCATTTGCATTGTAGCCTCCACCTCTCCAGTATTTGTTATAGGCGGTGACCTAAAGGTTTTATTATCAAAGTAGATCAATTTGTCATTTTCAGCTCGTTTTGAAGTAATATATTTTTTAAACTAGTAAAAATGACAACAATTAAAATAGTTTACTAGCACTCCAAACCATAAAATGCTAAATATAACCTTTAGAATTACAACACGGTTTTTATATTTTAACAACTTAATTTCCCGATGACATGTAGCTCAGTGAAGTGTAAATACATTTAACTTATGTTATGTCTTACCTATGAGGATTTGTCTGTCAGAATCCTCTGTGATGTTTTCCTGAGTTCTCTCTTCCTCAAACTCCATATTTGACAGCTTCAACAGAGCTTCGTTAAAAAAGGTATGTTACATTAACAGTCATTTAGAAAGCAACCTAACACCAATAATTTTGCCATATTGTACTGTAGTCGGTAAGACAAAAAAAAACATAACATGTATAATATATTTTGGCATAATGAAGAGCATGAACCATCCTACCTCAAGTCACAAAGAGTAAGACTAACTAGGTTCGAAGTCGACTGGTTAGTGTTAATGTTGACCTGCTACATGATGAAATCATCTGGTAATGACTCATATTCTTGCGCGAATGGCTTAACCAAATACATTACACGCCAAAACAATGTTTGTTGTCTGAACATACTGCTTTTATTGTTGGTTGTAACATTCACATTATACATTTTATAATGTAGTTCTTTATTATTTTCAAGTCTACTTACTATGCTGTTAGGGCAATGTCCACAAACACCACTTCCGGTTTCAGGTTTCAGGTCTTGGGTATTGTAGTTTTCGCCAAACGCATTGATTATTACTGGTTGTCCGACTCATTTCCGCGAATCGATTCTTTCGAACACTTTTGTTCATACAAACCTGATTCAAACGCATAACAGACATATGCCAGCACATACGGTGTATTCGTGTTTCAGATGTTTTATTAATGATAAATGCATTGTCATTTAATGTGTCCCAGGTCAGTCTATTGCAGCCATGATTCCACCATAAAAAAACATTAAATGTAATGCATTTACAATGAACAATACTAATTTACATATCTCGTAAATAACTTTTTTTGTGTGTGCATATTTTGGAGTTGTTAAAGGGATGGTTCACCCAAAAATGAAAATTCCGTCATCATTTACTCACCTTTAAGTTGTTCTAAAAACCTGTATGGATATCTTTCTTCTGCTATTTTGAAGAATGTTTGTAACAAGTTGTGGTGGGGTGCATCATTGACTTCCATAGTATGGAAAACCCCCCACAACTGTTTGGTTATTACTAACCTTCTTCAAAATATTTATGTTCAGCAAAACGAAGAATCGTACAGGTTCAAAACAACATGAGGAGAGTAGAATTTTCATTTTTGGGTGAACTATCCCTATGATTCATGAGCGATTCATTCAGACCGCTTTTTTAAACCGGTTTAACTGAATCGTCGAAACGATCCGATTCCTCAGAAGATTCTTTCATTGGCCAGGGATCTCAAAAGGCATTCCGCGGATTACGGAAGAGCCCATAATTAATTATATCACTCGAAATAACAAACATATACATGGCGCCACCATGTAACTACAACAGAAAACCGTATTCGTGGATTATTTGGCCTGTACCGATGACCATTGAGAGACAAGAGCAGCTGTGTGAGTCACGCACACGTTGTTGTGATCTTAGCGCGTGACTTCCCCATCACATGACACATAAGACTGAAAAAGGATGGACCTAACAATGTAAACACGATAAAACTAATTATTACGATCGCATTTCATTTTAGTAAACTGTACATCGGCGAGAACAGTTTGCCATGTATGTTGACTTGTAACAAATTACATTGTAAGCAACATTGATAGCCATGCAAAACCAGTAGTTGCTCCATTGCAATGTTTTGCTCTTGATAGTCGACTGGCAGTACCAGTCGGCGCAAAAGCTTTACCCAGCTGATAAAGGTAAGGATAAAATGTTGCTGTTGTTTTTTCTATATATCATTTTTGCTTGCATTTAGATTTAGTCATGGACATGGTACCACATGTGAATAAGGTAACATTTTTAACTAATATGTCACCATACTTCCCCAGTTGATCACAACACATTAACACTTTAAATTTCCTGAAATGTTATGTTTAAAAATGCAAATAAGGCATTATCTAATTTAAAATTCTCTCATTTGCAGAACAGAAATCTGAACATTGGATCTTGTTTCATTTTGTTGACATACTTTTTACAGAGAGGATTTTAGATATCTTTTCATCACTCAAGAAAAAAAATCACCTTACTTTTAGGAATAAAATATTATATAAATAAGTCGAATGTATATATGATCAAACCCCTCTTCAGAATATATATAGGAATAAAACAGGAAACTTGTAAGTGTCACTGAAGTAGAGATTTCTGGCTCAGTGCATGAGAAAAAAAACCCTAATTTTGAGAAAACAGCCTTTAAACATGTTTTATTGAAATCTACAGACACAAATGGAGAAAGTGTAGTAACAGGATGTTTTCCACTAGCCTGGAAGAAGATATGTTATGGAAGCAAAATCTCAAAATGTACAATGGTTTTGCCTGTACAGTTGAGAATGTTATGTTTAATGATTTATGATTAATGCTATAGTCATTGGCATCACTTTTAGGTCCCTTTAACATTATGCATTAAATGTCTGTTGTGGTTTATAAACATCTAAAACTCACCCTCATTCTATCACAATCAAAATGTAATATATATATATATATATTGATGATATTGCATTTTCTCATATAACCTTTCAATTTCCTCCAGATGAATGCTTTAGTTGCCCTTTGCCATTTCTGTGAACTCCATGGCCCTCGGACGCTATTCTGTACAGAGGCCGTCCACCCTCCATCCCCATCTCCTGGTTCAGTCATTCCTGGTGACAGGGACCGAGAGGGGGACAGAGAGGGCGAAGGTCTCACCATGAGAGCCAACAGCTCTGCCACACAAAGAGCAGACATGTGTGAAGTGAGAAATTATTCTTGTCACAGCCCAAATATATTTAAAAATGTCCTTCTCTCTAATATTGTATAATATCTGTCTTTCTCTCCCCAGGGCTGTCGCTCCCTACCTGCATCTCACCCAGGCTTTGTGAGTGTGGACAGTGAGACAGGAATCCGCTATCTGAGCCATCAACATCCACGCCAGCCACAGCTCTTCAGTGTGGTGCGACAGGCATGTGTGCGCAGCCTCAGCTGTGAGGTATGTATACACTTGTTTGCATCAATGAATAAACAAAAAAATGCATCTATGAGAGACTTTTTATATCATCGGCTATTGCAGGTTTGTCCTGGTCGAGAGGGGCCCATCTTCTTTGGAGACGAACAGCATGGATTTGTTTTTTCTCATACGTTTTTCATCAAAGACAGCCTGGCTCGGGGCTTCCAGCGCTGGTACAGCATTGTCGTGGTAGCTATGGACAGGATCTACCTCATCAACTCCTGGCCATTCCTGTTGCGCCACCTGCGGCTAACCATTCAGAGTCTACAGAACACAGCACTCAAGGTACTGGACTGCAGACCCACTTTAGTACCGTGATTGACGGAGTGCCTCTTGGAGTGATGAGTTGCTTGCAGTGTTGAAAAAACAATATTTTGTCCTGTTTTTTACCCTGCAGGTGTTTGACAGTGAGCAGTGTGTGTGTCCTCAGAGGGCTGTGCGTATGAACAGTGCCTTCTCTCCGGCAGTGTTCCCCCACCAGCGCAGCGGAAACGCAGCCCGCTCACTCACATCTCTAACCCAGCACCAAAACCTGTGGGCTAGTCTGCACTCCTCATTCAGCTGGTGCGTAAAACTCTGTTCTGAATATTTTTGACTTTATAACTCATATTGTAACTTTATATCTCACAATGTTACTTTATTTCTCATAATTGTGAATTTGTCTCACATTTTTGACTTCAGATCTCACAATTGTGACTTTAGATCTCTTTTTTCTCATGATTGTCACCTTTGTCTCACAATTGTAACTTTCTATTTCAAAATAGTGATTTAATTTCACATAATTGGGACTCACAATCTCACAATTGTCGCATTTTATCTCACAATTCTGACTTGATATCTTACAATTGAAACTTTGTCTCACAATTGTAATTATATCTCTCAATTACAACTTTATTTTTCATAATTGTGATTCACAATTGTGTCATAATTGTGACTTTATATCACAATTACAACTTTATTACAACTTTATTACTCATAATTGCACATTTGTCTCACAATTGTGTCAACTTCTCACAATTGTAAATATATTTCACAATTATTTCACATAACTGAGACTTACAATTGTGACTATTTCTCATAATTGTGACTTTATAGCTCAAAATTGTGACTTTATAGCTCACTATTATAACTTTATTTCTCCTAATTGCGACTTTATTTCTTATAATTGTGACTTTATAACTCAAATTGCTACTTTATATCTCACAATGTGACATTATTTCTTATTTTACACTTTATTTCACAGCACTGTTTGAGGTATCATTCATGTACCTGGGACAAACATTTAGGGTTAGGAGTTTGGTTAGATCCCTAACCCTAAATGTGTATGAGCAATAGAAATAGTGATGCTTTACATACAATTTAGGCCTATATATTTTGTATTTTTAAATCATAATAATTCCTCTTACTTTAATTATCTGTACTATAGGTTGCTGAAAGCTTGTGGCAGTCGGTTGACTGAGAAGCTTTTAGAAGGAGCACCAACAGAAGACACACTCGTTCTCATTGAAAGACAAACTGGTAAAATGAATACACAGAGTAAAATAATTATAAATAACATTAAAGGAATAAAGATTGAAATTTAGTTGTGTTAAAAATGTGATAAAATGTTATGTTTCTTTACATGGCTAAACTTTTTTTTATCATAAGATACTATTGATTCCGTAGGAATATTTTAATGAGTGTGTCTGCTAACAAATTGATTTTTAAAACAAATTGATTTTTGAACTGTTAACTGGGTGTCTGGCCCAGATTTTCCTTTTCCAACATTCTGCTCCTGAGACTGACAAACAAACAGCTCTCAAGAGATTGTTCAACTTTTTACTCATCTTTTATAGTCAGAATGATAGCAATGACTCTGCATAACCTAAGGTTATACTGTAGACTTCAGCATTAAAAAAGGCTCACCGCAACATTGTGTACAATTCTCTCACAGAGCAAGAGGAAGAGATGAGTGGCTGGGATGGTGCTGAAGGGGGTGGATCTAACTCACAGGCCAGCCAATCAGAGAGTGTACAGGCTAAAGACTTCCAATTTGATGATGGAAGACAAGAGGACCTTATTGGGCCGAAGTTCAAATCATTGAGACATTTAAGACAGGCAAATAAATGTTTACTCTGTTACCAACATCAATTTGAAAAATATATATAAATATCAAATTTGACTATGCTATTTTGGATTAATTGGCAGATCCTGGGTACCACAGATTTCAGACAACTGACATGGCACGTTCTCATGGGAAACCAAGTCATATGGAGAGGTGCAGACCCTGGTCTTATCCAGTCAGCTTTTAATGTGCTGAAGGTCAGCTAAATACCTATTTCCATCACACTAATCAAGTGATTCCAGGTCTACACCATAAAGCACACATCTGTGTTATATCTATACACTTCCAGTCAAAAGTTTGGAAACCCTTGACTGAAGACTTTGTTTCTTATGATCTTTAAAAGCGTATCCTGAATTCAGTTTTCTGACCATTTCACAGGCTTTGCTTCCAGTTGGCTGTGTCCGAGCAGTTCTGTACAGTCCTCACTATGAGGAAGCATATCGATGCAACTTCCTTGGCCTTAGCCCAGATGTACCAATCCCAGCCCATGTCAGCTCTTCAGGTACTGTACTGTAAAATAATCTGCTGTTTCTTTTCTGTTTCACTGCAAACCCTCTTTTGTATATTTTTGCTTGACGCAGCTAGTTCGTTTAACTATCGTATGTCTACACCACATTAAAAGACTCCTAAGATCCAAGCCCTGAGGGATTTGAGCCCCATTAACCTATTGTATTCGGATTCCATCTTTGCAGTGCTGCCGTAGCTAAGATTGCTTTGGGTCACACATACACAAACAGTAACACAATGCATAAGTGACACTGAGAAATGGCAGCAGTGCTCTCGTAATCTTTATCCATCAATTCAGGGGATCATATTGTTTTTATAACATGATTGTATTTTATTTTAATCAAGACAAACACACATGGATGTAACAGCGGCCTCAAAATAAGTGTTTTGGTGTTTTCTTTGTCGGAATGTGATTTACATCATATTTCTCAACTTCTGTGTGACTGTTTTCTTACTAAACATAGTGAAATTGTTTCATAACTCAGTGTCAGGTTCATCTCAAAGTTCAACATTCATTAAGAATCCTAATGGTGTAACCCCTTTCCCTCTTTCTCTCTCTCTCTCAGAGTTTTCTGTGCTGGTGGATGTACTTAACGTTGAGCGCAGTTGTGTAAGTCCTGTTTCGGATGATGACATTCTCTCACTCTACCAGTTCAACATTAGCAGTGCCAACGCACAACCAGCGGATAAAGGTAAACGCATGGGCACATGTAGGATTGCCACAGTCTTTAAAGATGTATACCCCTATTCAAACACTATTCACACTATTTATAGCATTTTTTGCATTTGTACTCTGCAAATTAATTTATAATGTGGCTTCCTCATGGTTTTTCTTTCTCTTAGGTCCAACTCTGTTGAATAAGATCGAAGTGGCTCTTTCTAATGAGAATCTGTCGGTGGAGGTGGTCTCTCTCTGCCTCCTCTGTCTGAAAGAGGAGTGGATGAAGTAAATTAGCTTTTTTTAATTAGATATATACAACCACTATTTCTTTCAAATATATCACTTTAGAAACAGATGACAGTCTTTACTCCAAACACAATATATCCAAAATGTCCACTAATATATCCAAAATATTTGCTCAAGAGTTGCTTTTCATTTTGATTTCTATTATTTTGTCTAATTTATTACGTTTGTTTGTATATATGTTTACAATATACATATACACACACACATTTATATATATATATATATATATATATACACACATACACTCACCTAAAGGATTATTAGGAACACCTGTTCAATTTCTCATTAATGCAATTATCTAATCAACCAATCACATGGTAGTTACTTCAATGCATTTAGGGGTGTGGTCCTGGTCAAGACAATCTCCTGAACTCCAAACTGAATGTCAGAATGGGAAAGAAAGGTGATTTAAGCAATTTTGAGCGTGGCATGGTTGTTGGTGCCAGATGGGCCGGTCTGAGTATTTCACAATCTGCTCAGTTACTGGGATTTTCAAGCACAACCATTTCTAGGGTTTACAAAGAATGGTGTGAAAAGGGAAAAACATCCAGTATGCGGCAGTCCTGTGGGCGAAAATGCCTTGTTGATGTTAGAGGTCAGAGGAGAATGGGCCGACTGATTCAAGCTGATAGAAGAGCAACTTTGACTGAAATAACCACTCGTTACAACCGAGGTATGCAGCAAAGCATTTGTGAAGCCACAACACGCACAACCTTGAGGCGGATGGGCTACAACAGCAGAAGACCCCACCGGGTACCACTCATCTCCACTACAAATAGGAAAAAGAGGCTACAATTTGCAAGAGCTCACCAAAATTGGACAGTTGAAGACTGTAAAAATGTTGCCTGGTCTGATGAGTCTCGATTTCTGTTGAGACATTCAGATGGTAGAGTCAGAATTTGGCGTAAACAGAATGAGAACATGGATCCATCATGCCTTGTTACCACTGTGCAGGCTGGTGGTGGTGGTGTAATGGTGTGGGGGATGTTTTCTTGGCACACTTTAGGCCCCTTAGTGCCAATTGGGCATCGTTTAAATGCCACGGCCTACCTGAGCATTGTTTCTGACCATGTCCATCCCTTTATGGCCACCATGTACCCATCCTCTGATGGCTACTTCCAGCAGGATAATGCACCATGTCACAAAGCTCGAATCATTTCAAATTGGTTTCTTGAACATGACAATGAGTTCACTGTACTAAAATGGCCCCCACAGTCACCAGATCTCAACCCAATAGAGCATCTTTGGGATGTGGTGGAACGGGAGCTTTGTGCCCTGGATGTGCATCCCACAAATCTCCATCAACTGCAAGATGCTATCCCATCAATATGGGCCAACATTTCTAAAGAATGCTTTCAGCACCTTGTTGAATCAATGCCACGTAGAATTAAGGCAGTTCTGAAGGTGAAAGGGGGTCAAACACAGTATTAGTATGGTGTTCCTAATAATCCTTTAGGTGAGTGTATATACAGTAGTCAACATTTGAAGTGGATCAAAAAAGTTAATCCTAAAAAAGTCCTAAGACAAGAACGGGTATTGTTCTAAATTCATGCAAAACTTTGATGAAAGGTTTTGATTCACTTTAAATGTTCAATAATGTATATACCGTTCAAAAGTTTGTATCAGTAAGATTTTATAAGAAGCCTCTTATGCTCACCATCATCTTATCAAAAATACAGTAAAACAGTCGTATTGTGAAATATTCTTAGAATAACTGTTTTCTATATTAATATATTTTAAAATGTCATTTATTTCTGTAAATTTTCTGCATCATTACTTCAGTGTCACACGATCCTTCAGAAATCTTTCTAATATACCTATTTGCTGCTCAAGAAACATTTCTTATTATTATCAAGTTTGAAAACAGTTTTGCTGCTTAATATTTTTGAGGAAAGTGAGATCTATTTTATCAAGATTCTTAGAGGAATAGAAATAAACAGCATATTAATTTCTTTCAAGCCCTTGAATCACATATAAAATGAAAAGTACAGTTTAAATTTGTTGATTGAAATATGAAGTACTGTTACAATATTTAAATACAGCACTTTCCACAACTGTGTACAAAATAGGGCCTGAAATTTTGGACTTTGGGGTTGCGCCAAAGATTTAGGACCACTGTTACATAATACTTTTTTGGTAGGTAAAATTAATGAATAATTAAAAATAGCTTATACTACAATGAATGAACGGTTACCAAAATATACTGCATTTGTGGAATGTGCCATTATATTTATTTGAGGCAGTTTAGAAAAGTAATGTAGCATTCACAAAGTGAAATATTTTGCCTGTTCTCCTTTTTCCTGTAATCCCCCCCCCCCCCCCCCCCCCCCCCTCTCTCTCTTATTCACTTACTCGCTTCTTTCCAATTTCCTCTTTGTCCTGTTTTCGTCTTGTCTGTTTATTGTTCCCTTGCTAACCTTCTGTGCTTCCTCTCACCACATGCTCTTCTTTTTCTCTCTGTTACAGCAAAGTAAAAGTGTTGTTTAAGTTCTCCAAGGTGGATGGCAGAGGTAAAGAGGACACTCAAAAGGTTTTAGCCCTGCTGGGGGCCACGGGGCCAGGGGAAGAGGACAATGTGCGTCTTCTTAAGTTTTGGATGACAGGACTCAGCAAGCTCTACAAGAGCCATCTGATGACTGCAGTCAGAGGTGGAGAAAGAACTTTGAGCCAGTGAGAAAGAGAAAGGGGACAATAGGCTCATTGCTTTGAGTTAGCAACATTGAGTTAGATGAAAGGAATGTGTGGGTGCGTGTGTGTGTGTGTGTCAATTACGGAAAAAGGGGCCAAGCCCGAGAATGTGTTTTTCTGCATGGTACAGAGAGAAAGTAAAAGATACTTAAGGCATGTGCATTTAAATGGAATGTTTTTTTTACCATCATGACTAGACATGTCCATTTTCTGTCTTTTTCACTGTGTCTAATATAGCACATGGTCCACTGACTTCATGGAAACTAGGCAGAGTATCAGTTGACATAATGTCAATGTCAGTTAAATTATGTCCATTATAATTGACGTCATCATCACATATCTCTGTTCATCTGACATATCTGAGAGAAAATGTCTGTTTTATCAGCAATTTTATTTATCCTTATTTGTTAACTTATTTTAAATAAATGGATTTTAAACTCATACATGCTAAATAAAGACTGTATGCTGCTTGTAAATCTTGTAAAGTAATGTAATTAATTAGTGCAATGTGATTATTTCAGCTACTGACCACAATCGTGATCATCTTGTGGCGAAGAATTTTCACATTTCTTTTGGAACACAAAAGAAGATATTTTGGTCTCTGTTTTTTTTCCCCATGCAAAAAAAAAGAAAAAAGAAGAGGTCCAGTGTTGTTTTGGACTCCACTGACTTCCATTGTATGGACAAAATAGTTATTGACATTATTATTAACTATAAAAAACAGTTAATAAATAATAACATTATTAAACATGTATTCAAAATATCTTCTTTGGAAGGACATGATAGTAAATCGTAACAGAATTTTCATTTTTGGGTGAACTGGCCTTTAATTGCTGAAAGTTTCTGAAATTTTTAGCAATAACCCTAAACTCATTACAGTTTTTACAACTTGTTTCAAAGTGCTACAAGACATGTAATAAACACTTCTAACATGTACCCCCACCATAAGCACCTCTTACATAAGGACATAATAGTGTTTCACAATTGCATGAGCATAACTGAAAGGATCAGGTTATTTCCTCCTACCGTGCAGAGCAGAAGTGATATATCACTATACACACACACACTATACATATATACATTTAGGTATCTTGAATGTGCAAAATCATTTTAGATTAAAAAAAATGTGTAAAGAGTCTATCAATGCAGGTAAAATAAAACATTAATTCAGTTAAATGTGGTGTGAATGTCACCCTGAAGAGGACTGCAAGATTTCCTGTCTGCACAGGTTGATGGATGGCAAAGTAGGAATTGCTGGATCATTGTACATGAATTTATTTATTCCAGATGGTACAAGGCAAGCTTTATTTTGCATACAAGTTTCTCGTTTTTATTTTTTGTTTACTCATTACATTGTAACATTACTACACTATAAAATGTTTTTTCACTCATTAATTATGCACTAAGAACATTTCTTTCTTTGATGTAATCTTTCATGTAACTGTATTTGAACTAAATGCACCACAAACTGACTGCTTTGTCTGTATAAATGACGACATAACTGAATCTTCTCATTTTATGGGTATCACATGCCTGACAATGACTAATCTAAAACAGTATGAATTACATAAACATGATCAAATATATTATTGCAGATGAGAAAGCTTATGTGCTTAGTCATCATTTCACTTGATGAGTTGTGGGATTGAGAAAGCAACAGACATGGACACTTGAGTGGGGAGGAGGGAAATTAAAACCAGACTGCCAGAGTGCATGACTAGCCTATGTCTAAGCCGGGAAAGGCCGTGCATTGAGTACTGATAAAGAGAGGAGAAGAGGGGGAGTGCATGCTGTTTAATGAGGTAAAGGGGTGGGAGCTTTAAAGAGAGCGGGGAGAGAGATTGAACCACCAGGACTTTCACTTTCAGTGAGCTGCCTCCACACGGTTTGCTCCAGTAGCCTACAACAACAGATCAAATGTGCTGCTCCCTAGCTTGCCCTTGTGAATAAAAGCCTCAAAACCAAAGGGATTTATAAAGGAAGAAGGAAAGTAAGCAGAGTAAAAGAAACAGGAAACTAAAATCTCACAGGAAATAGTGGAATATCTTGCTCTCCATCAGAATTTTCTCCCCAGAAGACTTTGGGAGTTTCCAAGTGACTGACTGGGATTGAGCCAGAGAGGGACAGAACGCGGTGCAGCTGTCAATGAGGGATCGAGGAGAAAGTGCAGCAGTAAGAGGAAGAGGAGACGTTGGTTAGTAGTCACTAAAAGAGGCAGCTGGGAAACCCACTGAGACTGAGATTCTTCCATAACTTTCCTGCAACAATCTGTCGCGCAAAAGGACTCGGTTAAGAAGAACATGGGGAATATGGGCCGCATTGGCCGGTAGAAGCATGTCACCAACAGGTAACGTGATACGCGCGCAGCACTGACGAAGGTCCATCAATTGATGCGCGTATTAAAATTATCAGACAGTGTGTATGGTGTTCGCTACACTAAAATGCGTAGTTGTTTTGTAAAATCTTACGGCTTTTAATGCTCTGAACCTTATTTACCTTTGCCTTTCAGTGCTGTTACTTCTATCAATATTGACTGTTCAAGGAAGTGGGTGCAATGATTTTATGAAGACGACGATCAGAAATCTGCAGGACTCTGTAAACATTGAAAGAAGGAACGGATTCGTGAGTTTCATCCTTTAAAAAACTGCTCATTGTTTACTAGAAAGTTCACAATCTCATTTATCTCTCCCGTGTCATTTTGCACTGACCTTATTCTTGCTCTGCGGTTTTGGTAACGTGTGAGAAGCCCATGCAACCTAAAGTAAAGATCAAAGGATGTAAAATGACATTTTAAATGTGTTGCAGCCACAAGTGTTTCCGAAGAACTACGTCGTGTCTCACTATTTCAACGACAGCGCGCTGTGCAATGAGCCGGTAAGAATGACAGTTCTGTACGGGTCAGTGACGTGACGCTCAATTTTGATACATTATATGCAGTTCAGTTACAGACAATAATTGAAATATACCTGATGAACATGTTTTAGTTTTCTGGAATAAAAGTTGTTGGGTTGTTTGTCATTTAATGGGGCCTACTATAAAAAGAAATTCCTGATGTAATTGTTGGGAGATTGTAAAACACACACATATATATAAACCACAATAGTAATTAAATAAATAAATAATTGATAAAAAGAAATGAGATTGTAAGAAGATTGTAAAACACACACACACACAACACAATAATAATAGTTAATTAAATAAATAATGTATACAAATAAACAAAAAAATTGACATTAGTAGTATGGCATTATCTTTTATTATAGTTTCTTTTAAAAAAGCAGTGAAGTAATATTGTTTAAAATATTTTAATATCTAAAAATTATTTTTTATAAAAACACTTTTTGTTCAGGTCAGACTGAGTAACCATATTATATTCGTGACTCAAACATTAAAAAAGTAGGCCCTACTTTGAAACATGTTTGACTATAATGATTAAATTGTGTACACTCTTGTAAATTGAGGTGCACGGAAACTATTTACGTATTCTATACTTGAATTTTACAACATTACATTTTTAGTCATTTTGAGTCATTAAATCAAAATGTTCTTTTGGATATGGTATATTTTCCCAAATGAAAGCAACAGGAATAGATAGATTACATTTCTAAGAATTTGTCACATGTTTTTAAAACTAAAATTTCTCTTGATTTATCATCTCAGCCATCCTTATTTGTCATTAACCCATAAGTGTTTACTATGATAGTCCTTATTATTTGTTATAGAGAACCTATTTTGCTCAAAATTACATCTCTCTCTCTCTGTGTGTGTGGGGGTTTAGTGCTGTGTGTTCAGTGCTGCTGTGTTCCTGTCAAATTCCTGGAGTCAGCTCTTCCAGCACCTCAGTAGAGTTCACCTCAAGTACAGGTTCATCAGTGAGCTGATTTACTGGCTGGACAGCATAGCAAAAGAGGTATATCATCATATACAGTTATTTCTTTCTAACACACTTTTATCAAACCATACTGCTTGCTACTACACTGTTTTATCAGATGTTGTATCAGTAAGCTTTTCATTCTTTATTGTAGGCTTGACAGATTGAACATCTGTATATCTGTCATCTGAAGTCAGTTTTTTCCGAATCTTTTTGTAAACAGAAATTCCCGGATCGTCCAGATCTTTCTGATTTCCCATCTGTCCAGACATCGCCTGAAGGACTTCTCTCCTTCACCTCATCCGTCTTCACACGATGGCTCGATTTGAATTGTGCTTTCGGAGAGCATAACTGCATCTTTCCCACACCAAGTGAAGAGGATCAAGAAAATCCAAAGGAGGGAGAGAATGTGGAGAATCGTGAACCGGTGGATGAGCAACAGCCTGTGATAGAAGGAGAGACGGGTAAAATACAGCTTGACCGGGGTCCGACCAACAGCTTTACTAAGACACGTTGCACAGGTTTCACTCACTGGAGCTTATCTTTTCTATGGATAATATCAAGTCTGATCCGGTGAAAGTCAAGAAATCTGTTTTAAATATGCCACAAAACTTGGCCAGAAGAAGGCTTCACTTTGAAAGGACCGCTACTGTGTTGCCTAGATTTTAGTCAGTTTGGAAGCTAATTTTGTTTTACACTGATAAATAAAGCTTGGCATTTGCATGGGATTTCGAAGAAATGCTCTCTGGATAAAGTGGCTGGATGCAGTTATGGGTCAGTTCTGTTGGAGAAAAGGGATATTTTGAAAACCGACACATGGCTATTATGAGGTTCTCTTTGTATGTGAATGATGTTTTTTTCTTCTGCATCATGTCTTTGCACTGATTGTTTTTATCACTTATCTAGTGTTTCTATCATCTTATACAGTGAATTGTGTGTCATCCATGATAATTCAGGTAAAACCTGTTGACTGAATGTTTTAACATTGAATGTAGTGAAAAAGTAAAGAATAGATGAAGCCAAAAAGCTCCGCTTATCGCTCAGTGTTCAAGAGCGAACAACTACACTCATGTAATACAGTAAATTCAAGCCATATTAAATACAACTGTAGCATAGGAACCACAGCACCTGCTACTTTTCGAAAAAGAAAAGGCATTTACAAAAGGGTTACACAAGTCATGTTTACAAGTATTATTGTCTTGCATAGAGAAGGTTACTACATTTAACATTTTTGGTGTACAGTACATGTGTTGTCTGTTTTTACATGTAGATTTCTATACATGAATAAAATCTTCTTAAGATTAATTCGTGTTTGCCTGAACTGTCTATTTGTTGCAATTTTTAGAGACTATACTCTTTTGTTTGTCAGAGTGTTTGTATGAGGACTCTATCAGCTGGAAGGAGGGACTTGCAGATGATGGCACAAACAACAAGACGCCACAGAGACCTATTGTTCGCACAATTTTGCTGTCCTACCACAATATAGCCTAGGACTGGCACATCTCGAAAACACAGATAAAACACAATTTACCAGTCGACACACAATATATTACATTTTAGTTAGATATTGTTGAAATTAAACAATTTTGTTGTTCGTAATGTTGCAGGATTTTGCCTGTTACATTTTCAGCATTTGTTTGGATTAGCACAATATTTATCCAAAGCACCAACCTGTCTGGAGGGTAAAAAAAAAAAAACCTGCTTGAACCAGCGTAAACTGGTTTGCTGGTCTTTTGATCCACTTTTGGATTTTGGATGGATTTAAATGGATTTTTGGGCACTTTTCAGTTGGACTTTATGAAAGAGAATGCTGGCCATTTTAAGATTAAGATGGCCAGGTTGGAAGACGTATACCAAGACTTTAAAATAAGGTCCCTTTAGTTAACATTATCAGTAGGTAAACTAACATTAACTAGTAGCCTAACAATACATTTGTTACAGAATTTATTATTCTTTGTAAACATTTTGTACCTATGTAAAAAAATATAGGTAGGCTAAGGCTACTAGGCTAATGTTACACCATTAGCCTAAATAATATTAAGAGATACGACTTTTGATTTAGATAATGTATTAGTAAATGCTGAAACTGACATTAAATGCTTTACTTGAATTTTTCATTGTTCAATTGTAACCAATATCATCTACTGGAATGGAAAGGGTTAGGATGCATAATTATATTTCAATGCCCAGATTTTTAGAAGATTACTTAAGTGTTAGAGATATAAGAATAAGAAGGATTTCTGGAAAACACTGTCTGGGACAACAATTCCCGCTTGGGTCTTGGGTGCTTTCCAACTCTGTACAGGGCTCGGGGTGCGCTTTAAACCACGTGACGTGAAGCGGAAACAGTCCGTTCTCTCAAAATGTCCGCGGCCGATGAAGACACGTTGCCTCAGGAGGATGATGAGTTTGAGGACATGGAGGCGAGTGGAAGCGACGAGGATGATGTGGAGGGAGGTGGACAGAACGGGGACGCAGAGGAAAAAGTTTATGTCCCCGGTCTGGAGGCGCTCCAGCCGGGAGAAGAGCTCGAGATGGACCGCTCCGCTTACCGCATGTATCACGAGTGCCAGACTGGTCAGTTTGCTGAACATGTCCGATCACTTAACATAGACAAGCACAAGCATGAGCGACTTATTCACAGAAGTAGTTTGCTCTATGCAACATATTGCATACATCTACCAACAAAATAAAGTACTATGGCAATAATGTGTTTTTTGGACATGTGTTAGTGTCGTGGTACAGTACTGTTTGAAGTTCTGTCAAGAGAATAATCATGGTGTTTGTATTACAGTCTGTTTGTAATACTACGATACCCTGAAACTGCCACAGTTTTTTGTTTGCATATGTGCTAAGAGATGTCTGGGTATGTGATCCTAAAGTGTATTTCACGTGTGTATCATCATTGAAAATTAGAATGTCAGGTAATTAAGTGTAATGTCCTGAAAATATTGTCACAATATTCTAATGGCAATCTAGGCTTTGTTTTTTCAAAATTATAATAATTGTTTTTGTTATTATTATTATTATTATTATTATATTTTAAAATTTAGGCATTATTTTTAGGACAATTTACAAACTCTCATTACACTAATGCATTCTGGCACTTTTATTTTGTCATGCTCAATGTCGTAATACGTTTTAAAATACTAATTTTGCACAATAAAGCATTAACGCTAAACAATTATTTTAGTCAAAGAAATTGTATTGTCATAAATGGTGCTTTTTGTCACATGATAGTGAGAATGTGATTTGGGGGAATTGTGCTTGAAAATTAAGATGTTCTTCATCAAACCGATTATTCTTTGAGCAAAATAATTTTTATTTTCTTACGGTAGATTTTTTTTTTTCTATTCTTAAAATGAGTGAAATACTTATTTGAGTGATAATGTTTTGAAGCCTTATTACTGTGAATTAAAATAGAAGAACTTTTATGTTAATAACAAGATGTATCTGTTCTAAAACCATACTTGCTCTCTTCTTAAATGCGTATATAATAGGTGAACTTCTCTTTCCCCTGCAGGTGCCCCATGTCTGAGTTTTGATGTGGTGCGTGATGGTGAAGGAGAGGGGAGGGAGCAGTTTCCTCTCTCTATGGTGCTTTGTGCTGGAACACAGGCGGACACCGCGTTCAGCAACAGGTAAACTGGCAACAATACTGGCAAAGCTTGTTACTTTTCATTATCTTCAGCAAACATCTAATACCTTTTATTATGTTTGGCTTCTTACAAAGACCTAAAGATAATAAAATGTTTTCAATCTCTATCCAGGCTTATTGTCATGCGCATGCACAATCTTCATGAAACTGACAAAGAAAAAGATGAAAATGAAAGCAGTGATGGAGAAAGTGATGAAGATGAGGAAGATGAGGATAAGAAACCACAGTTGGAACTGGCCATGATGCCACATTACGGTGGGATCAACAGAGTCCGAGTAAGTCAAGTTGCTTTCCTATATAGTCTACTTATTTATAAACGCAGCAAAAAAAAAAAACGTCCTTTTTTCAGTATGCTCTGTTTTAAAGATAATTATGTAAAATCCAAATAAGATTTACAGATCTTTAGATCAGGGTTTAGACAATGTTTTTCATGCTTGTTCAATGACCCATAAACAATTCTTGCATATGCACCTGTGGGACAGTCCTCAAGACACTAACAGTTTACAGGTGGTAGACAATTAAAGTCACAGTTACAATTACTTGAGACATTAAAGAGACCTGTCTAGTACTGACTCTGTAAAACACCAGAAGAAAGATGCCCGGGGTCCCTGAGCACCTGCCATAGTCCTGCTGCAGGAGGCATGAGGACTGCAGAGGTGAACAGAGCAATAAACTGCAATGAGGACTTCTATTTTTGATATTGACCCTTCCTTTTGTTCAGGGACTAATTTGCCCATTTTCACAGACAAGGCTTAAGCCTAGTCCCAGACTACTATGCATGTTTGAGCTGTTTTAACTGAAAGCAAGTATAAAAAAAAAATAGATGCACACCACCAGTAATGTTTTTTTTCTTTCTAAGGCATGTGTATAAAAGCTATTTAAATGTCTCAAATGAACTAATCCTATCTTAATCTAAACCCTGTCCGTGAAACCAGGCCTACAGTTCATTTCTGTTTGTCCATGGTCTGTGAAATTTGTTCAGTTTGTCTCAGTTGTTCAATCTTTTTGTGTTCATACAAATACTGTATTTACACACACAAAATTTGCTGTGAAAACAATTTTTTTTTTTTTTTTTTTTTGCAGAGTAGATATTAGAAATTGAATCCAGCCTAACCAGTTTAATTCTCTCACTCATCTAAAGTTTTTATCTTAATACTTGAATAGGTCACCCAGCGAGGGGAACAGGCATTGGCTGCTGTCTGGTCAGAGAAAGGCCAGGTGGAGATTTTTGACCTCCGACCTCAGCTTGAGGCAGTACATAGTTCATCAGTGATGTCGGCCTTTATCAAGCAACAGAAGGAAGCCACACCCCTTTTCAGTTTTACTGGTCACATGTCAGAAGGATTTGCCATTGATTGGTCACCCAAGGTACCAGGTGGGTAATATGAGGTGTGTTCGACTTGAAGTGGCGCAGCGCGGACCAATTGGTGTATGACATCAAAGTACCATGTGAGCGATTAGAGAGCAGACGGCCATATGACGTATGCATATGCTTTTTAATCCCTCTCATGGTACTCTGATGTTATACACTGATCTGTCTGCGCAGGGCCGCTTCAAGTCGAACACAACTATGGATTGTGACTTTACACTGTGTTCCAAATTATTATGCAAGGGACATATCAGTAGGATTTCAGTACAATAGATTTTAGTATTTCAAAGAAAGTGCTTGTTTGTTTTGTTTCTCATATCTTTTTAGATAACTGGTATCAATCCCAGACAGGTTTAAGTAGTTTGCCAGGTTTTCTTAGGTAAATGGAAACTACTTAAAGAGGTTTTTCCACATTATTAAGCAAGTCTCAGTGCATGCAATATGGGGAGGAAGAAAGATCTTTCTGAAGATGAAAAGCATGAAATGGTGCAATGTCATGCCAAAGGCATGAAAACAACTGGAGATTATCAAACTATCAAAAGATTTTTGAGAAATTTAGAGCACAGAAGCACTCGGTCAGATAAATGCTTATTTAGGAAAGTTTCTGTCAAACAAATTAATTGTATTAAAAGGGCAGCTATAAAAAGTCACTGTTGAGCAGCAAACATCTATTTGCAGGCTGGCAGTTGTGCATAAAGTTAGAAATTAATGAAGAGTCATTTTTAAATAGTTTTATTCACTGAAGAATTCCATACTAGTACTACAACTGATGGTCTGCCCTTTTAATGCAATTCATTTGTTTGACAGAAACTTTCCTTAAGCCTTTTTCTGACCGAGCTCTTCTATGCTTAAAATAACGACATTAATAGTTTGACAATATCCGTTCAGTTTCCACAAAATATGAGTTAACATTCCTTTTTCAAGACCTTTTTCAACATCTTTCATGCTTTTCATCTTCAGAAAGATCTTTCTTCTTCCCCATAGTGCATGAGAACGGTAACTTGCTCAATAATGTGACACAACCTCTTTAAGAAGGTTTTCCATTTACCTAAGTAGACCTGGCAAACTACTGAGATTGATACCTGTTATCTAAAAAGATGTGAGAAATAAAAGGAACACTTTCTTTGTATAACGAAATATTTATTGTGGTGAAATCCCACTGATATGTCACTTGCATAATACTTTGGAACACAGTGTATGACAGACAGGGTCTTATCTCTATATAAATAGATGTCTAGCGACTAAAGGAACTACTAAGATTCAAATCATTTAATGTTTACCTACCTTAGGACGCCTGGTAAGCGGCGACTGCAAGAAGAACATTCATGTCTGGGAGCCACAGGAGGGTGGTACTTGGAAGATTGACCAGCGGCCTTTCAGCTCACACAGCAAGTCTGTTGAGGACCTACAGTGGTCACCTACTGAAGCCACGGTGTGTCAGTCAACAGAGTGAGATGATATTAATGGATATTGATTAATGGATGTAATGTCTAAATGAGTGTTTCTCTCCCACCCCCAGGTTTTTGCATCGTGCTCAGTGGATCAGTCCATTCGCATTTGGGACTTAAGGGCACCACCTAATTCTATGCTTTCAGCCAATGAGGCTCATTCTTCAGATGTCAACGTTATCAGCTGGAACCGAACTGAACCATTTATTTTGTCTGGAGGAGATGATGGCCTCCTGAAAGTCTGGGATTTAAGGCAGTTCCAGGTGAGCATGAGCAAGAGGAAACAAATATTAAGGTTTTATTATCCAACTAAAGGAAAATAGCAAAGTGAAACAGGTCAGTCTGGGATCACGTGAAGAGACTAACGCAATTGAGGCCATATAAACCCATAGCAGAACTGTTTGCCTGGTATATTGTTCCAGGATGTTTGGAACAAACTACAGTACTGTGAAAAGTGCTGTAAAGTTCGGATATTTTCAAATATATAGCTATTAATTGTTCATGGTCTGTAGGATTTCTGAAGAAAAAAACCCCTCTTATGCCCACCACTAAGGCTGCACTTACAGTAATATTGTAAAATATTATTTCAATTCAAAATTTCAGTTTTATATATTGTGATTTATTATAGCTGTATTTTTAGCAGTCATTACTCCAGTCTTCAGTGTCTCATGATCCTTCAGAAATCATTCTAATATGCTGATTTGGTGCACAAGAAAAATATCTTATTATTATTCAAACAGTGTGTTGCTTAATGTTTTAGTGGGAAACATGATACATTGTTTTCCAGGATAAATTTCTCTTCCTGGTTGAATATAAAAGTACAAAAGAACAGTATTTATTTAACATAGAAATCTTTTATAACATTAGAAAAATATTTGTCACCTTTGATCTATTTAATTGGTTCTTGGTAAATTAAAGAAAAATGTTATCTTACTGACCACAGAGTTTTTACTGGTAGTGTAGATGTTTTTTTACTGATCACGTGGATTTTTTTTCTTCGCTTCAGTCTGGACATCCAGTGGCCAGTTTTAAGCAGCACAGTGCACCCGTGACGTCGGTCCAGTGGAGCCCTGTTGACTCTAGTGTGTTTGCCGCCTCTGGAGCTGATGACGTCATCAGCCAATGGGATCTGTCTGTGGAATCATGTGACGTGGGAGGACAGGCAGAGGGCTTAAAACAGCTACCACCACAGCTACTGTTCCTTCACCAGGGCCAGAAAGAAGTGAAGGAGGTCCACTGGCACCCACAGATTCCTGGAGTTCTCATTTCCACAGCGCTGTCAGGATTCAACATCTTCAGAACTATTTCTGTTTAACTGTGTGTGTGTGTGTGTGTGTGTGTGTGTGTGTGTGTGTGTGTGTGTGTGTGTGTGTGTGTGTGTGTGTGCGTGAAACAGACAGATTTGTTTCAGGCATAAACGGTGTGCATGTGTATAATTTTTAATGTACATATACATAGATGGATGAATGGAACATCTTGGTATGCATGACTTGTATCGATTTCTGTCATTTTTCCACCCTTTTCTTGTGGAACCGATTTTTCAACTTCTTGAGACAGAAATGATGTAATTGTATGTGACAAATTACTAATTCGTAAAAACTCTGTTCTGAATCAAGTCTATTGGTTGTCTGTTAACTTCGTTTGTTTATTTTACAACCAGCATATTTTCCAAAGAGCCACTTTTCCTTGGGTATCTGTTGAGTAAAAAAAAAAAGTTTAGAATCGTTTTCTCAGGCAAATTAATGGACATAACAAGAAGATGTTTCGGTCTGAAGGCAGACTGCAGGTTTTAATTAAGGTTGATTTTCAAAAACCACAGTAGCCTTTTCACATATTATAAATATAATAAACAGGAAAATGTATTGTTAGTCCTTATTTCTTCATGAAAAAAATGAGAAAATTCCTTATATATGTTTTGCACAAAACGATTTTAAAGAGTACTGAAGGAAATGTAATAACCTAACTAGATAAAATCACGTTATATGCAAATCTTGAATTAAAAAAAGTTTCAAATACAATTTAGGGTTTTATGCAGCCAATGAGTGTTCTGAATTTTCCCTCAAGGCTGAAATGAAAACTGATATCTAATGAATTAAGCGATTCTTGATGGAAAGAGGAAATGGTTTTAATATAAAAGGATGCCCTCCAGTGTAAGTATGAAGAAATAGCTTGTTTACAGTTTCAACAAATTTGTTTAAAAAATGTGCAATGTTTTGCAAGTACTCCACTTCCAGCAATTGTTATCTTTTTTACTTTGATCCTTGGTTGATGCTGTAAGACACACGATTCTGGGCTAGTGGTCATGAATGTGGCATTTGTAGATGGAGAAAATTTCCATAACATGTCATTTAGAATTATTCTCAAAAGTTGTGTGTAACTAAAAATCCATCCATTCATCCACCCACACATACATACATAAATAAAAACATCAGGAGAAATTATCCCACACTGATACTATCAAAATAAAATGGGAGGGAGATAAAGATAATAAAGTATTCATTTATTTACCTGATTTTGAAATAAAAAATATATATCAATAAAAATAGCATTACAGAAATGCATTTACCTTCCATTAAAAGAATACAAAATGCCAGTTGGCAGTTTTATAAAACTTTAATTACACATTTTGGTCTATCTACATTATTTCAATTGGCAGAGTGGTTTTGAGAGTAAAACAATTACTGATTGTCCGTTATAGTATTCAAATCATACAAATGTGAAAGCAAGATAAAAGCAATTGCTTTAAAAAAAGAAACCCAACCTATTAAAGCTTTTCATGCTTCCCTTTATGAATCTGGTCAAAACCTACATGATCAACCAGAATATGAGTTTTGTTTTTCATTCACAGTTTAAAAACTATGCATTTTGCACTTGTTTAGCTTTAGACTATTTTGTAGTGTGTAACTATATTGTGTGCATTTCATTTTTTACACTTTTTAAAAGACTACATCTCCAAAAACAAAAAGCAACCTGATTGCTTATTGCATTTTAGGATATGCATGTATGTATGTATCCATATGTAATATTGAAAACTCCCAGGAGAAAATTCCAGCATTTGTGAATGCGTTCAGCAACCTTGCAACTTCCCACAAAAAGAAAAGCTTCTTCGCTGGCTTTTCAGTGAAACTAAGCAAGACAAAGATGGAAAACATCTTCAGTGCCTTCTGTAAGGCACTGTATATAACCATAATATAAACATTAATTAATGTGGTGTTTGGCTTAAAAAAAAAAAAAACAGTCTGTACTGCAGGTATTCACTCTCCATTGAGATTAAAGCTGTATCCAGTTAACTGAAGAAGGTAAAGTGCCCTATAACGGAACTATTAAGTGGAAATATTAAACAGTTTTATATACCTTGGGAATATATGCAGAAAATTGTTCTTGGGTTATTCTTTAAGACGACACACTGACCATGGGAGACTCTCAAAATTTGTACTTAAAATCCAATAAAAAGACAAAACCGTCAGATTGTCTTTCTTTCATAAAATAGACTTGAAAATGAGCAAACACCATCGTAAACTTCAAAAGTGTGGAAAAGAGAGTTCCAAATAGTCCAGTTATTACCTCAAGAAAGAAGTTTTCATTATCTCTCTGTGTTTGGATTTTTTAAAAAGAATGATCAGTCATCATGATCCATAAATTCTGCTAATGACTTATTTTTGGTCCTCAAATCGCTCGCAATGTCCTATTATAGGCCAATCTCATCATCAAACTCGTCCTCAAAAGTGTATCCTTGTTCTCCATTGACACCCTCCTCCTCTGAATCTGTTTCTGAAAGATGTTGGTGTTCTCTCCTCCGGTCCAACGGTGAGACTCCCTCATATTCTGAGCTCATTGAGGAAGAGGTGCTTGGAGAGTTGTCCTCCTTCCGATTAACCATCTCTGCTTGTCTTGGGTCTTTGTCGTAAACTATTCTCCCACTAATCTCCTGCATCTCCTTATTTGGTCTCAAGCTCATTTCTTCTTCACCTTCCACGTCTAGCCCCTCAATTGCTTCCTGCCGACCGATGATCTCATCACGCTTGTCGCTGAATCGCACTTTAGGCCTGAGCCCTTTTGATTTCACGCCATTCATCTCGTTCAGTTGCTCATCTTGTTGGCTCACCTCTTTGGTCACGCTTTCCATTCTCATCCTCTCATTCAACTCATTGGCAGCACTCCTTGGCGACATCATCACATCTCTTGTGCTCTTGCTGGGACTAAACACCTCTTCGCTGTCTTTGTGAAAACCCATGGTCAGTCCATCCATCACTCCCAGTACATCTCCTAAAATCGAAGGCCCTAAATCGAAGTCGAGGTCAAAGGAGGAAACTGAACCGGCGTGCCGGAGCTCACTTGGACCGATATCTTCTTCAGCATATTCAATATCATTATTATGGTTCATCTGAATGTCTGCGGTCTCTACAGTGGCTTCCCCGACTGGTTGCACAGAGTTGGGATTAGGACCAGAGGGGCCATGGCTGGACAGGAAGGAGGTGTCACCAAAAGCGTCTCCACCACGACCAATGTGCATGGTGTGACGGAAATCCCCCAGGGGAGCAGAGATCATGGTGGGGTCCAGACGAGGGGTTCGAGATGATTTGTGGAGTGGCATGGTAGCAACTGAGGAACAAAATTGCAAAGTAAGATTAAGGGAAAGATGTAATAAAAACATTTATGGCCATTATATGATATTTTATAAAACGGATAGTTCCGGGCCTTGATTCTGATTGGTTGAGCCGCGTTCAAAGCCGTTGTAAATTACTCAACAAACATACACCTGTGACCGCATTACATTAGTATTACTGCACAACTGCCGTTTGTGATTCTTTGTTGCTGCATGTGTTGCTTGGCAACCTCTTTGGAACTACATTGCTTGGCGGAGGAATAAATGTGTTATAACGTTATATTGTTTGTTGCTGGTGTTTATTTTATGAATAAAAATATTAAAATGAATATTTTTATGGAGTAACCGTTTTATAAAAGCAATAAGCCCATTGAAGCCGTGTTTTACTCCGCTCCACGTCGTGCCTAACAACACCCTTTAGCTGTTCTAAATTCACTGTAAACGGCTTCGCGTGGCTTATTGCTTTAATATGATATATTATTATACACTGGCCGGCCAAAAAAAGTTGCTGTTTAGATTTAAACATGCTGTTTAGCATGTTATATGTTTGGCAACAGTTCTTCTAACCCTAATTGATGGAGTGTGTAGCTTTTCATTTCTTAAACAACTATGTAGAAAGACACTTGCATATTTACATAAAAAAAAATTGTAGTCAGGCAGTGTATTATATAATATAATATTATAGTTAATTATTATTTAAAGTTGCTAGTTATTCACATTCCTAAATCTCATAATATACTATATGTTACAGTTTGACTCTTTGTTTCCCCCTTTTTCTTAGTGTTTTGGTTTAGTCCTATTCAGTTTTCCCGCTCCTCGTTTGTCCTCAGTTTATGCACCTGTGTTTAGTTAATTATCTTCATCCATGTCACCTGTCTCCTATTCATTATTGTCATCAGTCTCTGTATTTAGTTTCCCTCAGTTCATTCAGTCTTTGTCCATTCTCGTTAGTATTACGTTTGTGTTAAGATGTGTGTTGTGACTCCTAAGTTTTGTTTAAATAAATTCCTGTTCCTCGTCGTCTTCCTCGTGTTTCCTCCACCACGTCCTGTGACACTATATTAACTGTACTATAATATAATATAATAACACAGTAAAACATTATGATAAAAAAGTTGACAACATATGTTTTTACATTGCTTTAACTCATCAAAATAAGTTAATATATTTTCAACTTTTTTTTATAAGTAGGCTAATAGAAGATTCAAGATTTAAGTCAGTTTAATGTCATTTAAATTGAAATTACTTAACCAACTTGATTGTACTTAAAAATTTAAGGCAGCAACTTTTTGTTTTACAGAGAATAACATCTTATCTGCTGGTATTATATTATAATTATTTAATGTTGCTTGATATCCACATTTCTAAATCCCCTAAAATCATAAATATAATCAGATTATATATAATTTTATTTATTATATTACAGTTAATTATAATTTAATGTTGCTTGTTATTGACATTTCTACATTTCTTTCCTCAGACTGTTTTCTCTGTAAAAGCTGAAGTTTCAATTCAGTGGGACTCAACTGCTCCGGTTTGGGTGAGGTGAGATTATACAGTATAAGACTCATGTTCTTCAATTTGTATATTTCCGGATTTTATCAATAAACAGGTATGAAATCATTACGTTGCACAAAAAGGAGCTATGATTGAGTAAAGGTAGTGAAAAAGAGGAGTTGACAGACGCCAAATCCAAGCTCGGACTTGTATGTGAAGAGCGTGCTTAAATGCATTCTTGCCTCGAGCATTCTCGCGAGGTTGAGACCTTTTTTTTCTTTCTTTTTTTTTTACAGTCTATGGTTGAGACGCAAAGTCTGAGAAACCTTATAAACGTGGCCACGGTTAGGCTATATCTTTTTAAAACTTAAATCGATTAAATAATTGACAGACAGAAATGTCACTCGTTTCTGGAGCCTAGAACACCTTTGAAGCCCCCCCCCCATTTAATAATTAAATAAAAGTTACTCTTTAACGTTATAGGCCTAGTTGTTAAAATCCATTTTTGCATTATCCGAGAAGCTTATATATATATATATATATATATATATAAAAGAGTAATTATCGAAATGTGTGTCCTCCTAACCATAGACTGGTCCTAACCTTTTCATAAACAACTGCAACAGCTGGAAAGGGTATCAGTTCTAGTCGTCTTTACCAGATCTATTTACCACGGGTAACGTTATAAAGTAAAAACAAATCTTAGGTTTAACGTACTTTCTGAGGTAAAACACCTTTATACACATTTTATACACATTCGATGAAAACGAAATAAAGTAAAGCAGCCAAGTAACTTAACTTACCAGTGCTATTAAAATTTTAAGCAGAAGACCTGCCTGTTGCCCAGGAAAGCGTCGCCCTGTCCAATGAAGCTGTAATAGAGCAAAAATCAACGTGTGTATCAAATAGTATTTATAGTTTAATGCAATGAATGTCTCTTAAAGTGGGAGTAACTGCAAAAGTTACGCGCCCAACGGAGTTACCGAATCGGTTTCCTTCAAAACGAGGGAATTAGACTTACTTTGATCACCGTGTGCTTGTCAACGGGATTGTACCTATTTGCTCCAGTTTTAACCAAATTATTCTTTAAATATCGCTTTCCTTCTTTTACAGACTTTTCTGGCGTCGCTCTTCTCTACGATATTTCTTTTTTTTTTTTCTTTAGGGATGGGCAAGGAAGTGACGTGAGTTTTACATGGGAGCGCTTTGGCAACAGAATGATTTCACATGAGTTTTCTTTTTGAATTTTAAACCTCACTCAAGTGTAGAATCATGAGTAAAAGTGTGGCTTGTTAGGGTTGAACAAGTAAAAAATGAAAAGTTGAACAAGGCAAAAGGTCATCTAAAAACGTAGCTAATGAACTTTTATTTTTATTTTTTTAAGTGAGGAGACTATTTAAAATATAAGAGTTATTGTTATACCCTTGTGTAGGACTGTTTGTACATTGTGTGTTTGAGTTTATTGCCATGGGTGAATCACAATGAAAACACATTTTGGAATCCCGTCTGTCAACATTTTGAACAGAGCTTGTCGAAGCAGAACCTGTTCTAATGCTCTGTTTTGTTTTTGTATCTCCATGTATGGGCCTATCACTTTCACCATCAATATGATAATAGAAGTAAAAATCCATAATGAAAAAGTTTGATTTCTTTGAGTTAAAAGCATGACATAAAAAAAGTAGGCCTTTATAAATTTTATATAGTCTATAAATTATACATTTTATATATAAATTATATACATTTTGTATCATATTTGATGCATGAGGCTTTTATGGCGTGTATCATATTCTGATGATGGATCTCCATATTCTCAGTACTATCATAGGCCGCATATGATATACTGAGAAGATGGAGAACATCAGAATATGGAATTTTTTATATGGCCAAAGATTAAGATGACATTTTGATTTTAATGTAAATCAATAAGTATAACTACTTACATAAAATACATATCAGTCATCACTCCATATCTCCCAATAATATGTCTAAAAAAAGATGATATTTAAATGCTTAGTTTAATGATCAAAGCTCTGGGAGGCAAAATATAGAGAGATGTTATTGAGAGATGTACAAATAAATGTTCCTCAAAAGTCTGTTTTTTAAATACGATACATACATTAAAAAAAAAACAAGAAAAAAATATATATATATTTAAATTATTATTATTATTATTATGTTTACTTTTTCACAGTGGGCTAAGATTTCAAAGGACAGGTGACCTAAAGGGATACATATTTACAATACTAAAATGCCTTTTACTTGCTAAAAAAGTATGAATTATCAATCAGAGGACAGAAGGTTGTAGCTACAACAGGTTTTCAGCAAAGTTTTAATTTTGCTGACAGTTTAGATTCCTTTCATGCATCAAATATGATGCTAAAAAGTTTAGAAAACTGAGATCTTTGAATGAATTGTAGATTAAAGGCTACAACTGACATTCTTTCTGCTTTGGTGGCCTACATATCCTGCCTGGAAAGAGAATTCAAGGATGCTGCAGCTGAGCCATGAATCACATCACATCACTTCCTCTTTCTAGCACAGCTTATGTCACACACTATCGCTGTGGTTACTAATACAATGATGAATGGCTGGAAGTGTTGTCAGAGTATGAGGTCACATATAAAACCCAGCATTACTGAAGGAGTGGTTCACTGGATTAGAGAATATCCATTTACAAGAATGAAACAAAATCCAGCTATTTTTATCTTTACAATGCCAACATAAGTCTGAACAGTAGGCTCTATTTATACATGGATTTATATTTGCTCCCCGGTGAATTCTCTATCTTTTGAATGGAATACAGTGTTGTACTGTGAGTAAAAAAAATGTTAAGGGATAAAAAAGTCTGTGGAGTCAAGAAGTGTAGGCTACTTACATTTGAAGTGCAATGAATGCAGCACAGTAGATCTCTTTAATACCAGCACGCATAAATATCTATTCATCACTTGTCAGACCTACACACTAACAAAAAGCTTTCCAGAAGTTCCTATCTTATGTAACCATTCTTATGAAAATGTTGCCATCCAGTGGTTGGATTAGCATATACGGTTTCCTATAATCTGATGGCACTAAATTAAAGCTAATTTAATTGACTAAACTGAATTGAAGCTAATTATATAAACTAAATAAAATTTGCTTTGTATGGTAGCCTATTTAAAAATAGAACGCCCTCAGAGACTTTTAATTTGAAAATTCAGCTAAGCTCAGCACGCATGCGCAGTCTTATAGTGTTGCTGCCAGTCGTGTACGTCGAAGGATGTCTGACAACGCAGAATCTCCTACAGAAAATCAAAAAGATGAACCTTCGATACAACAAACTGTCACTGAACACATTGGATTATCGGATGAGAAGAAAAAGAGTATGAGTTATATACATGACCTGAGAAACTGTTATAAATTAATTGCTAAACGCTGCTGCAGTGTTTATTTCGGCAGGTCAGCAGCGAGCTACTTCCGTGATTTCGCAAAGATTGATAGCTCTGCCAGCCAATGAACTTTCCGTTTGTATGTAGGCAGCCAATGGCTGGCCAAGCAGGCATGTGCTTGTTTACCATGAAAGTGTTTGTGTAAGAGTTGTATTTTTGTTAAGATTTTAAAGAAATTTCGGCATAATCGCTATTTTAATTAACCGAATGGCCTAAAACATTCTTGTAGAATCATTCAACAACAGATGACAAGATAATACAGAGTATTATAATCACAATTTATTGTGACGTTGGGAACCTACATAGCGGAGCCTATGTCCATATCGTACCGTATTAATGTATTTATTATATAATGTTTTATTGCAGAGTTTTATTGTTTTAGCATCATTATTGATTAACAGACTAATATACTCATACATTTCAATATAACTTTATACATTTTTACTTTACTTGCTTTAAATTTTTACAAAGTAGTTTGACATCAAAAAGTAATTAGCTGGCCCTTGTGAAAAAATGCAGTTAATTGTATTGGGTGTCACACTTTATATTAGGTGTCTTTAGCTACTATGTATGTCTTGCATACTTGCATAAAAATACCTTTTAGGTACAATGTACTCATTGTTTTATGTTGTATTGCAAAACACTTTTGCTGCTATTGAGGCGGGATACGGGTAAGGTTTGGTACAGGTTTGATGGTCTGGTTTTGTTTAAGGGTGGGTTAAGAGATAAGGAAACTGTCAACAGTTTAATTATAGATGTAATTAAATTAATTTCAGCTGCAATTACATGCATGTTCTTTTTTAAATATAAGTTCAATGTAAAACATGTACACAATAAACCGAAATAATGCATGTAAAAGTTACTAGTAGTTAATGACACTTAATGTAAAGTTGGACTGTGTGTTTGTTTGTTTGTTTGTTTTAAGAGTACATTTTTGTGTTTCGTAACACACTCAAGTACACTGTTAAAAGAGCAATCTATAATAAGTTTCAGCTTCTTAATAAGTATGGTCCACAGAGATTTTCTGAATATGTTGTGAATTATTTTATCCTCATTTTATCTTTCAGTTGATGTGCTGTTAAAGGCTGTCGGTGATGCGCCCATCATGAAGACCAAAAAATGGTCCGTGGAGAAAGGGAGGACCGTACAGTCACTCTCTCAATTCATCTCTCGCTTTCTCAAACTGGAGCCTAGTGAACAATTGGTATGTTATTCACCCCACCATGACCAACTCGCTTCATTAAAAAGCATTGTAAAGCAGAGTGGGCTCTCCCTCCTCTGCCAGACCACTGTGCCATCAACAAAAGAACACAACCACAAATTTTTCCCAGTTTGAAAGCTTCTTAAATATATTAATATAGAGACATAATTTTCACCATCAGGAGGGTCCGCGTACAACAGCGCATGCGCAAGGTGTATGTTGAGACAGAAGAGTCCAGTAGGTGGCAATACGCAACTGTGCATATATTGTACAGTTGTTGTACAGAGCGATACAAAACAACACGCTGTTCCAAGAACAGTAAACAAAGCAGTATATCATTCTCCTTTGTTGTTTTCTTTTTATTGGTTCTTGTTTAACTTTTGCATGCAAGCTACTTTTCTTCTTCTATCCCTCTGAGTGAACATCCTGTAAATGACACGACTCAGTGCTGCCCTATGATATCCTGTAGAGTCTGGAAAAGCAATTGTGTCAAACGTGCCCATCTGCGCTCATCCGGTTGAGTTAGTGTACTTTTGAAAGCTGTGCGGCGGACACGGGACATGGAAAATGAAGTATGCTCGGGCCTTAAGACTGGTGCAAGGGAACAGGTCTTGAAAAGGTCATGCCATTTCCTCGGAGTTATCAGTGGGCTTATCTTTTTTGACTCGTATGCTTCCCGTTGTCCAACACAATATTTGACGGCCATTGTAAGGGCTATCTTAATCGCAAAATCCTTTCAGTGCACTGAAACATTGGCTCCCTAAAAATCCCACAATACACCGCAAAAACCAGGGAGCATCGATGCTCACTTTGCTCCCTTACTGGTAAATTCGTCACATTTCTGAAGCACAAAACATAAAACACGCACAAGCCAACTCAATAAATATAATGACACGCGATAGAAGATTTGAAAAGACAAACTTTTTTTATTTATTTATATGTCAGCATAAACGCACATCACTAGACAGGTAGTGAACAGATCTAGTTAGCATTTATTATTAATATTCAGCTGAAATGTTGCAAGATTGCAACATTCTACAATGTTGTACTTTGACGTTGTATGTAGTCATGTTGCCGGAAATTGAGTAATCACTGTACCAATGTGTAGCGAACCAGGGTCCTTACCAGCGGCCGGATTTGTGTACACGAGTCAAGACATACTGATTCACGAGCTAGGGAGCTGATTGAGACGCACCCTTGGAGTCTTTACTAATGAGCTGATAAGTTGAATCAGGTGTGTTTGATTAGGGAGATGTCTAAATCAGAGATAGGCTGTGTTTGAAATCGCCCCCTATACCCTCATTCACTATTCCCTACATTACTCCATCAATATAGTTCCCTTGAGGGAGTGAATGAAAGCGAGTCAGTGAATTCGGACACTGAGTGTGGCGGAAGGGCTGCTGCTTTTTTTTTTTTTGGTGACTAAAGTTGCAGGCTTGCCTTCAAGTGGCTTTTTCTAAACTGTGCAGTGCTGCGGTACTCTGGGACCAGAGTTCATTCACTGTGCTATTGGGCCCTGGCCCTCGGTTGAGAACCACTGCTTTAGATCTACATTCGTGGACAATTTTGTCAAGTTAAATATCTGTTGTCTGTTTTCATAAATATGTTTAATAAATACATTAACCTTTTGAATTAACCTTTTTATTAATAAATATTATTTATATATATGTATATACACTCACCTAAAGGATTATTAGGAACACCTGTTCAATTTCTCATTAATGCAATTATCTAATCAACCAATCACATGGCAGTTGCTTCAATGCATTTAGGGGTGTGGTCCTGGTCAAGACAATCTCCTGAACTCCAAACTGAATGTCAGAATGGGAAAGAAAGGTGATTTAAGCAATTTTGAGCATGGCATGGTTGTTGGTGCCAGACGGGCCGGTCTGAGTATTTCACAATCTGCTCAGTTACTGGGATTTTCACGCACAACCATTTCTAGGGTTTACAAAGAATGGTGTGAAAAGGGAAAAACATCCAGTATGCGGCAGTCCTGTGGGCGAAAATGCCTTGTTGATGTTAGAGGTCAGAGGAGAATGGGCCGACTGATTCAAGCTGATAGAAGAGCAACTTTGACTGAAATAACCACTCGTTACAACCGAGGTATGCAGCAAAGCATTTGTGAAGCCACAACACGCACAACCTTGAGGCGGATGGGCTACAACAGCAGAAGACCCCACCGGGTACCACTCATCTCCACTACAAATAGGAAAAAGAGGCTACAATTTGCAAGAGCTCACCAAAATTGGACAGTTGAAGACTGGAAAAATGTTGCCTGGTCTGATGAGTCTCGATTTCTGTTGAGACATTCAGATGGTAGAGTCAGAATTTGGCGTAAACAGAATGAGAACATGGATCCATCATGCCTTGTTACCACTGTGCAGGCTGGTGGTGGTGGTGTAATGGTGTGGGGGATGTTTTCTTGGCACACTTTAGGCCCCTTAGTGCCAATTGGGCATCGTTTACACGGCCTACCTGAGCATTGTTTCTGACCATGTCCATCCCTTTATGGCATCCTCTGATGGCTACTTCCAGCAGGATAATGCACCATGTCACAAATCTCGAATCATTTCAAATTGGTTTCTTGAACATGACAATGAGTTCACTGTACTAAAATGGCCCCCACAGTCACCAGATCTCAACCCAATAGAGCATCTTTGGGATGTGGTGGAACGGGAGCTTTGTGCCCTGGATGTGCATCCCACAAATCTCCATCAACTGCGAGATGCTATCCTATCGATATGGGCCAACATTTCTAAAGAATCCTTTCAGCACCTTGTTGAATCAATGCCACGTAGAATTAAGGCAGTTCTGAAGGCGAAAGGGGGTCAAACACAGTATTAGTGTGGTGTTCCTAATAATCCTTTAGGTGAGTGTATTTGTGTGTGTGTATATATATGTTTGTATGTTTCATTTATGTGATTTATGAACCAACCCAATCAATTTAATTTTACTCATGAAATCAAACAGAAAAAATAATTCTGAGATGAACTAGTTTTTTCTTATTGCTCTTCTGTACTGAATGCTTTATCTTCATTTTTCTGCTCTTCCACCAGTTCATTTATGTCAATCAGTCATTTGCTCCATCACCAGACCAAGAAGTGGGTGTGCTTTTTGAGGTATGTTTTTGTGTGTGTGTGCGCGCGTGCGCGTGTGTGTTTTGCCAAATGCTACTCTGCCCCCCTCTGGCTTTTTAAGGAAATTGAAAGACTGAAATCATTTAAGATGACCATTTGGTTGCACTTTATTTTAATGTGTCTTAGTCACAGTGTAATTATACATTTAAGAAGTATAGAGTAATATCAATTAACATGTACTTACTATAGGGTTAGGATTAGAAGCAGGGTATGGTTTAGTTGGATGTAATTATTCATAATTTACTGTCATTACTACAGTAAGTACATGTAGCAATGTTTTGCTGACAAATGCAGCATTATTCAGAAGACTTGAAACTCGTAACAGTCCTCTATACGCAAGTGACTATTTCTGTTTTTAACATGACCTGTGTAATGCTGTATAATGAATATAATAGGTTAATGCAATTTTAGTGGGGATTTCAGTGTAGGAACAATGTGTTTCTCTGATTTAATAGGTGAACCTTGTTGTTCTACTCTGTTTTACAGTGTTTTGGAAGTGATGGGAAACTAGTTCTCCATTACTGCAAGTCCCAGGCCTGGGGATGAGCGTGCAGGTCTCTTCTGCACCCCCCCCACCCCCCCCCCCCCCCCCCCCCCCCCCCCCCCCGTTTCCGCCTTTCATTTATACATCTGTACACATACAGTAACAAAAACATCCCATACGTATCATCATTGTTTTTATAACTTGTACATTTTTCATGTCTTGTTTTTTTGTAAATAATAAAGTGTAAATAATATTATAAAACAATGCATCATCTCGTGGGACTTTTTTAAAGCGCAGTGGAGGTGGGAGGAATAGGTGGAAATCATAAGAACACCAAATACCTTTAGCAACACATTTTGATGAATGTTTTTTATATTTAAGCTCGTGTTGAAGTGATTTACAGGGACAAAGACAATATGTGATTCTCAGTAGTACACAGTGATTACTTTTTACAGGAGGGGTGGGTAATGCCCCAGGACAGAACAGGTCACATGTAAGGGCCGGTGGAGACGCCGAGGGGTGTGAAGAACAGGTGGGACAGAGGGTTGTTTAAAAAGGGTGGGATGGAGTGATGTAAAAGAAGACAGGATAGAAAGATGGAGATGGCGCTAACAGATGGACTGAAGAGGGATTATGGATGCTCTTGGTAGAGTGTGACACCAATTTCCAAGGAAAGGCAGGAAAAGGAGGAGATTTGGGCAGGATTTTACCAAAAAAGGGGAAAAGCAGAAATAATCGCAGAAGGGTAAGGAGAGAAACTGCATGCTGAACCAAAGAGACGAGACCTTCTGTGTTTAACAACTGCACAGAAGGAAGAAAATGAATGGATCGAAACAGGGGGGAATTATTACGATGGACATGATGTAAGAAGATTAACGTGGACAGGTAAAAATCCGCTTTTTTAATGCAGAATAATGTTGATTTTCTTGTGAAATATAGCTACATTTAATTCTCGATACTGCAGATACATCTGGTAGTACTCTTCAACAATAAATGAACGATTCAAGCATTTCTTTTGATTAGCACACATAATGCCTTTCGTATCGCTTACAAACACATTAAAATAAAATTACATTTAGGGTCTGTTTTTCTGTAAAATGTGCAAATGTTGCCTTAAAGAACTGTTTTTAGTTGATCTGACTTTTGAAAATTAGTTTTGTTGATGTAATCTATAGTCAGGTTTATTCAGATATATTAAACTATAGTTTTTATATTACATGCTCAGCTCAATTTTAATGTGAGTTTAAGGATACAAATAATGCATAGGAATCCTTAAAAGCCTTTAAAAAAAAAAAACATGCACACCTACAAAGCCCAAACAGATTAAAACAGATTATTAGAGGATTACAAGTAAAGTTAGACTTAATGCAAGAGCTTAACTAATAATTTCATCACGTAACTTCAAACGTAATCCTTTGAATTCGCCCTCTTTCCTTTTCTCATTTTTAATCCATTCAGTGCTAGACTGGATGATGCGTTAGGGAGTATCAGTAATAGTTCCGTATAATATATTCTGCATTTCATAAACATGTTTTACGTTTAAATTACAGTTCTGCTCATAAATTTACATACCCCTTGCAAAATTGCATGTTTTTTTTTTTAGTACTGTTCTGAATAAACATAACAGGCAGTTAAACTTCCCACTGGTCTTCAGGCCCTGCACATTCTTCTGCATATTTGAACCCTTTCAAACAGTTACTGTATGATTTTGAGATCCATCTTTTCACACCGAGGAACAACTGAGGAACTACAATAACTATTACAAAAGGTGCAAACATTCACTGATGGTCAAGATGGTGAAGGGGGTGTAAACTTTTTGAATTGGATTATTTTGTATTCTGGGAAATATGTCTTATGTAGTCTCTGAAGTGCAGTACTAAATGAAATGATCTTTAAACTAAATAAGAAAAATGTACACCTTATAGGTAACTTCCTAATATATCATGGCGCCGCCTTGAACATCAGTGAATGTTTGTACCTTTTGTAATAGTTGTGTGTAAGTTCCTCAATTGTCCTCAGTGTGAAAAAATGGATCTCAAAATCATAGGTCTCTGCTGGAAAGAGTAAAAAAAAAGCAGAAGATGCTAGAAAACAAAATAATTCGATTTTTCTGAAGAACAGTGCATGATTATTATTATAACTGAAACTAAAACTAAAACCATTAAAAAAACATGTTTGTTACTTAAAATAAAACAAACAACAAATAAAATAAAGTATAAAAACAAACTTATTTAGCTGCAACATTTCTCATTTTCATTTAGTTTAAAGAACTAAATAAACAAACTAAAAATGAAACAAAAACGTATAAAAATGACAAAAACTCAACAAATGACAAAAATATAAACATACTAATATAAAAAACTATAATAGTATCTCAATAAAATAACACTAGATCATTGGAGAGTTTAACTGCTCCTGACAACAACTCATGAACAACTATCAACACATAAAATTGTTGATCATCCAGGTAACAACACACAGTATAAAGATTCAAGGGTATGTTAACTTTTGAACTGGTTCATTTGTGTAAATTAAGTGATTATGTTGTCTTGTAGACTATATGTATACATCTCTAATCTGAAACAGTGCATGCATTTTATGATCCCTCTTATTTCATTATAACTTAGAATCTTACATATTCTGCAAGGTGTATAAACCTATGAGAATAACTTTATATTGTTGATATTGGAAGAAGTAATTAGTAAATTTATTTGCCTTTGGTTTTCAAAGCAACATAACAGATCACTAATATTAAATAAAAAATTCTAATCAAGACATTTTATGACATGAAGTGATTTGCGTTACAGAATTTGGTGATAAAAAATAATAATAAAGTAAATTACTTCATATGAAAATATCAAACAAAAAATAAATCAAATAATAAATCAAAATTCATATAATAATGATATACGAATGCCAAAATGTATTAACACATAGTGCTAAAGTAGTAAGATGTGTCTGTGTAGTTAATGTAATCTGTCTTTTAGATCTCTTCAAGAATTTTTTCATTTGTTGCTTTGGTTAATAAACATCTGCCAAGAACAAAGTTTAAATGTATAAGCCTGGGACATATGTTTTCTTTCCTTGTCTGACCCTCTCTTTTAATAAATCCACATCTTCATTTATCCTACCATCTGTCACAGGGATCTCTTTCTCATTTCTGCTTTATATAATTTTCTCAATTTCATTCTCATCCCAAAAGATTTTTTTTGTGCGTGGACACTGGCATCCCTGTTTGCCCTTCTCTTCCTTACCTCTAGGTAGCATGTTGGACCACATGTCCAGGCGTTCTCGCTCCCTGCTCTCTCTTTTCCTGACCTCCCTTGCCCTTGCTTTATCTGTCCTGGCTTTCTGTACGTCTTACTGGTGTGAAGGAACGCACAAGGTGGTCAAACCTCTCTGCCTTTCACCTGTCAAGATGAAGAACTGCGGCCAGAACAATAGTGAGCCTTACACTACAGGTATGATGTATCACATGCACCTTAATCTTCTGGTTTGATTTTACCGGTGTGACAAATCACAATTGTGCTGATACTCACAACATAAATAGTCCCAAATTAAATGAAAGTAGATTAATCTTTGCGCATCTCCAAGCAACAGTTTTTCGTTCCTGAATGAATAAGCCAGTGTTTTGAATAAATTGGTTGAGTGAATGATTCAATGACTCATTCATAAACAGCGTTAAAAAAAAAAGTTCTATTTTTGGCAAATGTAAAGGCCCTTTCGCACCAAAAGTGAAATGAATAAGCCTCAGGATGAAGGAAATACAAATTCGCGGCTGTACAGTAGAGGGCACAGCTCAAACAAACCTTTCGACTGTGCTGCAATCCTGGAAGAATAGGATGATGCAGGGGAGGTTAGTTTCTTTTACTGTCTATGGTTCAACACTCTTATTTCAGCAATAAAAACAAAATTAAACACAAATGTTTATCTTAATTCAGTTGTATCATGGAAGGTCAGCAGCAAAGACACTGGTTTATAAAGTGAGATTAAATACATAAAATATATTTGTGTTTTTTACACATTTATTTATCACAGGTTTGCGTAATATTCTAGGTTTGCATTTCACTGTTTTTTATTCATTTTGAGGAATACTGAATCTGTCTTTATGCACGTGCGATGAGTAAACACATGCTCACATTTAGTCTAGAACTACAATAACTATCATGTTTACATCGCGCACATAACTCTGTATATTAGTCCTGATTTCTCTCAACAATGGGACAGGAGAGGTGTCAGTAAATGGGAAGTAACTTGCGTTACTAATTTGAAAAAATAACCGAGATATTTTGTTGTAAATTTAAAAGTAATGCATTACTTTACTACTTACTTTTAAAAAGTAATCTGATTGTGTAACTCACTTTATTTGTAATGCGTCAGCCCCAACACTGTTTATAAAGATGGTTGCCACCTACTGGTGTAATAATGTAGTCTGTAGAAAGAGTCAATGAATAATCTCCAATATGACTGACAGATTGTCTGGATTCTGGAACACAGACAAGCGGAGTGATACCAGCAGTGAAAAGTTACAGTGCTTGTACACTCCACTTATTTAGGTTACAAACAGGCTAATTGGGAGTCTTTTTCTTTTCTTTTCAGAAAGCCCCACCCCAGATCCACGGGGCACTTTACCACCAAAGCGAAGGGAGGAACTAGCCAGGATTCGTCAAAGGCAATTGGCCAACGCAGTTCACTACATTTGGGAGACGGGAGAAGACAAGTACACCTTCAGATATTTCCACACAGGATTTTGGGAGTCTTGTGAAAAACACGCTGATGGTAAGAAAAAGTCTCATCGAGAGACATCAAAGGTATAGTTCACCCCAAAATGGAAATTCTCTCACCCTAAAATTATCTACTCACCGTCAAGTCACAATGTCGATTATGTCATTCTTTTAGGCTGGACTTTCACACTGCTCTTTCCTGTACAATGAAACTGAATGCAGAATTTGTGCTATGTTCGAATACATGCAAATGTGTACAAGATTTCAGAGATGCAGCAATGCATTTTTTTCTTTTTCAAATCTTTAGAAGACTTGCAATAGTGCATGAGTTTATGGAAGAGCTGCATGAACATTCTGCCAAATGTTTTATTTTGTGTTTAATGGAAGAAAGAAAGTCATAGGGGTTTTGAGCGACATGAGGGTAAATGACAATTTCTTTTCTTTTTTGAAATAACTTTAATACTAATTTTAGGACCTTGATGGCATTTTTCAAAAACAATCACTTGTAACGGGCTATCTAATGTTCAAAACATTTTTTCAACATTTTTTCTTTTGGATTCTCAACAAGGGCCTGCACAGTAATGTGAAATCTGAAAACATGGTCTGGAAAAGTGGAACATGGGACCATAGAAACAGTGTCTGAAAAAAAATGGTGATGAAGTATTACATCCAAAATAATGTAGAGCAGTTGTTTCATGTTCCACAGTAATTGGTGTAAGTGGATTTCATTATCCAGAAACCTTCTGATCACAACATGGAATGTTCATCAATTTTCATAAAGCTATGCATTTATGCAGTAATGCAGCAGTTACTTATCAATTTGAGCACTTGTTTTAATTGACAGTTAGATCATTGCAAAGAAATGAAAAAATGTGTATTTTGATTATTGGTTGGGGGAGCAATAATGTCTTGATTTTTGTAACGAGTTTTCAAAGAAAGTTTAAAAACCAAAATGGCACACCCATTTTAAAATGCTTTATATGCCATTCAAATAATTGTATTGTTGTGTGTCAGACATTGGATTTCATTGGTATTCTTGTTCATTCTGCTACATTACAGGAGAACGATGTCGCCGGTTCTTAGATCTTACTCCTGGAGAGACTCATGGTGAGCGTGCAGTGCATGTGTGTGTTCATGAAATGATATACACTCACCTAAAGGATTATTAGGAACACCATACTAATACTGTGTTTGACCCCCTTTCGCCTTCAGAACTGCCTTAATTCTACGTGGCATTGATTCAACAAGGTGCTGAAAGGATTCTTTAGAAATGTTGGCCCATATTGATAGGATAGCATCTTGCAGTTGATGGAGATTTGTGGGATGCACATCCAGGGCACGAAGCTCCCGTTCCACCACATCCCAAAGATGCTCTATTGGGTTGAGATCTGGTGACTGTGGGGGCCATTTTAGTATAGTGAACTCATTGTCATGTTCAAGAAACCAAGAAATTTGAAATGATTCGAGCTTTGTGACATGGTGCATTATCCTCCTGGAAGTAGCCATCAGAGGATGGGTACATGGTGGCCATAAAGGGATGGACATGGTCAAAAACGATGCTCAGGTAGGCCGTGGCATTTAAACGATGCCCAATTGGCACTAAGGGGCCTAAAGTGTGCCAAGAAAACATCCCCCACACCATTACACCATTACACCACCACCACCAGCCTGCACAGTGGTAACAAGGCATGATGGATCCATGTTCTCATTCTGTTTACGCCAAATTCTGACTCTACCATCTGAATGTCTCAACAGAAATCGAGACTCATCAGACCAGGCAACATTTTTCCAGTCTTCAACTGTCCAATTTTGGTGAGCTCTTGCAAATTGTGGCCTCTTTTTCCTATTTGTAGTAGAGATGAGTGGTACCCGGTGGGGTCTTCTGCTGTTGTAGCCCATCCGCCTCAAGGTTGTGCGTGTTGTGGCTTCATAAATGCTTTGCTGCATACCCCGGTTGTAACGAGTGGTTATTTCAGTCAAAGTTGCTCTTCTATCAGCTTGAATCAGTCGGCCCATTCTCCTCTGACCTCTAGCATCAACAAGGCATTTTCGCCCACAGGACTGCCGCATACTGGATGTTTTTCCCTTTTCACACCATTCTTTGTAAACCCTAGAAATGGTTGTGCGTGAAAATCCCAGTAACTGAGCAGATTGTGAAATACTCAGACCGGCTCGTCTGGCACCAACAACCATGCCACGCTCAAAATTGCTTAAATCACCTTTCTTTCCCATTCTGACATTCAGTTTGGAGTTCAGGAGATTGTCTTGACCAGGACCACACCCCTAAATGCATTGAAGCAACTGCCATGTGATTGGTTGATTAGATAATTGCATTAATGAGAAATTGAACAGGTGTTCCTAATAATCCTTTAGGTGAGTGTATATATTATGCAGAATGTCAAGTCTCTCTCTATTTGTACAGTATATTCTCATATAAGTGTACCATGCATGTGTTCCTCTGTGCCTGCTGCAGGTGTTCTGTGGTTGTCAATGATTGCTGAGTTCATGTACATCAGTTTGTTGGGGATAGGGTTTCTACTCATGTGGGTGGAAGTGTTATGTGCTCATAAAGAAATGCATGCGCTCAAAATCAACGCTTTTGCAGCCATGTGCACTGTGCTCTCAGGTAAGAAATTGCTTCTCTCTTGTGGTACATTTGGGTATTGCAGTCTTTGGTAATTATTGTTAAAGAATTATATTTTGATCATTTGCATTACATAGTCTAGATACCAGGCATCTTATATTGTCCTAATTCCCTCTAGTTATATCTTTCAGGACTGTTAGGGATGGTGGCTCATATGATGTACACCACCGTATTTCAGCTGACTGTGATTGTGGGGCCCAAAGACTGGAGACCTCAGACCTGGGACTACGGTTGGTCATTTGCGTGAGTACTCTTGCATGTTTACACAAAATATCATTTTGATTTGATTGGGATCCGATTAAAAGTATAGTTTGAACTTTAAGTATAGTCAAATCAAATTTATTTGTATAGCGCTTTTCACAATATATATTGTTTCAAAGCAGCTTTACAGAAAATCATGATGTTAATGTTTATCATATATTTTCATGCCTTTTAGTTGCATTTAGCAGATTCGAGTTGGGTGATCGCCTAATATAGTTTCTTTTGCAAGGATACAAGCAATCAAGCAGTCGAGATTTGATATTTATGTAGTATATATTGCTTTATTTGAGTGTACTACACTGTATGTGGGCACATATAACGTTGGATATACTGTGCGATAATATAGTTTACAATTTGCAGCCACAAAAAAACAAAAAAAATAGCCGAAGCAGGCCCAGGTCAGGAATAAACTTTAGAAACATGCAAATGTTTAGGAATTTTTCTCAGTTCATGGAATATTGAATCCATGGAATTAATAGGTTGCTTCTATGTATTTAATCAGTGAAATTAATTGAATGTGTTCAAATCATTAGATGCATTTTTCTGACTTGACACAAAGCATTCATTCTGTTCTGTGTGATTTTATTGTGTGCTGTTTTCAGCACGTTTCAAATGATTCCATCACTTTTTAACAAAGCCTTTAAAATGTTCATAGTGAACAAAAATTCTGTCATCATTTAATCATCACCATTTATTTAAAAATATCCAAATAATATAACATGATGTAACTATACAAATATATAATATAATATAGATTTTTTCGCGTCCCCTATGCCATAGATATCAAATATCGTTCAAGTTTTCATATATTACAAATATGGAACGTAAATGCTATGATATACATACATTATGTTAATATATATCCAAATATAGAAGACATGTTGTGCTCTGGTTTGTCCATGATGTTAAATGCCACTTGAATGTCAAGAATTAGATATTTTTGAGTTCACTGATTGTTGACAAAAGCCTGTAAATCATGTCTAGTTCTTTGTTAATCTCCCTATTTCTTTTGCATGGTCCTTTCTCTCACTTCTCAACTCCAAGGTTGGCATGGGTGTCTTTCAGCTGCTGCATGGGTGCTGCGGTTATGACCCTTAATTCTTACACCAAAACAGTCATTGAGATGCGTCACCGCCAGAGACTTCGATTAGAAGAGGCCCGCGCTACAACCCACGCTCCATCCTACGATGAGGTGGTCCCAGGGGGCGGGCTCTACTCCGTCAGTGGCCTGTTACAGTGCCCGAATGGGATGATGGACTCTGTGTGGGCATCCAATGGGAGCATGAGAATGGTGCAAGAGGACGATGTGCCCACCCTGGTACTGGTTGGGGGATGCAGACCGGATACGTGTGAGGACTGCGAGAGAGAGATAGATGAGATGAAGGAGGCTATGAAAGGAATAGATTCTCCTTGCTGATTCACTCAAAAACGAAAAATCTGACTTCATTTAGGCTCAAACTGTTCCTAACCTCAATTAATTAATTTTGTCTGTGGAACACAAAAGAAGATATTTTGAAGAATGTTGGTAATCAAATACTTTTGGTTGCCATTAAACTGCGACATATCTTAAAATATCTATTTTGGAGTCATGCGGGTTTGGAACGACAAGAGTAAATAATGTCAGAATTTTCATTTTGGGTGAAATATACCTTTAATGGGTTTTTACAACAAAGGCCTTGTATGTTTCGTTTGTCTGATTAACTGACTGACTTGCAAAAATTGTCTATGCAAAATGTCCCTATAGATGATTTGTTTTTAGGTATGTGTGTGGCTGAAATTCAGTCAGTATGAGTGAGAGATACTGTAGACATACAGCAGATGTGAGAAAGGAGAAAGGTGTGTGTAAATCATTCAGTGATTGGATTTTCAAGTGTGAGGATTCCAGGAAATTTTATTTATGTATTGAAAGGTATGAGACTCTTGAGTGGATTACGTTGAGATTGTGTCAGATCACAAAGCCTGTATTATTTTTAGTTATGCATCTGTTATATTGAAAACAAAAAGGTGTTCTGTTATATCTAATCTTTTATGCTATATCTGTGTTATTTAATAACTCTGTTGCTCAGAAAAGCATCTGGTACCATAGCTAATGTACAGACTATACAGAATATTATTACTAACAAAATCTAAAATGCTTGAAATATTTACTAAATGTGGAATTGTTGCAACCATCAATTGTTGTGATTATTTGTGTCAAGGGGTTTTCTACAACTTCTGAGAGTAGAGTCAATACTGACAATACTGTAAATGATATTGTAACTTACATTCACTGTTGTCCAATGTGACATATATTGTGTTCCTTGTATTTCTAACGGTTCAAGTTCATTATCACAAATGGCCAATTATGGCCTATACTAACTCTGTCCCCGCCACCATTTTGGATCACATTCACAAGGTTTTTTTTGCCCCCCAGAATAGTATGAATATCTGAACATGCAATATATCAAAAGAAAGAACAGATCCCCCCCCCCCCCCCCCCCCCCTCCCCCCAAACACACACACTTTATTCTAGCTTAATGCATTCTTTTTTTATACTTGAATGTGGGTAAGTTTCATTAAGAAAATTTTGAGCAAAAAGCTGCGAAAATCGTATTTTTTGTCAGACAACGTCTGGATCAGATTCAGAACGATGATCAAAACATGGAGTAGATCGAGTCCATCAAAACTCCTAATGCTTGCTCAGTCATAGCTCATCATGGGTCGACATTTCATATGACATTAAGCAGTTTTGATTTATATGCAGTTTAATATTGATGATCGCGTTATTTTACATATGCATTTGCTTATCTCTTGTTTCTGCGTCTTCCCTCACCTAGTGGGCCCTATTTTATCGATCTAAGCGCATGGTCTAAAGTGCGCGGCACAAGTGCACTTAGGCCGTGTCCGAATCCACTTGCCAGTTTAACGACGGGAAAAATGGTCGGCGTGCCCGGCGCATCGTCTAAAAGGGTTGTCCCTATTTTCTTAATGAGTAATGGGTGTGTTTTGCGCGTAACGTGCAATAAACCAATCAGAGTCTCATCTCCCATTCCCTTTAAAAGCCAGTTGCGCTCGCGCCATGGCGGATTTGCAAGTGGAAAAACCATAGACAGTATAAGAAATGGACAGAGCCATCTCATTGGAACTCAGTTGAGACAGTTGAAGCCCATTTTTAGCGATTTCTGAGCACTTCCGTTCCTGACGCGCAGACTCAAACCGACTCAAACTAAGCTTGATGACGTGAGCAACCTGTCTGACAGACGTTAATCTTCTAGTAGCTGTGCGTGAAAATTGCCAACGTTAATCTTGCAGAGACGGGGAACTTGAGCAAAACGTTCTTTGGCGTGAGTGAGCAGGAGTAAGTACTGCGTTGCTTTTATGGACTCATTATCTATGGGCTTCTCCCTTGACGGGACGTCCCCCCGATTGCCTGCGAGCTTCTCCTCCTGTCTGTACGGTAATTTCTGTACAGCGCGACAGAGAGTCGAGTGGTTATGACGCAATCGTTAGCCTATTTTTACTAAATCTGTTTCTACGGGGCCATAATGTAACATAGAAGGTAATGGAGCCCTTTATACATTGTCGTGTTTCTTTAGAAATAAATAATGGACAAATGGAGTCTTTAAACGCCTCAGATGTAAAGTTATTCGCTGTCAAAGTGACGCCAAAATGAATGGGAGTCAATGGAAATGCTAACACAAGTGAAGTTCTGCTACAACATGGCGGCACCCGGCCGGCTTCAACTTCCGGTCGATGGATTACCCCCTTGGGTGAACTCGTCTCCAGAGAGGAAAAACGGATCTGCTCATGCGCAGATGATTGTGCTCATGCGCACAATGTTAAAGCGTGCAAGCAGACCATCTAGACAAGCCGGATTCCACCATATCTTTATGTAGACAATAATAATCTTTTACAGTGGAATCATTTTATTTGTACTATTTTGCATGTTTGTGTGCTGCTGTGCCATGTGTGTGTAATAAGAAAAGTGTACGCGTGTTGTGCACCCGCCTATAGGCTCTTATTACTAAAGCGCCCTTTAAATAACAAAAAATAAATAAATACTGCGCCATTGACTTTAGACCAGGTTTTTGGTGGTCTAAAGTCCGCAGTCTATTTCAGTTGCCTCAAAATAGCAATGGACCAACAATGCGCCTGAACACATCTCGTTTTCAGACCAGCCCGCCCATGGGAGCACAAATCGGCGCAAATGCATTTGCTATTCAAACAACGCGGCGCAGGACGTGAAAATGATAACTGCGTCAGGCTGAAACTAGCAAAAAACACTTGCGTCGCGCATTGCGCCCGGTGTATGATAGGGCCCAGTGTGTTTTTGATCAGGAAATTCAGTAGCCTATACTCTTTCAAACGATGTGTAATAGCGCCTCTTACCGTATAACAGTGAAAACACGGAAACCAGGTGTTGTGCCGAATTCTGATCCCCACCAAGTTATTACCCCCCTAGTATTGGTAGGTTTAGAATTAGTTGTGGGGGAGGGGTTAGGATTAGGGGTGGGGTTAGGATTAGGATTAGGCAATCAAGTACTGACTTCAACAGTCGAAATTCGGCATAACACCAGAAATTTGCGTCAATGGCGGAGAAAGAGTTAAAGAGACTGGAGAGAGAAGATGGACAGTGAAGTTGGAGATTTTGAAATGTCTACTTTGCAATGTTGGACATGCGATTATGTTAGTAATCCTGACTTGGACTAAGACAGTGAGGAAAGGAACGGTCAGTAAACGGTGTTATAAAGAGCATAAAGATGACTCTCTTCAACACAATATTACAAAGTCCTCACATACAGACTCGCATTTACCTGTGTGCAGGAAGTATATTTCTGGCCCAAATTTGCCATGTGTTGACACACACGAAGATAATCTAGGATTACGGGTAAATATTGCCACGAGAATGTTAAACCTCTCGGCTGCTAGACCATCAGAGATTAATGTGTTGCCCATTCCAGCGGTTCACTTGAACTCTTCACCTCACCAAAACAATTACACACAAATTCACACATACTGACACAGAATAGTGAGACTCATGGTAGCTTTTATTGTTTTAGTTTTATTCCTCAGCTGTGGACATCAAAAAACAGATTAGCACAATTTAAATGACAAACATTATTGAACATATTGTGCAATCATCCTGGATGATAAATTTTTTTTCCCTTTTTTTCTTTTCTTTTTTTTTAGTTGACTGATCTTGCTCTCATTTAATTTTATAAAGAAAAAAAAGATTGCTTACAGCTCAAGGGTATCATTATAATTTCATCTGTCAGAAAGTCTACGTTTTTCACACAGTTCAACACATTATGTTCCCAGCAGTGACACTTTACTATCAGTTTACAATCTTTAATAATAATCACTTTAACCTATCCTCACTCCATCTATCATGACTCGCTCCAAATATATTGCAGTTAATGGGCTTTCAGATATTGACAAAATTATTTCACACTAATGCAAGAAACAGACAGATGTGCCCAGATTAAAGGGGTAAAAGTTAAAAACAAACAAAATGAAAAAGAAAAGGGAGGGGGAGGGAGCAAAAAAGGAAACCACATGACAATAAAAATACAGTGTTATTGTTCTCGTTTTATTGTTACTTTTTGGGCTCATATTGAATAAGGTGGATAGCGTCTTCATTGTCAAGAATACCTTGAATAAACTCGCCCTCAGCCAATCGCTCTGGGGAAAAAAAGAGAAAGAGAGGTTGAGAACCCTCAATGTTACTGGACAATATCACATAGCTTTTAACAGCAGCCTTTTGACATTACCATGGTACCATCTACTATCATGAAAATGTATATTCAAGTAACGGACTTGAAACTTTTACTATGTATCCAAGGATGGCAGATATTTGATAATAATACATCTATTGTATTATTTTAAAAGAAATATACAAACAGTTAAACAGTTAGCCTATTTAAAAACTAAAATATAAAAACAAAGATATTACCATTTTCTTTTTTATTGAAGTACGACCACAGTTTGTCTGCTCTCTTCTCAGCAGTGTTCGCGTCTGCTGGAAGATCCTCTTGGGCCTCTTTAGGGATCAGCTTAAAGATAGCCTGAAGATCAACAAGATGGAAGAAAAGTGAAGTTGAGAAGGGAGGAGAAATAACAGACTAATGCTCATGCTCTGTTGAATACTTGTAACACTTTATTTCGATAGTCCACTTTAAACATTCTACCTAAAGTAACTTTGCAAATATCAACTACCAGTCATTAGAGTAAGACTGTCTGTTTAATATCCGCTAACATTTTATTATGATGCTCCCCTAACAGACTTTCTACTGACTATAAGTAACTTTGCAAGTACATGTCAACTCATTCTACTAACCCTTAACCTAACAGTCTACGAATACTCTAATGAGAGTTAGTTGCCATGTAGTTGGAAATGAATGACAGTTTGTTGACATGTAGTTGCAAAGTTACTTAGTAGAATGTCCAATGTGGAAATATAGCCTAGTGTAACCTGAATAATGTCTAAAACCTCTCTCTTTCATTAATTGCTCACTTAAATTTAACTGATATTAATATATATATATATATATATATAATAAAATTTGTTGCGGTCATTTTTATAATATATATAATCGGTTTGCCTTTTATTAGACAGGATAATATAGATAATTATTATTTTATAATATTATTAATAATAGTCTAGCCACCATTTCCCAATCTCATAGCATTTTCTCCCCAACACATCAAAAGTAAACAACTTAAATCTCAATACAGGCAATGTAATGTTTTATTAGATTATTCATTTTCAGACAGTGAAAACCACAGGGAGTGTCAAACGATTGACCATCTGCTCTTCTGATGATGCTTGTCTGGAGGTAATCATCATAGATTAGGCCCACTAATGCCAAGGGTCATCAACATAGACTTTAGTTTTGCCTGACCACAGCTGACCTGGATCTGAGTGGTTCAGTGATCTGAGGAGATGTTTATCTCTGACACATAAGACACGTAAGAATAATACAGATTAGATGCAGTACCAAAGCTCCTGCCAAAACCACTCGCTGGCCTCAACAAGCTCAGTCTTTAATTGGCTACTCTTTGGCATTCAGTCACTGGCATGATGACAGAGACATTTACACTTATAAACCACCAAACCAATGATCACAAAGCCTGAGTATGAGGTCAATGCTTATCTGACACTAGCTGTGTGAGAATAACCATTTTAATATACATCCACAAATGCCTTAATGCCATAAACAATGCCTTAATACATCAAAAAGGTAAGTATCTCCTGTCCAATAGTATCCATATTGCATCTTAAGTTTTCGTGGTGGTGTACTCTCTTCCAATGCTTCAATTTATATTACTGTACCCATCTCCGTGACTCTTTTCTTGCTTTTTTTCTTCTTCTCATGTTTTTCCTTCTGGGCATGTAATATGCGATTTATGTTCCCACTGTTTACTGTGACTTCTATGACCCACTGATCCAGCGTCTTTCAAAAAAAAAAAAAATCCCTCACACTGTAATCCCCCCAGCCACCTGTCTGTCTACCTCCGAAAAGGCCTCTGTGTGCATTTATTGTTCAAGCTAAACCATTTATCAGATGGATTATTCTGGGATCGGCCAATTCCATTAGCCATGCTCCGAGGCACTGCTTATTAAGTCAAAGTTACAGGATAAGACTTATTTTTTAATGAGGCCTTGTGTTTTGTTTGTGTTCAGTACATTGCTGACAAAACAAAACTTAGAATGAGAATAGAGAGAATATTTAAAGTCTGGGTCATTGATCAGGAGACAGGTTAGAATGCATTAGAACTATATTGGGGCAGGGGCAAGTTGTCACACAGGGGGAAGTGGTCTGTATTAAGACTGCATAGGGAGGTATTTATAAGGATTTGAGTCTAATGTTTTTCAAGATGGTTTCAAACATCTTAAATCAGAATAATTTTGTCCTCTAAAATGTTAATATTATAATTTGTAATAAGTGAAAACTAAAACCCCACTGGGATACATTCAGAAAAGAGTCAGCTATTATGAAAACAGAGTTTAACTGAAAAGTTGAACTTTTTTCAGGACAAATATTTATTATAAATGACTGGTTGGGGTAAGTTGGCACGTTTTCATCTTAGCATGTTGTCACTTCTTTAAGTGTTATACATTGAATTTTTTTATAACATTGTTCCTATACATTCTTTTGTAATTCTTTCATTTAATAATTGTTTTACTGAAATGATAGGCTTTTTAATGGCAGGTTCCATTATGACAACTTGCCCCTGTGTGACAACATACCCTGCATATTGGGGCATGTTTTCACAAAGGTCCATTTGTTCCTGGGGAACAAGGGTGAAATGTTCAATAATATGTGATACTCTGAGAAATTGCAGTAAAAAAGTGTGACAACTAGCCCCAGTCTCCCTACAAAAATACACTCACTCATTTATGCTATGATTTTGAAGGGAAGCCACACAACAGTGCCACAAACGTTTCATATTTGTGAAGATAACATTTGACCTACCTGGCAGATTTCTCTCACTTCTGACTTGGTGATGTAGCCGTTCTTGTCAACATCGAAGAGTGAAAAGGCCCACTCCAGCTTCCGCTCCGTCTTTCCAGTTGATGTCATATGTAGAGCGATGATGTATTCCTTGAAATCCAATGTTCCATCATCATTCGTGTCAAAGGAGCGGAAGACATGCGTGGCATATGATGCGGCGTCACTTTCTGGGAAAAAACGTTCGTAGATCTTTTTAAATTCATCTGGTGTGATACGGCCAGACGGACACTGCTTCTGGAAGTTCTCGTACCACTGTGCCAGTTCATCCTCTGAGAATTTGGTGGTGAGTTTGAGATCCTCCAGGATCTCTTTGGACATAGCACTGCTTTTGGCATTCCCCATTTTTGGCAGCTGGTGGAGGGCACAGGCAGGGGTTCAGGAAATGTTGTTTGTCAGGTCCTCCTTTCCCAATTAGAGAAACACTCTACTTTGAAGCTGCTCTTGTTGAGATGTTCTCAGAGAATCTATTTTTTTGTTGGGGGCCTGTAATTAATGTCCCCAAAATCCTGGTGCTCAGTTCTCCTTTGAAAATGATGGATTTATAGATGTTACTCCAAAGAGTTAGCAGAGAAAGAACAACGTCCGTTGTAATGCAGCTCTCAAATGTACAGGGAAGAATGATGACGGTGGCTGCTGATGGGTGGGTGAGTGGGTGAGTGAGTGAGTGAGTGAGTGAGTGAGGGTGGGGCAGGTGAACTTAGGCTGTTACCTTTGAATGCAGGTTTAAGTCGCTAAAGAGGGATTTGACATGGCTTAGCCTCTGAGCCCCAAATCAACAGCTCGGGACTATCCCCTTCCATTACAGTAATAACCCTGAATACAATCAAAACAACATCTCATATCTATCTATCTATCTATCTATCTATCTATCTATCTATCTATCTATCTATCTATCTATCTATCTATCTATCTATCTATCTATCTATCTATCTATCTATCTATCTATCTATCTATCTATCTATCTATCTATCTATCTATCTATCTATCTATCTATCTATCTATTGTTTGTCAGTGTAAATGAGTTATGGGCCAGTTGACAAAACTGTCACTTGCCTTACTAGGCAAATACTACATCTTAAGCTTGTTGATGATACGCATGTTATGTCACCCAAAATAAACATTTAGTTTGTGTGACGTATCAAGCATTATTTTGAATTCTGCTCATTTAAATATGTCACAATTTTACAGTTTTTCTCAGTCACATTTGCACATCAGTTAATTCAGTTCTCAAAACAATTAGTACAAACTGCAAAACTTAGTTGATAACCTGCAAAAGCGTGTCACTTGCTCAAAATGGATAGCTCATTCCTCAAAAGCAAGTATTCATGTCAATGAAAGTGTCAGTGTCATCAAGATGAAAAGGCCTGTCACCATTGTTTATGAACAAGATAGTCAAATGGCTTTGTCATGTTTTCCTTATGTCAGTTTACTCTGTAAATGTTTTCCAATGCAAAAAAGTCAGATCTTGGTGACACTACCTGAAAATGCTCAAGACAGCACTATACTATTTGCACAGCCATTTGAAAACAGTAAAGTTACACATTACTGTATTTAGTGAGGTAACTGAGTACAAGACACTGAATATGTATGTTTCACGTTTTTACTGCATATGCTCTTTGCAATTCTAATTTGTTCACAGCATTGTGCAAAAGAAAAAATACACCCTTATTTACAACAAACATGAACTCACTTTGGGTAGAGCTGTGCACAACTGTAAACAATATTGCAGTACATCTTGGAACTGAACATACAACATACATAGTACTGTAAATCATTCATGCACATCCCTTCTCATAAGTGAAAGCTGAGGTTCACCTGAGAGAAATTGTTCAATTTAGGATAAAACATTTTTTTTTTAAAGATAAATAAGATTTTAAAATTTTTAAAAAATTTGCTTGACCGATTTTGACAACTAGTTCAACATTTTTGTATATGATGACTCAAGCAATGAAATGAGGACTATTAGTTTTATATGGAATGACTATTCAGCATTCACAAGTAGGCTATAGTTAATTTTGACTGACATGACATAAGCAAATGATAATGTTATAAAACAGCAGAGAGTTGGATGAAAGCAATTGATGCATGTCCAAAAGCATTTGCAATTTGTTGGAAGGAATGAGAAACTGCTACTATGATGTGCACAAATGACTAAATGTTGTGGAGGTTGAACTAACTGTTGTGCAAATGTAAATAGTGATGTAAGAAATGCACCAAAGCAACTGAGAAAAACGGTAACATTATCTAGCTAACTTACATTTTTATTTAACATGTTGAAATTGCAAAACTGGCTTGAAATCAAGAAACCTTTGCACAAATCATCAGTAAGGTTTCACACCTTATACAGGTGTGTTTATGAATTTATACATTGCATTGTAGTTTTCGATTTATTTATGCATCATACTGATTAAAAATGGCAGGAAATAAATATGTGATATAGCATATAGTAGTAATTTTGGTTTTCTTTTAATCAACCTTGCAGGGAAACTCCAGAGATCCTTTATTTACAATAAGTGAAGAACTTTCTAGGTGAGCGACATATTTTGTTTGGATCACAGCTGACTGATATCAAGAAATACTATAAGGAAATTGTATAGAAAATATATGGACAATATAAACAAATTCACACAAAAAAGTAAATGTTTATTATTGTGAAAAATCATTTCACCAGCAAAAGTGCAGAGGTAAAGTCAATAACAATGAGTCCTGAATATACAGTCATGTCCTCAACTGACAGTCTTAGTCATCGTAAGAGACATCTGAGACATCTGAGCACTTTGGCACAGAAAGCAGCATCCAGACAACCAAGCTGACCTTTTGTGACCTTAAAAATAAGGCCTTGTTGTAGATATACTTATCTTCCTTAACTTAACAATGTTGTTTCTTACAAAACTGTTTCAGTAGCAGCACCTGCTATAGGTTCTATGGCTTTTTAAAAAATCAGCTTTATCTGTTTTATTTGAAGAAGCATTTACGAACTGTCAACGCTTTCACTGAGCGTGAATCCAGTGACAGCAGCTTTTGCTGATGTCAGTATCAAGTTCATTGAGGTTAAGTCGAAACACGTCTGGTCTGGGTTTTCTAATTTATGTATTATGCATCTTTTTTAGTTCGGCTTCAAACTCATAAGCAACATGACTTTATCCTGCTCACTGATTGTATGTTGCCCATGGTGTCCTTTGACACTTGCACATAAACTGTTGTTACTCCAATAAATTCATGAGGTCATGTTTGGTTTAGTGACTAATGGCTGTTTTAGTAGCAGCTGTGTTTAGGTTCATTTGTAAATATCATTAGATTGTTGAACATGTGACTGCACGGCTCCCTTAATTCTGTTGGGTCTGGCAGTAAAGAAATACTGGCAGTATTTTAGCTGCGTGTAGCAGACATTTACTTCTCTCTGGGCTTTAGTGACACACCTCTTCCATAGTAATATTATCGGCCACATTGCTTTTTCATTGATTAGCAGATTCTGTCACAGTAATCTATAAATCGCTCGTGTGGGAACTGTTATAAGATGCCTACAGAGTGACATGCTATTGCATTTGTGTAACGTACTGTATTGCAATAAATGTGAAAAGACGGATGCGACAGCTTGAGCTCTACTACAACAACTCTTCCTCTTCGCATAGACTCACCCAATTTGTTGCGTGTTTTCAGGGGCAAGGTTTATGTACATTTTAGGGTTTGTGATGTCACTAACCCGGGAGGAAGCTCGTAGTAGTTGTTTGTTGTAGTCCTTAAAAAGCGATTTCTGTAAAAAAAAAAAAATCTACCTTTGCTTTGACCTTTGAGCGTTGTAACTTTGCAGATGTTGTTTATGCTCAAACAGCAACATTACACGCTAACTAAAGTTAGAAAAGTGAAACCAAAATCAACCACCCATTTAAAGCAAACATGAAATGAAAATGGATAATTCTTATTTTTTATTGAATATTTATATAAATTAGACATAAACAATACATTAAAAAAAAAAACCCAACAGTCAAAATTACATTTTTAGGCATAAAATTGTGTTACTCACCAAACAGCTAGTGATTTTTTGACTCTTCACATATTTATAGTTTTTCTCAATCGCTTTGGCACATTTTTCTAAACAGTCTTAACATTCTCTAAACTGTAAGGGCAATTGTCAAAATGTTCGCTGGAACATCAGAACTCCATTGCATGTCTGAAAAATGTAGTATAACTCACCCAAAACTCAGTGTCCAATGAGATTGCGGCTGCACGTCTCTGACCTTTGGCCAGATTGAACCCAACCTCGTCCTCAAAAACTAGAATGTGGGTTGTTTCATGTCCTTCTAACTCCATTATTCTCTACAAAGTAAAACAGAAACAATATAAAGTTCATTTTACATAGCTTATTCTAGACAGTTTAGAAAATTTTTTCTCTTCTAATGGGTATCTAAAACTTTTAAGAAATATATACAGGCATCTTAAGTACAGTAAAACTCACTGGACAATGTACTAGTGCACACCGATGGTTTACCTGGACATACTACCACAGCTCCTTTACTCTTTTACCATTCCTCTCATATGGCACCTTAAATAGTTGTTTCATAGTCATTTGATGTCTTTTCAAAACTCTTGTCTATAGTGGAAATGCTGACAGAATTTATATTTGCAAAGACATTATTGTCATATATGTCACACTTTGGAGCCGGATGGAATTGTTGGCAATGACCATGTTGGAAATTTCTTGTTCTTGCTGATGGCTAAATACTGCTGCTCTGCCACCAACATGAGGTTGTTGTGCGGATATACTGTATGTAGAATGTACAAATAGACTTGCATTTACCTTTACAATATTGATGTGTATAAAAAATGCTGTAATAAAACTAAGGTCCTCCATGTTCAAAAATGGTAGTGATCGTGTTGTAGGCAAACTCCATATATATGCTTCCAAACTTGATTGGTTGATTGTGATTCCTATTTTATTGCAATGGCAGGTCATTTACCAATTTAGCAGACATTACAAGCATACCATGTCAGATATTTATGGAAAATACATGCATGTCTGTCAGATTTGGACAACTGAATGGATCATTTTGCATGTGATGGCTTACATGATGAAAGAATATTTAGAAGTTGTGGAGAGTTTGACAGTTTCATTGAGAATCAACTCATCAGTTTTGATCAACAAGCATGTGCATTTAGTTATTGTGCAAATTGTAGACAATTGTACTTTTGCACACAGGTGCCAAAACACTCGCAATTTCCTTAAATCAATAAGAACTTCAAATCTGATGTCAACAAGAAACTAATTGTTCAGAGATCTGAACTTAGGCCTAAATCATTAAAAACTGTAATAAAAAAATGCCCCAAAAATGCCGTTGTCATGTAAATGAACGGCCCAAACGCATAAAAAGTTTTCCGTTTTTAGTTGAATACGGTGTCTTGTAAACGGCCCCAGTCTATTCACAAGTATCTAAACTGTTTACAGCGCTGACAGGACAAAAAAGGGAACCTTTCACATTTCGTCTGTATTTCCCCCCCTGTGCCTATAAATTTCCCCTCATCAGGTCACACATTTAAATCTTAGGCTCCATTTGAAACTTTCCAAAACATTCTCTTGATACAGGTCTGCCCTGCCTTTAATCACCCTGGATTTATTTAACTCCCTCGGAAACACCAGACATACCTAACCGTTCCTTCTTTTAGCACAGGGATTTTCTCTGTGCTATTCCGGGAATTTCAAGAGCACATTTATTGGATTACTTGTCAGAGCTAATTACAATGTGCTCACATTGACAGCAAATTACAAGGATTGCTGGGACTAGATATTTAGCCTATAGTTGTTGTGGATGTTATGTGAGTGTGGTTTCATGTCACCGTAGTGAGTCTAAACAAATTGCAAATGACAACATAATAAACAATCTATCAAAAATACTTGGTGCCCTTTCCTGAAGGCGCACAGCACCAAACAGGCTGACTCGTCAGTCATTTGAAACAACAATTGTGCCACAAGATTTGGAAGGAAACACCCTCTTATGCAAGTGTTTACCGACATCAAGGTGTTTTCAAATGTTTAATGAACATCTTATGCCTTTGGGTGTTCAACGGGTCAACTTGGGCTTTGAATTAGTATAGATCTTTAGGAATACCTAAACAAGAACAGATGTCACTGATAAACAAATTCAGTGTTTCTTTAATGAAAAGACTCAAACCCAACTGGCTTAAGATATTTCTTGAGCTTGGAAATGATTATGAGATATCTGAGAGGTAAATCAACTAAATTAATTTCTTGCTTGCAAAGAATGAGGCACGTAGACAGGATAACGATTGAAATGTCAAAAGGGCAGGGGAAATTACTTTCAAAAGAAAAACCTAACTTTCTGCCTAGAAAACAATACCTCTTTTAAAAATGCAGCCGGTTCTTAAGCAAAGGCAGGAGTGAGGGTGGGAGCAGAGGAAGGGAGGGAGTCTTAGATAAATACAAGTTAATGGGTCATAATGATGTCTAATGACAGACACCGCTTTCCTTCGGGACACAAAGGGCGATGGAAACAAACAAATGATAAGGAAAATAAAAACAACAGGTCACCGGCTCTGTGGTGGGTGCAGGCTGGTCTGCAAGATACACTATGAGAATGGTCGTAGCGCACTGCACTCGCATTTAACATGTTCTTGCCTGAGAGAAAACATGTCCTTGGAGAAAATTTTTTACACTGGTGAATTTTAGGAAAAAGACTGGATTAACAATATTTTAAAATAAATATTTTTACTTGTGAAGGAATTTTTTTTCATGTTTTGAAATACAAATATATTGGTGTGACTCTTTACATACAAGGAAAAGGTGAGATGTGTATACATTTGTCTAATTACATATTTATGCATTTGATATGTTTGTATTCAATCAACATATCTATTTATAACATTTTAATTTTAAGGTACAGTTTTGGGGTCGGTAAGTTGTTTAAAAATGTTTTTGAAAGAAGTCTCTTATACTCAACAAGGCTGCATTTTTTTTTGGATAGAAAATACAGTAAAAACAGTAATATTGTGAAATATTATTACAATTTAAAATAATTGTTTCCTATTTGAATATACTTTAAAGTGTAATTTATTCCTGTGATGGCAAAGCTGAATTTTCAACGTCATTACTTCATGGTGTAACATGATCCTTCAGAAATCATTCGAATTTGATGATTTGCTGCTCAAGAAACATTTCCAATTATTATCAAGTTGTGCTGCTTCATATTTTTGTTAAAATCATGATTTTTTTTCATGATTCTTTGATGAATAGAAAGTTCAAAAGAGCTACATTTATTTTAAACAAAAAGCTTTTGTAACATTATAAATGCCATTACTGTAACTTTTGATCAATTTAATGCTCCCTTGCTGAATAAAAGCATTCGTTTCATTAAGAAAAAAAAATGACTGAGCCCAAACTTATGATTGAGTACTTTATATGACACTTAATGATCTTTTTTTTAACTAGCCAAGATACTGATAGATAATACAAATTTTGACCATTAACAGAACAACATAAGTGTAATTCTAACAATGAGAGCTAAAAAAAACAATCATTATTTCTAAAATTTATATGGTCTACATTTTCATACGTGGATATTGATTCACTTAATAGTAGTCTTTCTATAATTTATAACTTTATTTGTTATCATCCCAATGTCATTTTCTATGCATAGGCTATTATGCTGATGTATATTGTGCTTTTGTATCATTTATAGTGAGTATAGAAATGACTGACACAACCCTGTGAGGAAAGATGAGAATGACAACGACAGAAGAAGCACAGCCTGGGTGGACAACTGCTTCCTAAAATATTTATTGTGTTAAAATCATCAATATAAAATCATACATCAACAGAAGAGGCAGGCAACTTCGGAAAGATATTACTTTTGTGGAGCACATTAATGATGGCGACATCCGAGGATCTTTCAGCCCAGCCTAACCCATCCCAAACTGTGAAATATGATCCAAAGTCTCAAACTGTAACGTTACCAAATGGGTTGGTTTCTGTGTCCGGTGTCACGGTGGTGACGGGGGGAGCGGAGCTGTCCTGTGGCACCTGTATGTTGGCCTTTGGGGTTTGGGGCACTCTGGTTGGTTTGAGTATTGTGTCATTGGGTTTATGGGACCATCTGGAGTACAAGAACAGTGGTCCGTCACACCTTCTGGCTCTTGGATTGGTACTGCTGCTCACCAGTGTGAGTCTGGTAGCCGTGATCTTTGTCCTCCGTTTCTTAATGAAAAAGAGAAGAATGATGGCCAGACGAGAGAGGGCAGAAGCAAATTTAGTGTTGGTTAATGATTATGCAGAGGTTGTTTTAAAAAGAGTCACAGTGTAAAAGTGCAGTGAAGGGAAAATTAGCAGTTTTGCTCTCTTTGAATGAGTCAGACTCCCTGCTGCTTCATCCTTCTTTTTCTCCGTCACTGTTTGCTTAATCGTGTAGGAATGTCACAGGAAATTCATTGGGTTCACTGCTACAGGAAACACTTGGCTATTTCCTGTGTGATTTCAGAACGCTCAAGGGACATTTGCTTCTGCATTCGTGTGTATTTATTAAAAACAGTTTATTTACCACTCTTCAAAGGACTTTTAGACTTAAATGTTTTATTTAAGTTGGAATGAATATTATCCCAAAGCTTTTAAACTTTTAAACTTAATCCCATAAATCAATTTTTGTACTTATTTTGATAAATCAATATACATAAACTACATTATCTTCATTGCCATGTGCTGTCAATGAAATGACAACATGTCCAAATACATCACATCTGCCTAGTTTAGTATATATATATATATATATATATATATATATATATATATATATAGTATGGTGTATACACAATTGTTTGATTGAGCTTGTGTGATTGAGAAAACCCACTGCCTTTCTACATATGCATGCATTGTTTTGTGCAAACATAATGTAGGCCTATGTGTTAAGTCATTTTTCAATGTTTTTCTGAAAGCTAGCAAGGTGGATTTTATAAACGATGATCCACTACAAAAGAAGCATTACAGATTTTTTTCAAGCCTGTTGTTAAGTGTTATTTTGTTTAACATTGCTATTCTTACTATTAATACATTTACTTTATACCATGTGCTATTTTAAATGAATTGTAAATAAAATTAATTAATTGTGATGGTTGACTTCCTTGGCAAATGGTTGAACAGACTTCAAATACTTTTTTTGTTGTTGCTCTAAAGTATCATTAGGGAGGCAAATTTACAGTAACTGAAAAACTTGTAACTGCATGTTAAAACCTCATGTTTGAAATTTTACAAATGAATTGTTCAGTGTAAAAACGGTAATATCTGTCTCCATCTGCTGGTCACTTTATTATTCTACGCAGTGATTTACTTAATACTGTAAAATGTTATACTGCCTCTTATAAAAAAAAACATATTTACTTGAAATAATCAAGTTATTTTTCTTTTTTAAATCATGATGATGATATAATATGTATTATTGCAGTAGTGGTGATAAATTATTATTGTTAGCCTATATTATATAATAGTATTATCATTAATGTTTTAGCACTAATGAGAATATGAACAGAGGCATATGTTACATAAATATGTTATACAATGTAGAAAAAACATTAATCAAAGAAAGCTAATTATGCTAAAATATATTTTAATCATGCACAGCTTTGCACTGACGTTAGCAAGTTTTCTCATTTTCATGTTCAAATGAGACACCTGTGAGTAATCGTTTGAAGAAAAAAATGAGAAGCTGTAAAAACAAAGCAAAAGATGATCTATTTGTTTGCAAGCAGACGAAGCTCAACTTTCAGATGATCAGTAATAGCTGTCATATTCAGAATGTTTGGGTGAGTTGCATAAAGCTAGCAGTCCTCCGACATTCTCCCTCAAAGCATTTATGAAGCCTGGTACACCCTGCCTATAAAGGAGCCGGTTCTCTGCAACATTTCCTGTTGCCTTCATCACATCTTCCATGCACTTTATCACAGGCTCCCAGAGGATGAAACGTTGAGTTTGCTTCTCCAATACAGTGACTCTTCCACTAAGAACACTCAGAAGGGTCACAGCTTTCCTGACTACATGCTGAAAATCAGCTGTGACCTCTAGATGCTGCTTCACCTCTTCAATCTCCCTCTGAATTTTATTCAGCACTTTATCAGTCTCTATAATCTCATTCTGTATGGTAGAGATCCTGGATTGGTAATTTGACACCTTTATGCTGTTGTCATTCACTTGGGACTCATTTTTTTTTAGCTCATCTTCAGCATCGCGGATAGCCTTTGAGGCATCCACAGATAAACCTGCTCCTGTAGCTATCATTATTGGCCCTAAAGGAAAGCAAGAAATCATATCAGCCACAAATACTGGTTAGTTGTACTCATTAGGATGATAATATAAAGAGAAGTGAATCAGAGAGGATTTCTCACCAGCAATCCATCCTAGAACTGGTATTATAGTCACTACTGCCCCTGCAATTGCTACACCTTCACCTGTGTTCTTCCTACCAGTCTCTCTATTTATTTCATCTTTTCTTAAATCTACAATTTTTTTTGCCTGCTCCAAAGCTGCATTAGAATACTTTAATGATTCTTCTGCAGATTTCTTCTCGATGTGTAATTTATCCATGGCCATGCGTTTTTCTTTTTTCCGTTGCTCAACATTTTTTTTTTCTTTAGTAAGTTGCTCCATGCGTCCATCCAAACATCCCAGTTCTCCTTTAATCATTGTCTCTGATGTTTTCAGGCACTGCTCAGCATGCTCAATATGTTTCCTGATTTGTTTGTAATTGGAGCATGTGCCAGTGTTGGGATCTACATGTGCATCCAAGAGGGACTTGCAGATGTTGCAGATAGAGACAATTCCCTCATTTAGAGGCCCAGAAACTGCCTCCATTGCCTGCAAATCCATTACACTGCAAGTTTGAAGATATGGAAAGAGAAAAATATTTTGACACCTTGAATGGCATTTACAATGGAAATATTTGTCATTATTAATTTACTTCATATCAATAATGGATCATTCACTTGTAATGCAACACTTTTTGAAGAGATAAGAAATTTAAAAAGCTTACCGTCTCATTTCGACTGTCATACTGAAACACAAAATGAAAGAAACTTAAATGTATCAAATATCTGTGGTCTACACTGAGCCAATGAATTCCTTGTTGGTTAGTTCTGTCCTGTGCTTTGTGTTCCTGTTTCCTGGTTCCTTTGCCTGATCATTCTCATCTGTTTGTTTTTACCCTTATTATTAGGGGCCAAGTGGTGTATTACTACATATGTTTACAGCATAAATATTTGCAAAAAGCAAAAAAAAAAAAAAAGTGTTTACTCTTTCTAAAAACCTCTTTTTACAATTTCATTTGTTTGACTTTACTTGAATGACAGTTACTCTTAAATGCATTTGTTACTCGATTCTTGCATGCAATGTCCCATACATAAGTCTACCATATGAAACCATTTCAATGCAGCGTTTTTGAGATAGGGGAGAGCGGGGCAAAACCTAACGCTTTTTGACTTTCTCATTTTTTTGTGTAAATCTATTTAGGGTTCAGAGTATTTATTTTTCCCACATTAATTTCCCACGTCTAGTACAATTATGTGGTTTTGTTTTATTAATACAGTGTATACTTTTTTCTTGATATAGATCAAATGAGTGGAAGTGAAATGTGACAACATGCCCCATGTGGGGTACATTGACATGTGAGGGGCACATAGTAACATGACCAGCTTAAAATGTAATCTGATCTAATAAAAAACATATACAAGACAAACTAAAATATTTTCTCAATAAAATACAACTAATAAATGTTTCATTTAAAATAATGCCATTTTTTAATAATTCAAAATAAAATATTTTTTTAGTTTGACAATGAACACACCGGAAACACAGGTATACAACATAGTTCAAAACATAATAATTAATCATTTCTGAACATTGACTCTCAGTCTTTATTCACATTTTTCTCATGTTTTCTCAAAAGAATTCATAAAAGTATAGAATAGAAAATAACATATTTATAATAGGGGCCCATTGTAACGCAGTGTTATAACATGCCCTACCTGTGCAACTGGGATTTAAACCCTGCTAGTGTCTTCTGCTGGTTAGATCAGCATTAAAGAATCATATCAACTGTTAAATAACATATTGGAGATTAACATAATATCAGATTTGTCTAATTTAAAATAAACACCAAAAATTGAGATGAAAAATTAACATAAGTAAGAAATTTACTTTTTAAAACATTAAAACATCAATTTTAAAACAGCCTACCTACCTGGAAGTGATACACGGGCTTAATGTTGCAGTTTCTTCTTGAAATGCTTCGTCATTCGTGAGGATGGAGTGTTTGTGTCCTATAGATATGCTACTTTTATAACCAACATGCAGAAATCCCCTGGTTTTCAGAGAATTAGGGAGGGACCACCTTCCTTGGCTTAGCTACTGTAAGTCACGTGTTTTTAAATAAATGAGCTTTTGGTTTGTGAGTTAATTATTCACCTGCCAAATACATAAAACCGAATCTGTAACTACAATCACGTAAATCATTAAAACTAAACTTTAAGTGACCGGGGTGGTCGGGCGGTCCTTTAGTGAAAGCAAAAGTAACAAAGCATTTCGGGGAAACTTGGGGATTTCTCCATGTCGGCTATAAAAGCATCGACGGCTTCACCCATTCCTTCAGACCGTTAACGGACCTGAACTTGAAGCATCTGCCATTTCGTCAGGGTAAGGCAACTATATGGTTATTTTGTCTTTTTGTAATGAGAGTTGTTAAGTTGAAGTGCAGCTTTAAACAAAAGTGGCTGTTATTTCAAAATTTGTTATAATCAGATTCAAATAGTTTTGAGAGTTAATTTTTTTTTTAACTTAAGACCAAAACTAATTGGGAAATGCGCGTTTGTTCTATTGGAAGTTTTAAAACCTTACATCTAATGTTCTACATTTTTAATGTATTCATTTTCTGAACGGAACTCTTACATATATTTTTCTTGACCGAGCTAATAATCAGTCAGATTCTGTTGCTTGTTGAATGTTGCTGCACTTTTTTAAGTAGGCTAATTAAATTTAGTTTTGACTATTCAAAATTCTTTTCACATAGCCTATCTATTCTGCAATTTAGACTGATCATAATTGGAATTAAGATATCTAAAAGATATCTCAAATTACAATTTTACTAGTGATAATTAAATTCGAACTAACTGAATTACCTCTAGGCTAGTAAAAAAAAATATATAATTCGAGATATCTGGTATTTGGTAGGCCGTTTGACTAGTCATAATTCAAATTTATGATAACTTTAATTACTCATCTTTAAAGATATTGTGGTGGATTTTTTCCCTATGCACCTGACTTAGGTTGTACCTGGTGTCCTTGACACCTGAAAACAGAGTTATACCTCTGAACGCGCGAGTTGACGCCAGTCTCACAAAGAGTCGTCTCGCCCCTTATTGAACACTATCACTTGGGAATAAGGTCTCTCTAGTGTTCCTAACCCACTATCACTTGGTAGTAAGGTCTCTAATGTTTCGCTAAATAACTTGTTGTCTCCCTAACTAACTTGCTGCATCAACAATAACAGACAAACAGACTTCAGCAAATGTCCTCTAAATGCTTTAATCACGGCAGTTCTCAGTAGTGAGCAGTTCTCAGGGAATCTCTCCCAAGAAGAAGCAAGGGATCCCAGACAAATTCCATTGAAAATCCCACCAGTAGTAAGAATACAACAGTTTTTATACAATCGAGACAACATTAACATGTCACCTTCAATATAATTGGTTCAATTGGTTCAAAAGCCCCCACCTTTTTCTCTCTCTGTCACTGGCATAAGCAAACGGTTTTTGTGATTACTTATCACATTTGAAAACTGGTCATCTGTCTAATTTAATTTCCCTATTTGTTTTTTATTCACTCACACACTCAAGTCATGAGTTTTCACCAAAGAGTTTGGAAACATTTAAAAGCAAATGAAAGAAATATTGTTACAGCATGTTGTTCCTGAAAATAAAAATAAATGTTAGTTGATTAATTAAAAAATCCATCACAATATCCACAATACATTTGTAGATATCTGAAAGTAATTTATTAGCTACTAGTCATATTTGTAGATATTTTGAATGGGATTTTTGAATAGGCAAAACTTAATAAGAGATATCTTTGACTAGGAATTGGAATTGGAATACCTTGAAATTCATCAGTGAAAACAGCAGAATATAACCATAACGGATCTCTTGCTTTAATACAACACTTCCCCCTTGTGGGCTATTACCTCATGAGTAAACCCGCAGACACAGAATGCACAATCTATTGCCTAATGTAATGTACTAATGTGCATACATGTACAGTAACATACATTTTAATCAGATTGCTAATCATCCACACGGACCATTAGTGTTTGCCATGATTGTATTAATATGATTGCAAAGATATTTGAACTCATGTAATGTGATTTTGTGATTTCTCCTCAGGATTACTGAATACAGGCTAACTGCAGTAAGTTGTGTTGTGCAAGGCTATTTACACTCTATATTCTCCCCTTACCAGTTGTTTAAAGCTGCAGTCCGTAGCTTTTGAGTTAAAAAATAATCCAAAATAATTTGAGCAAATACATAAGCAACCCGTGTACAAAACTATCTGCTTGCCTTAGCTCGATTCAAAACGGTAAGCTTGTAATAATGTTTTTAATTCCAGTGCTACTGGTGGATTTCCACGTGAAATTCGAGCACGTCTTTGCGTCATTACGTCACATCTATGCACATAAAGAAGGAGTCCCGGCTAGTAGGCTATATTGCGTGTGAGGATGTTGGAGGTGGAGATAAATAGCCTTTTCTCACAACACTTGATATAATTAAACTTATCAATTTGATGGCGGATCCAGAAAGGTTCAAACGACAATCACCAGTGACAACTGGAGATTTCCCCGTTGTAAAATGCAAAGACTTGGTTCGGACTTTGGAGTGGCTACAGAAAAAAAGAGACTGCAACCGAAAGGATAAATATTGGAAGGGCATTGAATGTAGTCACGCAATGCTTGCTGATGTTGAACATTAACAATTTGATAAAGTGTAATATGCACGGTTTTACGTGATATGATAAACGATTGTTAGATTTAATCAGCGTGATTTAATTACTGCAGTCTGCGATGAGTTTTTCCCCTTAGTTGGTCAGAACAAAAGTGGATGTTACTTGTTCAGGTGACATTTTCCGATGAAAATTATGTTGGTCAATACTTCTGTGATAGAATCAAGAAGAATCTGTGATTCCGAATGACAGTATTCACACCGGCGCGGTGACTGACAGCCCCATTCTCCTCAAAACATTGGATTCATCCGCGCCGTGTCGAGGCACAACTCACGTAAAGTTGATAATTCCGCGAATAACTGCAATTGCAGATTTTGAACAGAGACGGTGACAAAGAGGAAAAACTGCGGACTGCAGCTTTAACTTCTTGCTAAAAAACACTTATATGGCACTGGTTATTGATTTTCTTCAAGCTAAGAAAAAAAATCTTATATATTCTTTAAAAAATTGCTTTAATGAATGCTGCCATTTGTGGAATAAAAAAAGTGAGATTTTCAAATTTGTCTTTGTTTTGAGCAGGAATAGAGAAGCCATGGATTCCAAAATTTCAAAGACAACTCAAAGTCTTACCACTGCTGAGGACATGAGGAACCAAACCAAACTTATGATGCAGCCCTATGCCAACTGGGAAGAGTATCTGACTCCAGCTCCACTGTCCATAGCCATCATGGGAGAGCTGGTTTTCATCTCGTCCTCAACAAATTTTTCCATCAATAAAAACTCCCCCAAAGTTGGCTACAAATTCATCAAATACCCTGATTCCTTTCGCGCTTGCCTCATGCAAGTGTGTAACTCTGGTTGGTGGGCATTTAATGAGGCCCATACGAGCATGGATCAGATTCGCCTTCATACTGCCCAAGTTCCAGATTACATGAAGACAGCTGTGAAGATTCTGTTCCAAGGCGATGATGAAGTTGTCAAAGCACATCTTCCTGATCAGCTGGACAATATCAGAGTCATTGCAGATGAATGTCTGGAGTTGTCTTGTGCAACTGAAAAGCGTTTCACTGATGTCATTAATATCATCCAAGAGCTGCTAGAAGCATGTGTGAATGCAGAGCACTTCTATGGGGAGGAGATGTCAGCAATCAAGAAGAAACTAGAAGAGAGCAAACTGAGGAAGCAGTCAGCAGAAGAAACCCAGAAAAGGACTGAGAAGGCAGTGAATGCCATGGAGAAGCAACTGGATGAGGCTCATGAGAGCTACAAGAAAGCCATGGATTCTCTCCCTGGTGGATGGGAAATGATTGGCATGGATTTTGTTGGTGGGATAACACAGAGCATTACAGGCCTGGTTAATGGACTTACATCTATTATTAGTCACCCAGTGAGAAATGCGTGTTCTGCAACAACAAAGATCGCTGATACTTATAACAACATTAGAGATCAGGAAAGTGCAAGAGATATGGTTGCTGAAATAAACGCATATTGTAAGTCTAATGAAATATTACATTGTGTGCAGAAAATCCAGCAGGAAATGAAAGTAAATAGTGAGGATGATGAGATTGCCTGGACAAATCTCTATGATCAGAAGAAAAAAATTACAAAAACGAATTTCATGGAAGAACAGTTCAAAAGAATCAACAGTGATTTACAGAAAATCCCTGACTGCCGAGTAAAGAAACAAGCTAAAAAGTTATGCAAAAAGGGCATGGACATATGCAACCAGCTGGCAAAATATGCACCAGATGGCAAATGTGACAAACGCACAAGCATCAAGATAATACATGAGGTCTTGGAATTGGTCAAGTCGGCCCAAGTTTTTGATTGCAAAAGCAAAGACATCACAAATTCTCCAGCCATTTCTCCAAAACTACCAATGATGCAAAAAGAAGAAAACAAGTCAGAGAACTCGAGTGCTTCACAGAGGGCCACAGAGAATGCACGATTCGCTATAGAGCAGAACCGAGCTCAGATGAACAAGACAAGAGAGACCTATGAAAAGTGTGTGGAGAACCTAGAGAAGAACCAGAAGGAACTAACTGATATCCTGGTCACAATGAGAAATTGTGAACTGAAAGAGATCGACTTCAAGACTACAATAGAGATGCTGGTCAAGGGAATGGATGCCATGGGGAGAGTGAAGGAGCAGTGGGAGAAGATGGTTCACTTCTTTCAGATGGTTTCTAACATTATAAAAACCAGCCTGAGCAAAACTCTCAAACACTTTGTCTCAACATCTGAGAAAACACAAGCCCTCTCTTACAATGCAAAGCTCTTCTCAAAAGATCTGCTATACTCTCAGGCCTTCCAAGCCTGTAACATTGCTAGTCTGGTTCATATGATCTCTGGAACATACACAGATGTTTCTAACAAGTACCTGATGGACCGTGTCAGTTCACTGGGCAAACTGATGGCCATGGATAAAAGTAAACCAGAATTTGAGCATGAGCGGCAACAGCTGCAGAACTCCTGTGATGAGGCACAAAAAGGCATTTTAAGGCTTGTCCTGAAGAATAAAGAGGAATTTGACAGGAAGAGCACTGCAAGACAAGAAAAGATTGATCGAGAGCTGCTTGCCATTCTGCCTGCTGCTCCTCCAGAGCAAATCAAGAGTACTCAAGAGGCTGTTAAAGCCGGATTCAGTGAGGAAGAAGAAGCATCATACTACTGAGAGAATCTACCAAATATTTGACAAGCTTGCTATGCAAGATAATACTACCATAGTTAAGATTTAAGCTTTTCTGTCCAGTAACATGCAGTCACGACAGCTCAATTTATCTCCATTAACAGAACACAGAAGACAATTGATACTGAAACGTTTAACACTGTCAATCCAAATTAGATTAGTATGTCTATATAGGAAAGGATTTTAAAAGCTGAGTTAGAAAAAGTTGTTGTCTTCTGTTTAAATTTAAATTTCATATCATAATAACATAATCATATCATATATAGCTTGCAAATGATTCTTACTAAAAACATATGCATGGTTGTATGATCTGTAATGGAAAGTGGAAGTGACAGGAAGTGTTTGCTTTTAATAAATCTGTTTGTTTCATTTGCTTTTAAACTTGTTTAGAAGAAACCTATGTAGATTGTTTTTTTGTGTGAATCCTTTTTTTAGTGAATCCTTTTAGGTGGCTGTGTATGATAAAATTGTCCTTGAATGACTATTAATCAGCCTACATTTTATGCATTGCTGTTACTAAACGCATCCTTAGTATAAAATAAATATTACTATACTACTGTCACAGTCTTCGTCTGCACCTGTCTGTCTTAGTCATCTTCACTACACTTCCCAGAATCCTTCTTGTCTCCACACCTGTACTCACTCCCTCATTATCCACCTGTCCCTCGTCATCATCATCTGTGTCACCTGTCTTCACCTCGTTAGTGTTCATTTGGACTTGTATTTAGTTTGCCTGTGTTCAGTCTGTCTTTGTCGGTTCTTGTAAATGCTTAGGTGTTGTTGTGAGTGTTCTGCCTGTCTTCTTGCCTGTAGCTGTTTCCTGTTTTGTTCATAAGTAAACCGTTTATATTGGAGCCTTTTGCCTCAGCCTGCTTTCATTCACACCACACCGTGACAACTACAACTTTACTGTTGCTACTGTATCTCTCTAGACCTAATTCTTTCCCTTTTCTAAGCCAACTTTTTAAACTTTTTTGTTTTGAAACACTTTTTTGAATCTCACTGATGAGTTGCAACAAACTAGTTAACAGATGTTCAGTAATATTAGTGTAATGACAATTAAAATTCATACTTACATAAGAAAAAAACAATAACAACATATTAATACTTGTAAATAAATATCTTAACATGGGTCTATGTAGCAGCATATCAGCAGAAATTACAACAATGGAATAGGTGTTCATGTTTTTAAAAAGGGTATGCTAAAGGCCTATGCTCTTCACACAAAATAACACCAGTTCAATTAAGGGCTTGCAACACAAAATCATACTGAAGCAAGAAAAAAAAATTATACAGCCAGTGGTGGAAATGGTTGAGATTCATGGGGACCCTAGTTGTGGAATGTATGAAATTTGCATAGCATTTGGAGGCTATAACTTGAAAAAAAGATGGAAATCCTCTACATTACACTTAAAAAAAATGATATGTTGGCTTTACTTAACTTTTTTATGTAAACAGGTTCCACCGGTTCCACATGTTTCGTTAAACAAACATACATAATATGTTCATGTAACTTCAACATCATGGAATTTGGTCATTTTAAGCGACCCAATTAAACTCTGAGCTAATGAGTTAATTAAGTGAATAACTGAGTGATGATTGAGCATTATTGAAGACACCTGATGTTAACAAGTAGAATCTCTGAAGGAGAAAACCGGAATGTTTAAGTCACCATTATGGAGATAAGTATTAAATACTTATCTCCATAATGGTGACTTAAACATTGTTATAACAGCCGGATGAGTTATAACAGCCGGATGAACAATAAACAAAGGTCATCTGATGGTGTTGGTTGTGTTTTAACATAATCATTATTTCACAATCATTTGACCTGAGTCACTGAACTTATATTAAACCGAATTTCTGAGTTAAGTTTACCTTACGAATAATAGCAGCACTGTCATTGTAGAGCATACTATTTTTAGACTTTTCAATGAAATTTGAAATAAATCACAACCAACACCATCAGATCTCCTCAGTTCATTGTTCATCTGGCTGTTATAACTCATGTACAGCAACCAAACAAAATCTAAAGTTAATAAGTTAATGGTCAAGAGCCCAACTAAAACAAATACTTATCTCCATAATGGTGACTTAAACATTCCGGTTTTCTCCTTCAGAGATTCTGCTTGTTAACATCAGGTGTCTTCAATAATGCTCAATCATCACTCAGTTATTCACTTAACTCATTAGCTCAGAGTTTAATTGGGTCGCTTAAAATGACCAAATTCCATGATGTTGAAGTTACATGAACATATTATGTTTGTTTAACGAAACATAGTTATGTGGAACCGGTGGAAGCTGTTTACATAAAAAAGTTAAGTAAAGCCAACATATCATTTTTTTTAGTGTACGAACTAGAATTCCGTTAGCCTGACTTCGTCATACTCATATTCTAGTCAGAATGTGAGTCTGATACTGCTCCTTAGGGCTTTGATTATGAGGCGTGTCTTAATCGAACCAGGAAAAAAAAAACTCTGCACTCAATTGGATAGACCTACAACCAATAAGAGCAACGCAGTAAGTGACGTATGTTGAGCGACTCATATCAACAGAACTGAACTGCACAGCATGCACTCACGAAAAAGTATTTAAAAGAAAAATGAGTGTTAACGACCTTTGCCGGTGTTGCAAAAACAATTTAAGGATTCGCAGAGTACTTGCAAACTCGAAAAACATTTTTGAACGAAATAGAAAATGTGAATGTATATACGAACAAGTTCACTGTTTAGGATTAGATCTCGACAGTAAAGCCAACAAATCTACTCGCATTTGTCTGACCTGTCTCAATTTTATAACAGGGTTGGAGCGCGACTTGACTGATTTTAATGGAGAGACGACGAAAGACACCAGGCTGAAGAAGCGTGTTCATTTGAGTCTTCAGAGAAAAGAGACCGGGAGCCAAAATTATGTTTTAATGATTATTTAAATACAACATGATGAGTAATTCTTGTACTTTGTCTTGTTTATTTGTTCTGTCTTGCGTGGTGTTTTGGACATGAGTCTGGCAAATAAACTGAATTGAGTAACATCATCTAATTATTTATATTTAAAAAATAAACCGCTCATAAGGGCTACAGTGATTACCAGTATGGGTATGGTCGGTGTGCGAGTACAGTATAACAAAGCGTCACCATTGTTTGATGTATTGATTGATTGATTGATTGATTTTATTTGACCACTTAAATATAAAAATATGAAAACAGTATGAAACTGAGTCATACATTAAAATAAAATACAGAAGTAGTCAGGGATAACACAATAAAGCCCGAAGACTTATTTCCATTGTGGTCCCTTATAAAGGCAGCGGAAAAGTACAAGTGGCAGAAAATCACACATCAATCATTCATCATACATTAAACAAATTCATACATATTATACTGAAAAAATAATAATAAAAATAGACTATAGTATTATAATAACTACAATTGGCACCTAAACCATGCTTTCAAACCCTGTTTAAAACTTCCTACTTTTTACTGTCTTAAGTGTACCAGGTAACTGATTCCAAAGGGTAGTTCCAGCATAAAGAAAAGACTGTTTGCCCAGATTAGTATTAAATCTGGGGGGTACAAAATCGGTTGAGCTACCCCTAGTGGAGTACCTGTGAACTTCGTTTACTCTATTAAAATAATTTCTAAAATATTTGGGAACATCTCCATAAACAATTTTATGTACCATACCCAGCTGCATCTGAGACACTCGATCCTCGACTTTCAACCATCCCACCCTTTCAAAGTGGGAAGATTCCAGATGAGTTCTTATGGGGAGGTCTAAAATTAGCCTTATTAATTTATTTTGAGACGTCTGAAGCCTATGTTTCAGGTTCCCTGTAAGACCATTGTACCATGCGCCACACGCATAATCAAAATAAGGCTGAATTAAAGCTCCTGCCAAAACTAACTTTGTTTTTTCATCCAAAAACTTTGATATTCTGGCCAAAAAACGAACTCTCTGATTAACTTTGGTGATTACCTTTTGGGCCTGACCTACACCAGATAAATTACAATCTAACATACATCCAAGATAACTGATTGATTCCTTGGCAGTAATTACAATATCTCCAGCTAGGACCTTAAAACATGAGGCTTTCTTTAACTTTATCTTTGTTCCACACAATATGGATTCAGTTTTCCCTAAATGAAGTGATAATCTGTTATCAGCCATCCACATCCTAACATTTAGAAGTTCTGCGCTAAGTATGCTTTCAATCATATTCTTATCCTTGTGAGAAACAATCAGTGCAGAATCATCTGCATATAAAAAAAGACTGCATGAACAAGCAGACTTTAGATCATTTATATATAGTAAAAAGAAAAGTGGACCCAAAGCGCTTCCTTGAGGTACCCCACAGCCCATGCCTTTTGGTTGAGACATTTTCCCCCCAATGTCCACTACTTGCGTTCTATTTTCCAGATAGGAGCCCACCCATTTTTGTGCTAATTCGCTAAAACCCATGGCTTTCAATTTATACATTAAAACACAATGGTCGACTGTATCAAAGGCTTTTTGTAAGTCTAACATAACCATGCCACAGAAGTTTCCATTATCTACCTCCTTTTTTATATAGTCAGTTAAAAACAGTAAACAGGAATCCGTAGAATGAGATTTACGAAAACCAGACTGGAACTCATAAAGTAGGTTTTGTGATTTTAAGTAATTATCAATCTGTTCAAAAATGATCCTTTCAATTATCTTTGACAGACAACCAAGAATTGAACAGGTCTATAATTACCAGGGTCTAGTTTACTCCCTTTCTTATATATTGGAATCACTCTGGCAATCTTAAGGTCATTGGGAAAGTATCCTTGTTCTATCGACCTGTTTATAATATGAGTAATGCTCGGAGTAATGATCTCAGCGGCATCCCTCACGAATCTAGATGGAATAGAATCTAATCCTGTGGCTTTAGAGCCATCAAGCCTCTTCAGCTTCTCAAGAACAAGTGCCTCCCACACCTTATCAAAAGAGAAACTCCCCGCCTGAACACCTAACTGAGAATAAAAGTCCTGCACATGACTTTCCCCATATTGACCAGTCTGGTCAGGTAACTTTTCCACAAGCTTCCTGGCAACTGATGAGAAATACTTATTAAAGCTATCTGCCACTATCTCCTTCTCTGATGTAATATTGTTGCCAAGATCCAGAGTAATATTAGTATTTTTTGTTTTTAGCCTTTTACTGTAGCCAAGGTGTTTAAGGGATTTCCATAGCTTTCCTGAGTCATTTCTATATTCAGCAATTTTTTCATAGAAATATGCCTTTTTAGTATTGACAACTAATTTGTTAACTTCATTTCTTGCCTTTTTATAATCAGCCCAACTCTGCTCATCCTTTTTTTCTCTGAATTTCCCATGCTTCCTGTTTCTTAGCCTAATTGCCTCAAGGATGTCATCATTTACCCAGGGTTCTGTTCTCTGCTTTATTCTGATTTCCTTATATGGGGCTATTTTATCTATAGCTTCTAAAAACATACTTTTAAATAAGCACCATGCTTTATCCACATCACTACATAGCAAAACCTTAGACTAATTCATTTTAATTAAGCAGCCATTCA